ACTGGTGGTTCAACCAGAAAAACCTTATATCAAAAACCAAAACCAAAACCAAAATTAATATTTAATATTTAATATAAAATACTCTATCGCTAACTTTTTCTGATATGATCTCTAATCTGTTTTATCAACTCTGGGTTAATATTCATTCAGTAATCAATAATCCATGAAAACCTGAGGACGACAGGCACTGTAACAAAAATCGAGCCCTGAAGAAAGCGACAAATATGTCCAACTCCATTAATGTAGTTGGACGGAAACTTTTGGAAGAGTGACTAAATGTGACATGTTTCAGTAATCCGCGTGACTAAATGTGACATTTTTCAATAATTCGAGTGACCGGAGTTGGACAGAGGCTACAGAAGAGTGACCAAATGTGACCTGTTTCAGTAATTCGAGTGACCAAAATTGATATTAAATTTTTCTAGTGACTAAATATGACACGATTTAGTAATCTCAGTGACCAAATGTGTCATTTACCCAATATTAAAAATTAGAAAAACCGGGGGAAATTTTTATGTGGAAATTTTAGATGGGCACATCACATGCGTTCCATTAAAACTGTGTTCTTCTACTTCTACGGTTCTACCCAGGCAAGGCCAGTTACTGGTTAATAGTAATACACAGTGAGTGGTACTTTTTGCCGCCATTAAAGGCATTTTTGCCTTTCCTGAAAGTGGCCGGGGGCAAAAAGTGCAGTGGAGAAGGGTTTTGTTGTTGGTGCCCTAATAATGTTGCCACTGTCCTCTTATAGCTTCTATTGAAAACCAATGTTAGAGCACCCTAATTCATAATAATTCCAACGTTCATGGGAGGTATGGGTACCCATAATATCAAACAAGAGCCAATGTCGTCTAAGGTTCGAGAGGGTCGCACACCTCAAACAAATGAGTGTTAAAATGGGCAATCATGATTCATACATGCCAACACAATTACTCTCTCTAAACACGCGAGAGATCACAAACTTCTCAGTTACAGCCGGGAAATAATCCAATCTGTTGCACAAGCAGAGCCCGTGGCGATGGTTGTTCTCCTTGGAATTCTTGATGATATCGATGGTTGTGGTTGTAGAGTCTAAAACATTTTCTTTCACGTGGCGGAAAAATATGTGTACCTTATAGGTATTTTGTGAATCTCCACTAATATTCTTTCAAAATGCCTAGCTATCAACTAGTGATAATAATAGCTGTTTGTCGTTCAGAGCACCTCAATTCCATCTTATGAGCAAGACATTCTGTAGTGTATGCGGCAAAATGATAACCGAACAACTCAAAGTTGCGAGTAATCGTTGATTATGCCCCGTAAGGCAGAGGGATGTTTGACTCTAGTTTAACCATTTTTGCTAAGTTTTAAGAGACAAAAAGAGGTCTATATCTTGACCAAAAAAAAAAAATGATATCTAAAACTAATCCATTTTTTGTATCCAATATCATTCAGACAATCCCGAAATAGAATTCCTCCTTACTTTGACTTTTGACATCCATTTTGTTTCCTATTGTAATTTGATCATTGGAACTCTTGAGTATGAAGACAATATGTTGTTCATACAGGAAATGGCTTAGGAAGAGGACATAATTAATTGGTTAATTAATCAGCTGAGTTTGTGCTACAAACAAGTATCAAAGTGTACAGCTAGAATTTCAGTGTTAATTAAGGACTTTAATTGATTTTATCGCTCTGGTTCCATAATTAATTCCTACCCTTTTGAGCTAGAAATAATGAAATATTGTGGTAATTATCAGTCCAACGGCTATGATCTAATACTCCTAATTGTCCCATAAATACCCATCTCACAAAGCTCACTCTCGTCTTGTAATTAATAATAATAATAATAATTCATAGGTATTTCCATTTTTTTTAAATGGTGAAAGGAGCCGTTGGTTTTCTTGGATTCTTTTTTTTATTCCTACAAATTTTGCAAGAATAAATTATTGTTTTTTTATAGAAAATAATAGAGTATAAAATTTATTGTATCTTACCACCGATAATACAAATAATACTACCTTGATACAATTTACCAAGATAATAATACACATGTATGTACAGATTTTGTATTGTTTGTATTATTATTATTATTATTTATCATAACGACATAACCTAAACCATTTGTTTTCAACAAAATTGATAGCGACCCACCAAACAATTTTCGGTTATTTGTGGCAAATTTCAAAATTCTCTCTCTTTTCCACTGAATAAAAGTTTCTCTCTTTCTCCACCAATGGCTGAAATGCAGATTGGGAAAGTATGCACAAATTCGCACTACATGGCCCCTATTTTGTCTTCCTTTTTTATGCGCCAAGGATATTTTTGTAGAATCTAAGGCAAACTTCCGTCTATTATGATCCTCAACTCAATTATTTTTTTTAGGGTGATTTAGGAGTACAATTGCAGTTCAATCGATACTTATCGTAGACGACATTCTTTATTATTAAAATGGATAGACCGTCGATAAACGAGTAATTAAACAACAAGTATATTTGCATAATTTATGGTCACAACACAAATAATATTTACGGGGATGATTGGTGAAAATGTGTCAAAAAATGGGACTTAAAAGGAGAAGCTAGTTTGAGATTTTAAAAAAGTAATGTGTGCAATTGAAACAAACAAAACAAAAAAAAAGACAATAACATTTTATTTGGAGATACGAATCTGAAACCACCCTCTCATATTCGTCAAATACCCTGTGTATGATATTTGAAACACTTTTGAAAAAGCTAGCGATAATAATACAACACAATTTTTTGTACACAAACGATTTATTTGATACAAAATAACTCATAACAATAACCCATTTTTGTATATGTGTGTTGGGTGAAGACTGAAGAGACTAAGAGGTCGTTTGCTTGTTGGATTTGAAAAATGAGGGTTTTGGCTCAAAAAAACCTTTGGATTTATGAGGGATTTGTACCATCATGGATTTGAAGAGTCTATTGTTTGCATGATAGATTTGTTGATATAATTATGATGGATTTGCTATAAATATAACTAGCCATCAAGGATTTACAAATCCCACCCCAATATGTGGGATTTAAAAGTCCGTGGGGTCCACGGATTTGGATCCAAAAAAGGGAACAAATCCGTGGACCCCACGAATTTAACACCTGACAGCAAACAATAGACTTGGCTAAAATCCATCATGCTTGGGATTTGAGTCTCAAATTCATGACCCAAATCCATCAAGCAAACGACCCCTAATATTTAAATGGTCGTGGATAGGCCAACGTCCACCACTTTCTTTCTAGTACAATAGGGCAAAAATTTTCTCTCCTATTAAATTCTCAGCCAGCCAGCCATGATCGCCACCGACACGTGTCCACACAGTCCACCTGAATCCCACCGGGAACCGGCGGAGCCGGCGGGGAGAATTTCGAATCAAAAGAGCGAGCCAGCTGGAGTGGGCCTGGGCCGGGAAGCAAAAAAGCAATTCGAATCTAACGGCGCTGTTACCTGTAGTTAGCTGAAAGCTCGCCCCTCGTCGCTACACGTGTCAGATGGGTCGCTTTCGCTTGCCCTTGTGGATTGGGGTTATTGTCGCTAGCTTTTTCAGAAGTGTTTCTCGTAACTGTCCTGTCAGGTGAACACTTCCTTTCCCCTTCGTTAATTTTTCTGTTAAAAAAATCAAGCCCCTAACTTCACGCGTGCATCCACGCTCCTGCGCCCTCGTGGGCCCGTTCTTCCCGTATCTTTTTTTCCGGTTGGCTTTGATAGCCTACGCGCCATGGGGGAAGCGTGGGGAGATATTAATTGCGGGAACCGTGAACGAGTTTAATGACTGATTGCTACGACATCGTTTTGTATGCTTGAGGGAATAGAAACTCGCCGATCTATTGTGCAGGAAGGAAGGAGTCAATCAACCCGATAAATCTGACGGTTAAAACTCTTACGTCAATCCCACTCCCTTTAATATGCTTCTTTTCTCTTTTCTCTTTTCCCCATGAAAAATAAAATTTGTTTTCTACGATGATCCACTACCAAAATGAAACTCATTTAACTTAAAACCATAAAAATAATGAAATGTTAATTATGCAAAATGCTTCTACCATGTTAATTTGGACCGAGAACAATTACGTGATGGATATGCTGCAAGATTTTGAAAGAAACAATGTTGATTCCTGACAATCACTGCGACAATCGATTTAATTTTACGTCAGTCTGTTCAGAAAAAACTGCGACGAGAAAGTATATGGAGAAAATGACACAGTTATGCAAAGAAAATGATTTTTAAACGATGCAAGAGAAATGCGCATATGACTTTCGGACTGATCCAATTTACGATCGAGTTAAGTCAATAGTTGGATCTGTTTAAATAGTTGACCACCAATGATCCAAACTAAATATACCGAGTGGACTATTCACATAATTTAGCTGAAATACTAAATTTTTTGAACTTAGGTGTTATATTTTGTTGTTTTCAAGTTGGTACAACTAAAAAAATATTCTCATTATTCAACTATTTTTAGCGCAAAGGTACGTCCAACTCCACCGTATTTCATAAATACCTCAAAAGGTTACTTATCTGTTTATTCTGAGAAATTAAAAAATGTAAAAAAAAAAAAACAAATATACGTACGAAAAAGTCCATCACCAAATATCACAATTTTTTAGAACAATAAAATAATAAATAAAAACATAAAGGCTAGTTGGGAATTTAATTTATAAAATCCCCCCCTTCTCTCTCCTCTCTCTCCCTCCTACGGAAGTTTTCTTTCCCCTTATATTCATCGGAATCATTTCAACGCCATTAGAGAAAGAAAAACGCTTTCTCTGTTTCCGCCTTTCCTTCTCCTCTCTGTCTCTCTCTCCTTTCATTCAATTTCCTTCATTTACTGTTATTATCTTCCCTCATGCGTTTCCTCAATCACCAACTCTTCTTGTAGCCTTCCCCTCCCCCCCAATCCCCTCCGGAAACAGAGAGAAAAAGAGAGAGGATAAAAATGGCTTCTGGGTTCCCCGGCGGAGGAGGAATCGGCGGCGGTTCAGATTTATTCTCAGGCAGATCGATGAATCCCAACTCGCAGACAAACACTCCTTACAGAACCCAGCTCTCCCAAATCTTCCTCGACTCTTCTTCCCAGATCGCCCACCAGCAACAACAACAACAACAGCAGCAGCGGTTCCACCACTCGCCGGTGGCTAGTTACTTCGGGAAGAGAACCCTGTCCGATTACCAGACTTCTTCTCAGCACCATCTTTACCAACAGCAGCAGCAGCAAAACCAGAGTAGTGGTGGCTTGAATCCGTTTAACGCCCTCCTGGCGCGCTCCGTCAAGCCGAGGATTTACCAGAACAGTAATACCACCACCACAACTACTTCTCCGATTTCGACTCTTTCCCCCATAGAATTCTCCGCCAACAACTTCTCGCCTGACTTGCCGGCGGTCTCTCAACATCAGCAACGCTATGGGTTCCCGCTGCTTCAGCAATTGAGGCCTCAGCCTATAAATACAGGGAACAACAGCAATAATCCCCAATTTCAAACTCTGCAGGGAGTTCCGTTTGCGAACTCGGTCCAGTCGACTCAGCCTGTTCAGATGAGTCAGAATAACAGGGGAATTGGTGCTACATATGCTGCTGCTCCTCCGCCGGCGGAGGAGTCGGAGAAGAAGATGATGAATCGGCTTCAGGAGTTGGAGAAGCAGCTTCTGGACGACGACGACGACGAAGACGAGGAAGGATCCGGCGGGGACGCTGTTTCCGTCATCACCAACACCAACAGCGAGTGGTCGGAGACGATTCAGAATCTCATCTCTCCTTCCTCTTCCTCCAGCCCCACACCCGCCAACAACAACAACAACAACAATCAGATTTCTCCTTCGCCCAGCCCGTCCTCGTCGTCTTCCACTACTTCCTCCACGACGACCTCCGCCGCGATTTGCACGAGGCCGGTTTTAATGGAGGCCGCGGCGGCGATTTACGAAGGGAAGACCGACTCCGCGGCGGAGATCCTGTCTCGTGTGGTTTCTAGCGGAGGAAAGGGGAATTCGGAGCAGAGGCTGATGGATTATTTATACTCGGCGCTCAAATCGAGAGTGAATCCGGCGGAGAATCCGCCGCCTGTGGCGGAGCTGTACGGCAAAGAGCACGCCGCGTCAACCCAGCTGCTGTACGAGCTCTCCCCATGTTTCAAGCTCGGGTTCATGGCGGCGAATCTCGCGATTCTCGAATCCACTCTAGAGGAGGAGGTAGAAGAAGAACAGGGGAATACTACGAAGATGATGAAGAAGAAGAGCAACGGTTTCCACGTCGTGGATTTCGACATCGGGCAGGGCGGGCAGTACATGAACCTCCTCTACGCGCTGGCCGAGCGTCTCAACGGGAGCCCCGCGGTGGTGAAGATCACGGCGGTGCCGGACGGCAGCGGAGGAGAGGAAGAAAGGGAGAGGCTGAATTCAGTCGGGAAATCCCTCCGCCAGCTGGCGGAGGGGCTCGGGATCGCGCTCCACTTCAACGTCGCGGCGGCGAGCTGTTGTAAACTCGGCGATCTGAGCCGGGAGTCGCTGGGCTGCGAGGCGGAGGAGCCCCTGGCGGTGAACTTCGCGTTCAAGCTGTACAGGATGCCGGACGAGAGCGTGACGACGGAGAACCCGCGGGACGAGCTGCTGCGGCGCGTGAGGGCGATGGAGCCGCGGGTGGTGACGGTGGTGGAGCAGGAGATGAGCGGGAACACGGCGCCGTTCCTGGCGCGCGTGAACGAGGCGTGCGGGTACTACGGCGCCGTGCTGGAGTCGATCGAGGCGACGGTGGCGCAGGGGGAGGCGGAGCGTGGGCGCGTGGAGGAAGGCGTGGGGAGGAAGCTGGGCAACGCGGTGGCCTGCGAGGGAAGGGACCGGGTCGAGCGGTGCGAGGTTTTCGGGAAGTGGCGGGCCCGGATGGGGATGGCCGGTTTTCGGGCGAAGCCGCTGAGTCGGGCCGTGACCGAGTCGATGCGGGCGAGGCTGAACTCGACGAACCGGGCCAACCCGGGGTTCACCGTCAAGGAAGACAACGGCGGGGCTTGTTTCGGTTGGATGGGGAAATCTCTCACCGTCGCTTCCGCTTGGCGTTAACTTCACTCACTCACTCGCCCTTTTTTTTTTTTGGTTTGTGTTTTTGGTTTTTTTTTGCTCATTTTCACCACCACCCCTCGTATTGTTACTACTACTACTACTAATTGTCATACTAGCGGTAATTTCTCGAAGTTTCCTACCAATGTGGAAAATGCAAAGAGGGGAAAGGGGGGAGCAATAAAAGTGTTGTCTTCATTGGAGGAAAAGACTATGGTTTTGTGCCAATTGGAAACTTGTTACAATCCCCTCAATTCAATCTAAGCTTCAACTATTGGAATCTAAACGGGGGAGCGCATCGCAACGTCCACAAGTGATTCGATCATAAATTCTCTTTTAATTACCCTTTTGCATCGCGGTTTGGGTCTCTTCCTGTGTTTATACTATCAAAATGCTTAAAATCTATTGTGAATATCAATGATGTCCTATTTGCACTGCAGATTACTAAGTGTTTGAGAGGGCGATAATTTCCCAATTCTATGTGGCAGGGATATTGGGTTTGTTTAGTGGCATTTGTTTGTTTGTTTTGATAATTGAGTTTGGTTTAGGGTTGGAGAATTTTGTGTTTTGTTTGGGAGTGGATTGGAAGTATGTGTATGTGTGAATGAAACAGAGAGAGAGAGAGAGAGAGAGAGAGTTGGGGGAAAAAGGGGAGGAAAATAATGGGTTAGGGTTTGGTGCAAGGTTGGTGGGAAATTGGGTATGGTTAAAGAGATGGTATGGTTGGCTTGAGTATTCTCCAATTGGGGGAATGGAATAGGCTTTGTGATAGAGAGAGGGCTCCACTTTGTGAAGAGATTATTTTTTTCCAAATTGTGGGGGGAGAGTATGGTGTTGGGGTTTTCTATTGTTTGGGGAGAGATGGGCTCCACACAGCTATATGGTACTTTGATGGTGAAGTACCATGAAAGATATATAATTATTATATACACATTTATTTGTTTCAACAAAGTTTATGGTGGTGGCCTGGTAAGTTGTAAGTAAGGCTCAATCTTTCAATTGGTAGATTTATTATGGCAATTGAAAGATTGTGAATGAGTCATTTATATGTGTAGCTCAGAGGTGTTGATATGATTGATTGTGATGAATGGTTTTCTATGTTGTTATTGTATATGCGAAGGTTTAATCGTAGTAACGATTCTTGGATGGATGGATGGATGTACAAAGTACGTACTCGTGGGGATCAAAAGTTCCATCGGTCGATCCAATTGTTGGGGCGAGTATTGATGACAGTGTGTGGGATCTGCTGATTGGCATTGTTGCTATTGTTGCCTCGTGTGTGGGCGAGGATATGGGTGCGAGGCACCTAACTGCATTATATTAGCACTATAACCGGATTGCTTTCTATGAGAAGGGTAAACTTTAGAAGTTGAGTGGGATTTCCAATGAATTTAAGTAGGTCATTTTCTTTCTTTTTCATTAGTAATTGGATGAGAGATACTCTCAAATAACTTATAAAAATAAGATACTCTTAAATAGTTCGTTTTATTTATTTGGATATTCCATTCGGTTGTGACAACGACATCAATGAAAAGATAAACAAGAGAAAAAAGAATAAATTACGCAAGAAGAGAAGGGCATTTGTTTGGTATTGAAGATCTTTGGCTAGATGAACATGGTACAGTTTTGTTTGTGCATGCATATTCAAGAGACATACAATACCATAAGATTAAACCACATAAACCTTGTGTTTTACTATTGTTCTTTTATGTTATTTCTTCAGAAATAAAAATTGTTCAGAACAATGCAGATCAAACCAATACCATAACCTGATAAGGAGATTGAAACGGTTTGGTTTCTCGGTTAACCAAAAAAAACCCAAACCCGTTATCCCTTCCACAGGCTAAATACATTCTGTCGGGCAGCTGGATCATATTATGCTTTTAAATAGATTGATAACACTATAATTGTAACAATTCGAACTCGAACCTTCTCAATAAAAGAAAAGTACCCGAATCGATGATGAGTTCAAAATTCCATACCATATGCTTACATCTATTAGTGAGATCAAATAAGACATTTTTTTCTTCTTTCTTCCAGACTGAAATTACTGAATATAAGTGATGAATGGTTTCAGTTGAACTAAATGCAACTTCATTGGCCACCGGTCTCCAACTAATGCCTACTTACAACTCACCAAATAAAATGAGAAGTCTCCAGCTTTGTGAATGACGTATACTTCCACAAGCCCACAACTCTTCTTCTTCTTCTAGGGTTCGACTTTGGGAGAGTGGGTATAGGGTCGGGTCGGGTCCCCCATTGTGCATGTTGGTCCAGAGGTAAGTTGTTGCCATTATTGATCTCTTTATTAATCAACTTGGAGTAAAAGAGAGATTAAGTGACCACTAGTTCACTAGAGGTCAAAGGCAATTGCACAAAGTGTAACATATGGTTTGGTTTCCCGCCATCATTTTGTGAAGTCAAAAGTTTCTAGCAGTAACAACTGTGTTCTAATGTGTAACGTTACTTCTTATTACATCGTTGATATGGTTCTCGCTACTCGTAGTATAGGCAATGAAGTCAATCTATCTCGAGAACCCCGGCAAGTGTCGTACGTTGGATTTTCTATGGATGGATCGAAGCTCTCATGGACAGAGTCCTGCCACGCCCACGAATCTGTCGCCCCACAAAAGAAAAGAAAAAAAACAGGGCCGCTGTTTGATTCGTTTACGATGATAGATACAAAGGACCGCAACCAACTGTGCTGGCTGGGTAACAGGGCATAACGTAGCGCATATCAAAGTCAAAGCTTTGGCAACATACATGTATCCACCGGATTTCTCAACGTGTTTTTTTTTTTTTCTCGCTAGAGCTTTCTTTTCCATCCTTTTTGCAGGTTAGTTTTCATGTAGTTTAAGAGACGATAAATGAATTGAATGTATGGATTGGTGTAGTAGTTATTTATGGAGATGATAAATTGATTGGATTATAGATTATTGGTGTTTCCATTGATCAAATGAATTAGTGAATTTATAGGTTAGATCAAATGAATCGATGGACTGCATTGTAGGATCCAAGTGGTATTCAAACATTTGGATTAATATGTAAAATTTTAAAATTTTAAGGAACTAAAACATTATGATAAAGAATCAAGGTACCAATACCTAATTTTCAATTACATTTTACATTAAATTAGATTTTAGTTATCAAAATGTAAAATATAAAAATATAGGTACGAAACTATAGTTTATCAAATAACCATGAATCCACCAATCCCAGTGGATTGGATTGAATATACATTTTAGTGGATGGATTGGATTGTTTTGGTGGATTTGATACAAAATTATCACCTCCAGTTAGTGGTGTACAACAATTTGGTCATGCTATTTGGGACGTGAAGTAATGTTGTGAGTGGCGAACTCAAAATTTTTATAAAGAGTAGTCAACGATAAACCAAAATCTCTAGCGTTGTCACGTAGTCCCAAATTCAAATTTTTTTATTGAATGGAGGTTGGGAACCAACCGAAACAGGATATCAGAACATTACAAGAGAGAAAACAGAGGCTCTTAGCACTCTTATCTAATCATTATACGGGGTAAACTAACTCCTATAATGTCTTCCCTGAGAATAGTCCTCAAAGTCCCCGGGGGATCATCCAGTTCATGCACACCAAAGGGATAGACGAGACTGTGCTTCAAGAGCAAGTCCGCGACTCTATTCCCTTCCCGGTACGTATGAACTAGTTGAACCACCTAGTTCTGCGCAAGCGTCCTCCGAATATCTCTCAGGATGCCCGCATGAAGGTAGGTCGGCTCGTGAGGCTGCTGAATGAGATCAAGGGCCAATCGGGAGTCAAATTCAATAATGAGAAACTGAATCCCCTGCTTCCAGGCGAGCTTAATACCCATAAGAATACCCTAGAGCTCCGCCATGATAGCCGAGCCTGCTCCAATCCTGCAAACAAAACCTCTTATCCATTCCCCGTCACTATTGCGAATAACACCTCCTGCCCCAATGTCTCCATAACGCCCCCGTGCCGCTCCATCTGTGTTTAACTTGACCCAACCTGCAGGTGGGGGTGACCAGCCAATAAGCTCCTCAGAGCGGGCTTCTTTGGTTTGCATATCCAGCCTCCTGCACACAGCTACCAGGCTGCCACCCACTCTTTAGCTTTGACAGTAACATAATGAAAAAAATATGGTAGGGAGAATGCCTTTCTTCGGAAGATCTTCTCATTTCTTTGTTTTCAGATGAACCACATGACGAGGATGAAGTAGCTTGCCCACTCCCCCGGCCAGTTACCTAGGCTGTTATTGTTTAAGTTCTCCCTCAACCATGCTCCATGTTCCATCGACATGAAATCATTGATCTTGTCAGTTGGGATGATTCTTTTCCAAATGCTGCTCGCTCTCTGACAATCTCTAAGGCAATGATATTTGTTTCAGGAGTTCCATGATATTCCGACAGTTGTCATCCTCCGTTAGATGCCTGTACTTCCTCACACTGTTGGTTGAGAGCTTTCCCGAGGCTGCAATCCAAACAAAAACCCGAACCCTTTCTGGAACATGGAGTTTCCATATTTTCTTCCAAGTTGGCGGCGCTTGTGGGCTGTTCTGTGGGGAGATGGCGCGGAAGGCTGAATTGCAAGTGTAGTGTCCATTAGTTGTCAGTTTCCATATAAGCCGGTCTTCTTCGTGGGACAGAGAGTCCACGTCACAAGCTCGAGTGTAGCTATGATCTTCGGAGTCAGGTAGTCTTCAAAAGCCTCCACCTTCCATCCCTGCGTCTCCTCCCAATAGTGGGCCACTAGTAGATGGAGCATCTCGGTCGGTACCTCGACGATAGTCAACTCAATTAGGGGAACCTGCAATATCCACACATCCAACCAAAATTTAGCTTTCTTTCCATTGTTGATACTGAAGCACAGCCTTTGCGTAGAACGTTAACGGATTGACAGAAACTACGCTAGGTGAAAGAACTTCCCTTCAAGTTACTAAGTGGGTCAATACCGGCTCTCGTCCGCCCATATTTGCTCTTCAGAACGTGGACCCAGAGCAGTTGATTGTTCGTGGCAATCATCCAAGCACCCATTGCCAGCATTGCCTGGTTAGCCAAACCGGGTAGGCCGAATGCCAACCTCCCTTAGTTCCTGGGTAGCGTCATCTGATCCCAAGCTACTGGGTGAAAATTTGTTTTCCCTTCCTCTTCAAATACTACCACCACAAATATAATATTTTGCACAGATTTATTGTCCAAAATTTCAAGGTTTGTGAATTTACAATCCATTGAACCACTTGGATCCGCCTCTGAATGCAAGTTACATGAATTTCAACCATATGTGTAATTTGCAGGTGAAATGCATGTAAAAAAATGTTATGACTAACGTCGAATGATAATGGGTGGACTCGTTAGTCATAACATTTTAACCCAATTTAAAAAGTTATCCAAATCGAATAACAAATTGTTTTAATCTAACTACGAATGATAATGGGTGAACTCGTTGGACAATTTAACCCGATTGTCATGACCCATATGATATTGGTTCGAACCTAAATGAACTCATATGCATTTTTAATGATTTTGGGTATGGGTTGTTTTGGTTGGGGTTGAAATGGATCGGATTTGGTCAATTCGTTGGGCTCCTACCCAAACGAGTCTATTTGGATTAAGAAAATAATACATATAAAAAAAATAATATCAATCATCTTATTAATTACATTCAACTCAATTACATCGATAGTGCTGGTGTTTTCACCTTTCTATTTATTTCGCAACAAAAACTCAGGCAAAATTTTCCTTAGAATTAGGTATCTATTTTAATATTGTACACGCAACAGGCCAATACATGTTACCAATTTAGACTCAAAATAAAAAATTGAGTATGAGTAATTCCCAAAAGCAAAGTTACTCAAACATAATTTATACATTTTAAAATCAATTTTACAATATCCAAATATTGAGCCCTTTTTGTCAATCTCTAAATATAATCCTAATTCGTATCGTTTAGCTTTTAATACGAGTTTCTACTTTCTATGTTAACTCGGTTCGAATAGAGTAGCGTTTAATATGCTTTAGCTAGCAGTATTCATCCAGCTGGGAAAAAAGTTTGGGCCAGGCTATGGCCCATTTCGGACATTAATAGCTTTAGGTTTTCACTCCAATCAATCTCATTCTTTCAATGGGACATATCGTTTGAAAGTTGGCACCATTCTCACACAACTTGATGTAATAAATATATATTGCTCAAATTAATAAATTATACCTTTCCAACAGTGTTTGAGCTTGATATAAGCTAATTTTGGATTTTTAGTTATCGAATTATTATTCACAAATAATTTTGTACCTCATATTTTATATCGATCACGTTAGGGAAAAATAACACATAAGTAAGATGTCATGATAATTTATTGTGCCACAACATAGTCAACAAATTGATTGATGTACTTTCACAAGTGGTACCACGTGAACAATTTCATTGTTCCGAGTAAGGGTGTGAAATGATCTAGTCCGTACCGGATTGCACCAGACGAAACCAAAATTTAGATTGGATCATATCAGACCGAGTATTATGTGATTCGGTCTTTGACTCCTCATGAATTTTACAATTACGGATCGAACTAGACCAAATTGACCAAATGAAATGATGGTTCGGTCTTTGATTTTAAGATGTCTTTTACTAATGGACCACGGTTCTTATAAGTTTGGTTCGGTCCGGACCGGATCGAACCGTTGCGTGTATAAAGAAGAATAGCAAGAAGCAGTTTAATATTTCATCTGGGCCTGGCCCAAGTTATGGAGGATGATCTGCTCAGTAACCGTTGGGCCGTTTTGTCTTGTTCTAGAAATCACCTTTAGCTCTTAATGGTGCTCTAGCAAGCCTGCAATTAAATACGAAACCCCAGCTCGCCAAAATGCATATATTGGGCCGCCCGGCCCAAAGGTTAGAAAATTTGCCGTTAGACATACCGCCTTTTCCCACTTCCCCCAGTCTCGGCGTATATATTCAAGAAAGGAGCCGTTGGAAGAAGAACAAAGGTCATTTTTTCAGTTCTCCAATAACCTTCCCCGATTTCTCATTACTCTCAAGAAAGCAACCATAGTTCTCAGAGTCTCAAGCAGTTCCAGAAAGATCAATCACACTTGCATCCGTGAGTTTTCTTCTTCCTCTTTGAGATTTCTGTTCGTTGCTGTCGCTGCTTTTAGGGATTCGAGTTCTGGGTTCTCTAAGTTCAGTGAGTTAGTAGCAAAGTTTCTTTCCGCCTTGGAACCCACTTAGAGAATCGATTGTTTGGAAGAATATATCGGATAATTAGAAAATAACCACAGTTCTCAGAGTTTCGAAGCAAGTTTCAGAAAAGGGTGATCAATCTCTGCAAGTCTCTTTCTCGTGAGAAACCCCCCTGTATTTCGTGCTGATTTTAGGGATTCAAGTTTTGGGTTCTTCTGGTTTAGGGATTCCAGTGTTGGGCTTTTCTGATTTTGGGTTCTCCTGATTATGGGGATTCGAGTTCTGGGTTCTTCTGATTCTATAGATTCAAGGTTCAAGTTCTGGGTTCTTCTGATTTTAGGGTTTTAACATAGATCGTGCCCACTTCGAATCCTTTTAGAGAGTTTTGATCCTTATATCCCTTTGAAGTATAATTAACGGCTTTTCATCCCCGTGTTTGCAGGATAATTAGAACCACCCTTCAGAATCTTACGAAAATGGCGTCAAGAGTTGGCGGTGGTGTTGCTCAGGTTCGCAATGTTGACTACAAAGGTAATTGACTTAATTTCGTAATTTTCATCATACTGCACCATGTGTGTCTACTTATTGGCAACTGGCTAGATTTTCCACTTATCCAATTTTACCTGCAGATTGGCTGAATACAGATGTCTCCAAGCCATCCAAGAAAGGAGGAGGGTTAGGTGGGAGGACACCGCTGGGTGATTTGTCAAACGCATTGAAGAACTCTTCTTCTCTGAACAAAACATCCAAGAAGCAGCAGCAGACTGGTTCAGGAATTGCAGGATTGAATGGTAAAAAGAAGACTTCTGCTTTCGGTGGAGGAGCCAATGCTGCAAGTGGTAAAACGAGTGTTAAAGCTTCTGGGAACAGGAAGGTCCTTTCTGATATCTCAAACTCGTCCAATGTGCCAACGGGAAGTGATATCTCGCAGAAGAAGGCGGTGAAGAACAGCAAGAGACTGAGTGTTGTGCAGGAGGAAGACCCAATGCATCCATGTGCAATCGCTGAGGAAGGGTTTCTGCACAATCACGATGAATGCATCAAGGCTCAGAATAGACAGATGGATTTGGATGAGTTCTTGAAGATCCTTGGTTTAGACAAAGGTAAATCTATTGATCGATCACTGTTTGTTGGTTATCTACCATGTTAAGTTTTCATTGAACACCCTTTGTTTTTTTCTTTTCCCCCAGATTGTTCTGAGCACTTCGAGAACCGGCGAGCTCAAGTAGAGGTCAGTTGGAGGAATCTCCATAGCTACTCAATTGAAGGAAACCTTCATCTAACCATGTTAACCAGTTTGGTCCATTTTTTCCTATGTTTCAGCCTGACAGTCCTAAGCTGCACTACGAGCTCATGGAAGAAGAGGAAAGTTGGAACTTTGAGTTTCCCACAATGCGCAATCTTCACTCTTCCCCCTGTTCAAGTCCACCATCGCCCAAATCCGATTCAAGCTGGTTGGATTGTGACCATGACTTCGTCAACTTCCAGCTGACAGCTTCTCCTTAACTGCTGCTTGATCAAACTCAAGCATATTGGGATCTAATCTTCCTGAAGCATTAGATGTGAATTGTGTTGTTGAAAACTACTGAATGATGCCAATTCTGTTTGGCATCTCTCTAGGTTCTCATTGATCAGTGTCTTTCGACTTTTGTTAATTGATCAAATCGTGCTTAGCTGCTGAACTGAAGCTAGTAATGTAGACCTCTTTCTTCGTTCTTCCAGTGTGAATGTGATTGACTATAATGTTGTCTGTTGTGGATTTGCTATAGCTTCTCAGTTTTTGGGCCGGTAGGCCCAGCTGGAAACCAATCTTTGGAGCTTTGATCCAACAACTCGTATTATGGACTCCTTGAAACAAGACCAAGCCCAAGCCCAATCAGCTGTGAGCCTGTGAATAAGCTGGCTAAGCTGTTCTTTCTCTCTCTCTCTCTCTCTTTCTACGCGCTTCTTCTTAGCGAAAGCCTCATCCTTCTTTGCCAAGCAGCTTCCCAATCCATGTGCTGCTAAAAACCCCACGGGAAAAAGCTTCCCCCGCTGCTCCGCTCGCCGAGAAATGGTGGTAGTATCGTCTCTCCGGCTGCCGTCTCTCACCTCCCTCTTCTTCGCCTCTTCTCGGTCAACTCATCGAGCTCCGGCTACTCTATTCCGCCGGCAGCAGCCGTACCTCGCCGCGGCGAGGTTTTCGGCCCAGAGTGCCGCGTCGTCCAGTCTGCCGGAGACCACGGAGGAGCTAGCCCCTGCGAACCAGAAGAAGAGTAGTAATAGTAATAAGGTGAACCAGGACCGAGTCATCACGCCTCGTTCGCAGGATTTCAACGCTTGGTACCTTGATGTGATTGCTAATGCTGAGCTCGCTGATTACGGCCCCGTTCGGGGAACTATGGTCATTCGCCCATACGGCTACGCCATCTGGGAGGCAATTCAGGTGCGGATAAGAGCTGGTATGAAGATTGCTCCTATGGCTTTTTTTTTTCTGCTACAATTAGCTTAATTGGAATTGGTTTCCGCTCTTGATTCAGGACTATTTGAATGTCAAATTCAAGGAGACCGGGCATAGCAACATGTATTTCCCACAGGTAATGGTGTCTTTTCCAATTCGAAACAGCTTGTAAGTGTCAGATGAGCCATTTTGTGCTAGTCAGCAATCAAGTAATCGTGTGGTTCAATTGCGGCTGCAGTTTATACCGTATTCGTTTATTGAGAAAGAAGCTAGTCATGTTGAGGGATTCAGTCCTGAATTGGCTGTTGTAACTATTGGAGGAGGGAAGGAACTCGAAGAAAAGCTTGTGGTACGAAGATTGAACCTTGGCCTTTCTTGTTTCAGAATTCAGTGTTCTAGTGTTTTGCATGTTGAGAGATGTGAATGTTGGTTAAGTTTGTTGACAACAACAGTGGTCTGAGTTTTGGTCTTTTGATTTCTTCACTCGTTGAGGTTGTGGCAGGTGAGACCCACCAGCGAAACCATAGTGAATCACATGTTTACTCAGTGGATTCATAGTTATCGTGATCTGCCTCTTTTGATCAACCAGGTGAGAGTAAAACATTTTTTTATGTGGAGGGTTGTGATATGTGGTTAGCATTGTTCGCGTGTAATTATTTGAAGTATTGATCTGCTACCTCAGTGGGCAAATGTCACTAGATGGGAAATGCGCACCAAACCGTTTGTGAGGACTCTCGAGTTCCTGTGGCAGGAGGGTCATACGGCTCATGCAACTCCAGAAGAGGCAGAAGAAGAGGTTTGCATCTCATTTATTGACAAGGATGTGCAGTTGTATGCAAACATAGTACATCTCATTTATTTATGAAGATGTGTAGTTGTGTGCAAAGGTTGTATCTTGCTTATGGACTTGCTACTACTGAACTGCAGGCTCTGAAAATGATTGATGTCTATACAAAGTTTGCTTACGAGGAAGCTGCAATACCAGTGGTTGTAGGTAGAAAATCCAGAGAAGAAACATTTGCTGGAGCTGTTAGAACGTATACAATAGAAGCTATGATGGGTGATAGAAAGGCTTTGCAGGCCGGAACCAGCCATAACCTCGGGCAGAACTTTTCTCGGGCTTTTGAAACGCAGGTAATTTCTTGATGTTTAGTGTAAGATCTTTACTTTGAAAGTTATATCGAGAATTGGATAGCCTTTTCAGTTGAGCTTCATCATGCTAACTGAAAGCTGAAGACCAACTCAATTTTTGAATTGGTTTCTTCAAATACAATCCATCACTTTGTTATGATCCTATATGACCTGTCTGTAACCATGTCATCCACCATAGCTTGCTGCTCAACTTTGTCAAACTGTAACTGGATTAAAATACAAACTAGCGTGGGAATATTTGGATGGTAGATACAATATATGCTCATAAGAAAGTACTTCTTGCTTTGAGTCTTGGTGTTTTGTATTCTGTCCTTATCCTTCGATATATGTCTACATAGTTCCAGTACTTGAGTTTTCGAGGCAGTTTTCTGTGATGGGTTTTAGTTGACGGAGACTGAAGTTGATACTGCACGAATTAATGAGGCAAGTAACTTAGCTTGATTTTCAGTACCGTATCCTGATGTTGTTTGGTTGTATTCCCACTGGTGTGACAGTGTAACTTTTGATACTGCCTTTCTATAACTCTTAATATGTATGCAACACCATAGGCAACATGCCTATGGCTGGTTTGATGTCTTGCAAGGATCACTGCCTATTTTGCCAACATGGTCTAGCTTCCTTCTTGCTGTTTCCTGTTTGCATTTTATCTGAGTGTCTCCATTTTTCTGTCTCGTCACCCGGCTCGTGGTTACAGTCCGAATACCAAGGAGCTTCCTTTGTTATGCGATAATCGATGTTCTGAATCCTTCCGGGACCAGTTTGAGACTCCTGCATTATTTCTGGCTAAGCTACTTTGTTAAATGGTGATTCTGAATATCTCACTTAGGAAATAAAAGGTTATATTCCAAGTAGTCCACTTATGTTCTTTTCTCTTTGTTCAGTTTACTGATGAGAATGGGCAGAGGCAACATGTATGGCAAACATCATGGGCTGTGAGTACACGTTTTGTTGGTGGGATTATCATGACACATGGAGATGATGCTGGCCTAATGCTTCCTCCCAAACTTGCACCAGTTCAGGTACTTGTGCTCCACTCTGCCGGGACACTCAGATTTGCTCTTTTCAAGGATCTTGGATATGAAAATATTCCAGCCCTGATATATTTTCACCTAAGGGAATGATACCCAATAGCACCATATATTTTCCTTTTAATACATATGAACTTGTTTGTTCAAAATCCTTCTCGCCGTTACTCGTATTAAATCGGAAAAGGGAATTTGTGTTGCAATTGCCTTGTCCTGATATATGGATTTGCATTACAGGTAGTGATTGTGCCCATATGGAAAAAGGATGATGAAAAGGCTGGGGTTCTGAATGCCGCGTCCTCTGTAAAAGAAATTCTGCACTCCGCTGGTGTGAAAGTCAAACTCGATGACTCGGACATGAGAACCCCTGGATGGAAGTTCAATTTCTGGGAAATGAAGGTAGCTCTTCTAAACCTAAGCTATGCCTATACACATAATTGTTTGCCCCCTACTCCGAATCCATCAAGTAAAATAGTTGGCTTGGGTTTTTGCAGGGAGTCCCTATTAGGATTGAGATTGGTCCTCGAGATGTTGCAAGCGGAAGTGTTGTGATATCAAGGAGAGATGTTCCTGGAAAGCAAGGAAAAGTTTTTGGAATATCAATGGAGCCTACAACTTTAGTAGGTTATGTGAAAGACAAGCTGGACGAGATCCAAGCATCCCTGCTGGCTAAAGCCACATCATTCCGAGATAGGTATATTTTCGTCCTAGTATCATCTACAGGATAGCTCTTTGTTATTCCTTCTGATTAAACACTGGAAATATAAGATTTTTTCTTCTTTTTCATTCATTGCTTTTCACTCAAGAAATCAAATTACACCGTTGCCTTCGTCTCACTCGTTCACAGTAACATTGTCGACGTGAGCTCGTATGACGAACTTAAAGAAGCTATATCCCAGGGCAAATGGGCAAGGGGTCCTTGGTCCGCAAGGTACTCGTATTAATCTCATCTTCCTTCAGTCATTCTCGTTTCCAGTTCCCCTTTCCCTCAAATTGGTTACTCCCTCGTCGCAGCGACAAATACGAAGCAAGAGTGAAAGAAGAAACCGGAGCAACCATCCGATGCTTCCCATTCGAACAGCCCGCAGGAACCAAGACATGCTTGATGACTGGCCAACCAGCCGACGAAGTCGCCATTTTCGCCAAGTCCTACTAGCTGCGGTAAAGGTAACACCTTTCCTGTTCCCAGACCACATCTACGCATTACCCAAATTGGCCAAAGCAAAATTAGGCTTTAAGCGATTCTGAGTTTGATACATAGGACGTGAACATGTCTCTTGTAGCTTGATTCTTACACCTTCAGGAAGGTTCATATCTCTTTTGATTCTCTCTCTCTCTCTCTCTCTCTCTGCCTTCTTCTGGTGAGCTTCTGCTGGGTTTGGTTTTGTACTCTCTAGTGTTTAAATGTAAGTGTTGGACGATTACAAAAAGGAGAGGCCAGGAATCAGAAATGGGGGCTGTGGTTGTAGAATAAGAGGATCGTAATTCGTAGTATGTGTGACAGGGAAAGGGATGGGAGAGGTGGCAAATGAGGTTGCAGGGATGTAGATGGGAGAAGGCGGAGAGAAAAGGAATCTTTTCTAATCTTGACTTTTCTTCGTTTTCGTCCTTCCTCTGAATTCTCCCCTGATTTCCGCCTTCTTTTCTTCTCAGAGCTAGTGGTGGGTGGGATCCGCTTCCATTATCTCTTTGCTTCTATCTATCTTCTTCTTTTATTTTTTGTTTATTATTGAATTCATTTTGGGGGTTATTGCATTTTTGGCCCTTGTACTGTGTACAAATTCCATGCTGCTGAGCTTTCATTTCGTAGATGCTTATTTTCTTTTAAATCCTTGTTTAGAAGGTGAAACCAAGGGCAAAAAGTTTTAGGGCGATAGGATGACAATTTCGACCTAGTGTACATTATTCGATTTGTTTCAACGATATTTTGGGGTGAGTAATGGGTGGGGGGAGCCTGGTGTGGTGTTGGCTCGGGTCCTTGTCCCAACCTAACTCGTCATTCTTGACTCGTCGAGTTTATCTTTGATTTAGTATTTAGTCAAATTGTTTATATTAAGTTATATAATATCATATTCGGAGTCGAATGTAGTCATCCATATGTGAGATTTTCAATTTCTCCAAGCTATTTGATTTCATTAATCACGTCGTTATCTCTGGTTTTAAAAAGTACTTGTTTGTTTTTTTCTTTTCTTTTTCTAATGAAAACGCATGTTTGAATAGGTATGAAGCCTCGGTACGTGTTTCAAGAATACACAATATCCGAATTGGTAATGACCTGCCACAGGATGGGTAATGGCGAATTAGGGGAAACGCTACAATAACAACACCAGGGTGGGTGTTGTTATCATACTGAAGCATATAGGAGGCATGAGATAGGTAGTCTTGTATTTTTTTTTTAAGAAAAAAATTTGGTTGATCAATTTTCTCCCATTAACTTCTATTCTCCTATTGTTGTATAAGTGTTATCATGCTATCTTGTGGCTTGTCCCGTGACTTGCCCACATTTCCATAACTATGTCTTATGTTCAATGTTACGTGGTGGAAAAGGAAAACTAGGCACAAAATGGTTTCTTGAAGAAGAAGAATACATAGTACAAGGACTCGAAAGGAAGAAAACAAAATTTCAGGGACTTGTTTGTTATATTTACATAAAATGGAGGACCGGACTAGCTCCTCCCTTTTGTTTGCTTTCCCCCTCTCAATTGCTGGTGGTGGGGTCCTTTCATTTCTTTCTTCTCTCTCCTTCCCTCACAGCCAGCAGTCTGGCGTGGAATAAAAGTCACGCGGTAACGCGTGGGCCCAATCTTGTTCCCCCGCCCCAGCAATGGAAAGAAACAAAACTGTATTTCACATTTTCACTACGTAAAAATGGAAAAAAGGGATCAAATATTGGCGATTGTATGTGTTGCTGGAGAAGGAAGGTGAAGAAAGGGAGTGGTACAAGGATGAAATTCCAACCATAAGGCAAATTAGGACTCCAAATAAGCTTGAGTTGAGTTTTGACTTGATTTGAGCTGTTCAGCTCGTTTAATGAAAAATTGTGTCTCGTGTTTGTCTTGTGCTCGACATAGACGGCCCTTGATCTCCTGACACGTTGAGAGAGCATTCGAAAGCGTTTCAAATGGAGCAGGGTTGGTCTTATGAGGAGAAGTCTCTAAGTTATCGGGAACAATGTAGTCAAAATCACGCTTTGAAATTTAAAAACTTACGATTTTACGTTTCTAGGTCACTAGAACCGCTTCTACACAAAATCTCAGTTTTTATAACTTTCGTAGTTAAAACTCCGGTTTAAAACTTAAAAACTTACGTTTTTACGCTTCTAGATCACCAAAACGTTTCTACATAAAAACTCGCTTTTGACTACATTTATCGGGAAATCCTCTTGTAGAGGCTTGTCATATCCTTGTGTAAGTAAATGGTATTTGTATCCCATCCCCACTCAAGGGATCTCACAAGGTTTATGAAATCTTAATTGCGTGACACGCTGAAAGATTTCTCTTTAGAAATTCACAGTGATACATCAAACAAAACTCTCGACCAACCGTGTTATTAGTAGTGTTTGGTTTTGGTGAGAAGAATCTACACCTCCATATAGCTAGGGTTTGAGTTTCTTTTCCTAATGGAACTATATAATTTATCGGATGGTAATAGTTGTCATTGAAGGGAGTTTGTCCTCTAACATGATTCACATTCTTGATATTCTAACTCCTATGTCAAATCTTTCCATCGCTTGTGAGTCTCTTTTTTTTTTTTTAAGGCTATTCTTCTAAACCTATCTTTGATTTTAAGTGATATATTGTCATTAGCTTTGATTTTTCTTTGAGGATCAATCTTTAATTCTTCTTGTTCGTATTGTCTTTTTTCGTCTAACAAGAAGAAAAAGAGGATCGTATGAATTTGAATAATTCTCAAACTCGCTTACGTTTTCAAAGAAAAGTTCTAAGTAAAACTTAATTCTAAAAGCTTCACTAAATTGAAAGAACTACATAGTTTGATTATGCACACCTTGTTGGGTCCAAAATGAGATTGAACTTTTGTTGTAAGAGGATCTTATGAAAACTTTGCTATAGTGACTTACAAGTTACCATGATTTGGAAAAAAAGATCGACCTAATGAACTATTGTTGATAAAATCAACGTATTTGGTTACAAACCTCCAATGTTAATGAATATGTTTGCTGGTAAGTGAGCTGAAGTAAGTACAAAACTTGGACCATACGTGAGAAGTTTTTAAGGTGATTGTTCTCCTGGAGATTTGGAAACTACTATGCAGTTTTGTATCTAAGATTCGACTTCCTTTATACAAACTTTCATCTTTCCTTCAAATTGTATTTTCACTTGTGTTTATAATTCTATAATTGTCTTTGGATGGAGCATTTTTCTTGCTATTGTTGCTACGAATAGACTTAAAAGTGGTATCATTGTTATAACATTGTTCGACCTTCAACGTCCATGATAAAGTAGTGAGTCTAAAAGGAAAGGTTAGAAGTCTCGAATGGAGTGAACAGGAGCGAAAGTTCACAGAAAGAGGAAAGGCGCAACTGCTCAGACAACCAGTGAATCAATCATGGAAAAAATGACACACGAGCTCCTAACAGCAGCCATAGCTCGAGCAAGAAGGAAGTCTTTATTTTTATCATAGAATTCCGTTCCATTTTTGTTTTCGGCAAGTATGCGATGCGAATCCATGCTTTCTATGTTGAAATCGGGATCGGATGTGTTTGCAAGATGAGTTTTGGGCTTGCCAACTTAAGCTCCTCATAAGAATCCTCTGATCTTACTGTCTATGATATCACATATTGACACCGAAAGCACCCTTTTCGGGCATAGCTTGGACCACTCGCAAGACTGACAAAGAATCAATTCAAGGCGCCGAAAGCCCTCAATTCGATCGAAAGTTTAGAGTATATGAGCCCGAAGGTTTATCATATGGTTGTCCTTAGGGAGAAGGGTGTCATCTTGCTTCCGTAGGTTCTTATTCCGTAAGTGTTAGAAAGTTTACCTATGCCTATAACCTTCGTAGATATTTGATTGTCCACAGGAGACATGATATTGTACTACTACAAAAAAAAAATCACGTATTGTAGACCTTTTGTCATCCATTATTTTAAGATTGTAGATAGAAAATAAGTATGTCATTCGATAGAATGTTTATAAAAAACGATCGAGCCTCTGTCGAAAAAGGTCAACCGTTTGTTCTAGTCACGTTGACTTAAAGTGACTTAGAAGTGTAACCATAGACTTGCCCATATAACTTAAACAGGTTCTCGAAGCTTTTGATAGTCAGGCTCTTGAGTTTTAAGCTGTTGCTCTTGCTCGTCGTATGTGGAGACTCGACATTCTCACAAGTAAACCCCAAATTGGTTAAATAAATGCAAAGACAGTGTCTCTTTTTTCCCTTTCTTAAATTTCTGGCGAGAATATTTATTGCTTACTGATGCTGTGTGTTAGGTATCTGGGATTTTGGATCTGTTTGACACCAATAATACTTTTTCCCTGTGTTAGGTGGAAATAGGTTATTAGTGACTCTAATTTGTCCATTAACAAATGATTAAAGCAACGTCAGCCGGAACTTTTTAATGGCTACAGAGCCACCAATCGATGGCTGCGTTGGTGAATGCGCTGGACTTTGGACAATCCGTTTTTGTGGCCGAGTTTCGTAGCCGTCCTTAGGAGAATGTTAGAAGAACATAGTAGAGCATTATGCCGTATTTGAATAGAAAATTAGATAGTGACTAACATCGGATTGAAAGACAACAGAAATAGCTAGAAGCAATCAGGTCTCGTTTGCTATACTAGCTCCAGACTTCATATGACTATGAGGGCTGGATTATGGCCGGAGGTAGGGGTGTACATGGGTCGTGTGGTTCGGGTTTAGTCATTTTAATCACCCGACCCATGCACTACGGTTTGGGAAATATCAAACCCAAACCCACCCAAAAAAATTTAAACCCTACGGTTTGTTTCTAATTGGGTTGGGTCGGGTTGGCGATATTTTTAAGTAAAAACCCAACCCAACATAAAATATATAATTATTCTACATCATAAAAATATTTTATAACTAATTAAAATTTCAAACGAATGAACCAAGGTGAAAGGTATGAAAATTCACAAATGTTTTTATAAATTTTAATAAAATGTGATTTACTTCAACATATGTCTTGTTTTTTTCACGATATTTGTTGAAATGGACTAAAAATGTTATAAATAAACGCATCCATCATATGTTATTCTATTAAAATTGTACACAAGAAAAATGATTACGTGAATCATAACTATATTCAATTTATGTCTAAACTTTAAGTCGAAGAATGCATTAGATTAGGGAGACCATGAGAGAAAAACATGACGAAATATCTTAATTTTCTCATAAGTATATGACTATATACTACATAAATATTTTTTAGATCCGAACTCATACTAATAGTTGGAACACGGGTTGGGTCGGGTTCTACGGGTTGTGTAATCCAAAATCCAAACCCAACCCAAAAGAGGCGGGTTGTACAAAAGAAAACTCTCACCCTACCCAAAACCTTCGTTTTAGCGATAAATACGGGTGGGTTGGGTCGGGTTGGACGGGTGGGTTGGTTTGCGGGTGTGTTTGTTCACCCCTAGCCGGAGGAGGCCACCTCCTACATTCGCCACTACTTTGGTGGTGAGGATTTTGATTATGCTTCTTATAAATTTTTTATATATATTAATCAGAGTCGAGATTTATACATGATCATGATACTTCTCTTATATTTCTTATCATTCTCTTTATCTTATAGAATTTGATATGTGTTCATCGGAGTCCCGATGGGAACTCTTACCTATCCCTGTAAATGAACGATCTTCTATTTCTGCAAACTAATGCACCGCATGATTGGAACAACACAAGCACCGGAAATCAAAGACGAGATCTACTCACTTCCACACCAACTCATTAACGTAACACTCAAACGGGGTTCGACGCCACAATATATAGGAAGCATTAACACATGTGACACCTATCGAGGAAAAAAAAAAGGCGTCAGAAATCAAAACGAACCGACTATCGTCCTTGTTATATTGTTATCGTGCACCCTAATCAAACAGTTGAGAGTTATGTGATCAAAAGTAAGTCACAGCCGACCACCAAGAAGCAAGAATCTTTGATGGTGTAAATTAGTTGTAGAATGGCTCATGACGGAGCAACTCAAGGTTAAGTTGGTAGGTAGCTTCGTCGGTTATGGCCTTATTATGGGGTGATAGAATTCAGGACAGGGTTTTGTGAGTTCTCTCCCTTTCCTGGTTGGCAGAGGATTGGAGATTTCTCAGCAAACATCCCTACACATTTATGAATATATATTACCACATATAGTAAGCAATCGATTTTACATTGTATATTTACTATTTAGCATATATATAATAATGAGCGACGAAAAGAATGAACGTGAAAAGTTGACGATTTCCATTTTGTTGCTTAGAGAGGGGCGAATTCGGACTCCGAATTTGAAAAGGACATATAAAATAAATGCGTATGTGAGACTGCTGTGCTTATCGTACATATCTCAATGACTACTTATTTGTATAACAAATCCAAACATAATTCACACCAAAAATTTTCGAATAACTTACCTTTTTACATACTTTAACATAATAATTCATGTATATAGAATGGAAATGCTATAAGCAAGTTAACCGATTTTGTTTTCCATGCATTGAGTTGTTTTTCATGGGTTGGTTGCGTATGATTTATAAGAAAGAAGAGACCTGATTAATCTGTTTCAGTTTTGGTTTGACATGACTGATGCGTTTTTTAATAAATGATTGATGTTAAAGAGCTATCAGGAGGATGGGATTTTTCAAAAACTACCCTTTTATAATTTTGTTTCTCGGCGAGGATATTTTTATGGGTAAACAACTTGTAATCGAACATCTTGTTATATAAAAGAAAAAACAAACTCCATCATCATAAATTATTGAGATTTCGAACTACGTCCATTCTTGTTCAATCTAAAATCCACCATATAAGTTATCATATATCACCATTAACCTTCCTCAATCATATAATCCCTCTCTATCATCTTCATTTTTCATAATTTTATGATCCACTAAAATTTCTCATTGTATAACTGTTTATTTTTTTTTATGACGGTCTATTACTCTACTTGAATTATTATAGGAAAAAATTATATTTTTTGCTACATTACAAACACATAGTTATATGCTTGTAAATGTTCATCCTATAAACTAGTTACCTCCTCAATTACCAAATGAAGATCATATGACAAAATCCAACGTAAAAAAATGTTAGTTATTTAAATTTGAGTTCTTTTTATCACTCAACGTATTTGAACAAAATAACAAAAAATCTATAGATTTTTTTTTTTTGAAAAGGTAAAACCAACCTTATCATCATGAAAAAAGGAAAACAAATTCAAAAGGAATGGTTCTAAAACCCATACGATATTATTTGATCTTATTAGCCATATTTCACTAAATTAAGAGATTTATATACCATCAATAACCAATTATTCGGGAACTTATAAGGAAAATTTCACCAGAGAAAAATATTTGAAATTTCAAAATTTCCAAAACTAATACTATTAATTTTGCCGTTAAAGGAAAAATAGAATTTGGCTAAAAAAAAGGGAAAAAATAGAAAGGAAATGAAAATGCTACCCTAGCAAAAAAAAAAAAAAAAAAGAAAAAAAAAGAAGAAGAAGAAAAACCAAATACGTTCCGATCCAATCCAATGTGTGCACAAAATCGGCAAAGTCAATTTTGCCCTTCCTGGTTCGCCCGTGCCTCACTGTTTGACTATTTGACTTTACAGCCCCAGATCGGACTTCTCAGAAATAAATAACAAAATATATTATTATTTTTTTCTTTTTCTTTTTTAGAAACGAAATAACAGTCCTACCTCCTTCGGGACAAGGAGGCGGCCATGTGGAAGGGCATTCTTCGTAATTACTGTTACATTCGTGGGTATTTATATTTCCAATCCCTCAATAAATAATCGCGATAGGGCTTTCGTGGCGTTGATCCAAACACAGCTTTTAGTCCCCGGTGTATCAGATTGGCTTGGAGAGAGAGAGAGAGAGAGAGAGAGAGAGAGAGAGAGGCGACGGAGGTGGTGGTGGGGGGACAATAAAGGAAGACCGGCGATTATCAGCTCGGAGCGACGAGCCTTCCACTGACCGGCGACGAATCCGACGGCCGACACATCTGTGACTTTGAGGTCCCGTTTTGATCGTCGTTAACCGGAGCTTGTGGTAGTCTTAGGTGGGAAAAAAAGGGCGACGACGAGAAGAGAAGGAAGGCGGAAAGAGGAAGGAAAGAATCTTCGCCGCGCGCGGTTCTGTTATATCGAGGATTTGATTCGAAGTGGGCGTTTTATTGGCGGGGGAGGCGTAGTCCCTTGAAGAGTAATTGATTCGGCGAACAATCTAGAGCGGAGGACCGGGGCGGCGATTTTGGTGGATTTTGTGAAAGGGGGAAAAAAAAAACGGAGACGATTACAGGTATAGAAAACCCTAGTTTTTGATTTTCTCTGCGCTTTGTTTCTGGTCTTGTTTTGAAGATTTGCCTGCATCCATCTCTCCTCCGATTTTGTCTACCGTTTTGGAAGCTGGAGACGGTGAATCGTCTTCGAGGGTTGGTGAAATCGGATGTCGACGCGCCTAAGATCCTTCGTGTGAACTGCCCAGATGGCCAGATCTACTGTCGGTGACATGTCTGCGCTATTTCAAACGAGATTTGTGGATTTTTGACGGATGGGCGCAAAGCCGTTTCTCGTCGGAGCGGTCGATCTATTGTTTGGAAAAATCTTCTCCTAGTGATTATTTGGGTTTACCCGTGTGATGCTATCCGAGCCTTGATCGCTTGTTCTTCATGATCCTCTGAATCCTTGGAAGCTTTGGTTGGTTTCTTTGGATCTTTGTTCCGTCGGAGACTTTTTACTGTTTGGAATCGGAGACTTCTAGGGTTGGTTCACGCCAGGCTCGTATTTGAAACCCGCCGCCTAGCCTTGGTGGTCGTGTTGTTGCGACTTATTTTCCCAGGCGGCTTGATTCCACATCGCTACAGGAATACACGAGTTTTGGAACTTCTGATTTCGTTTCCTGGCTTTCATCTCTGAAGAGCTCCTGGGGATTTTTCTTCTTCTTCTTCTTCTTCTTCTGAATAGTATTTAGATGCACCCGATTTGTGACCCTTCTCTTCAAAGAATCCTGTTAGGACAAACATAGCTGGGCCTTAATTGCTGGTGTGTGGTACGGTAGCTTGCATGGAAGATTGTTGATTGATGGCTCCACCGGTGGCTGGGGATTCCAGTTGGAAAGTGTGGACGGATGGTGCAGGCAAATTGCTTCCTGTGGAGCATCTCTAAGGCCTTTTCTTGCAATGTCTGGTCACGCTTCTTACATTCAGATCTAAGATCTATGTTTGTTGAAGCTGTTTGGTATTGGATCTTCTTGGTATTGACCCTCGTTGTTTTTTCACTGAAATAAGTTTTGTTGCGGAAGGATCAGCCAAGGCAGCTTGGTTTTGGGTTTTAACTACGTTGGTTTTTTTGTTTATGTGATTCAAATGGAGCTTTGCTTTCTTGTATTGCTTCTATCCCCACGTCTGTTTGTGCCATCTGTATCTCTGCATCTTTTACCCCATGTTTGTTCTGTAACTGAGGTGTTCGTTTCCTTTGCAGAGAGCAGGGTGGTGGCTGTACCAGTTGATCTGCTTGATCTCCCTAGCAATTCATCCCCTCTGAAGAGTCCAAACTTTGACAAGATAGGGGGAATTAAATTGAAGGTGAGCTTTAGGTATTTTGGTGTTTCTTCAGTAGTCTGGAAGCTTGTGTTTATGTCTTGGTGGATGTATTAATCTCTTGCTTAATGGATTTTCCTTTTGTTTCTTTGTAGACTCGGTTCTCCACTTGCACCGGGGCTAAGCCGTCTCCTCTGGTGTCAAGTTCTAAGCAAGGAGCACCTGCATCTTGCAAGGATTCCACCGGGATAGCATCTGTTGATGGAACAGGGATTATAAGATCTCCAAGCGCGATGAGTACAATTGGCCTGGAACTCATGAACTATATAAACCCTGATTTAACTTGGAAGACAGTAGCTAAAGGATATAGGAGCTCCTCAAGACGGACTAGGAAAAATGTTCTCAGAAACTTTGCTGTTGGGGAGGAACTAGTACATCAGGGATTAAGAAAAGTTGATGAAGGAACAGCTTCAGATACTGAGAAGGTAGGTGTTGGATTCCTCGCTTCATTGGTTTTCATGAATTACTATCACTAAAATGTATGCTAATGTGTATTCTTCTTGGTGCAGCACGGAGTGGCTATTCTTGGGCGACGCTTTAGTGACAAAATAGAGGATATTCCATTGAAGAAGAGGAGGTTTATGCATCGATCTAGCACACCGCCTCCTCGATCTCCTTTTGAATTACCTGCTAATGGAAAGAGGCGAGTCAGAGCAACTGCTGATGGTAACAGGGGTGGTCCTGAAAGGAAGAGTACTAAAGTGAAGGAGACTGCCTTTGATTTGGGTGAGGACTTCTCAGGCATGGAGATACTTGCAGCTGTGGCTTGTAGTAACAGCATGATTGGAGATGTTGATCTTGATACAGATAGATCACTCTTGGAAAGATCAACACAAGATGGAACTGCCTTGTGCGCTTCGGAAGCACCAGCTGTTAAAAATGTTTCATCTTCTACAGATACAGCATGTGATGAAACAGAGATGGAATCATCTCTTTTGGGTAATTCAGAAGGTGTTTTGCAGAGACCTCACATCACCAAAGAAATTGAAGTTGTGGAGGGATCTGGATCAGCACGTGATGATAGACTGCATTGGGACTTGAACGTTCCTGAAGATGCCTGGGAAAAACCTTGTGATGCCTCTACTATCGAGAGTCTTGCGAAAAATTCGGAGTTCACGGTTGAATCCAAGGATAATATACACTCTATAGCGAAACATGTTACAGAAGATGCCAAGGAAGAGCTGCCTCTTCGCCATCTTGAAGCTAGTAGTGGACAGAATGGTTTCAAAAGCTGTGTTGAGCTTGATGAAAATAGCAAAGGGCAGATTTCCATTTCAGCTGTTAATGAGCACTTAGTTTATGAAGTTGCAGATGTGAAAGGGTCCTCTAAGATCTCTGAGGTGATCAGTTCTCTTGGGTATTTGGATACTGTTAAGGGTTCTGGGAAGGATGGCGATGCTTCCACCTCTCCAGGTTCTCTTGATCTAGAGAAGCCTGCTCATGAAAGTGATGCAGGTTTCATTGAAGATGGGCAAGATACTGGGGCTGGGATTTCCGCTAGCAATGAGGCGGCTGGTTATGATGACAGTTATGGCTCTGATGTCTATCAAACAGAAAAGGTTGAGATGGGTGGTACTGGAAGCAACAATGAGCTTCAGGCTGGTTATGATTCTCAGTTTGAGGATGGGGAATTGAGAGAATCTGACGCCCGTTACTACTGGGATGAGAACAATGAAGGTGAGGATGGAGAGGTTGAGCATGTGGACTATGGTTCTGAATGTGGCGACGAGGAGATGCTTGGATCGATGCATGAGAAAGAGGTGGAATTCGTGAGAGGAGGATCCACCCCAGGTTCTTATGATAGAAAAGTCGATTGTAGTAGGAAAGCAGATATTACTCATGATGATTCTGTGAGCCCGAAAAGCAGAGTCTTGGATGTGCCTCTTGAGAAAAGTTTAGCCACTGGACTTGCTGCAACAAGAACACTCCAGGGTCATTTTGCATCATGTGCTGAGGGGCCAGATGCTAGGAAAAATCCTTACTCCAGGAGCAGGTTAGTTTTTTCACAACCTTTTACTGTTAGTTTTTTCATTGTTTTTGTGTTTCATTTCTGAAGCAGGTTGCTTACATATTCAATTCTCTCTATGCACATGTTTCAGGTCGGAGAACTGTCGCAACGTATTCCCAAGAGACGAGAGGGATAATATGGGTGGACCAAGAAGATACATGGGGAGGGAAAGAGTTGGCATGCACATGCGTGGCAGAAGTCCTGGCCGTTGTGCTGGAAATCCGTCAACCAGTTCCTGGAATTTCGAACGGCGCTACTCACCAACTCGTCCTTCGTATTTGCCTGGTCGTCCTAGAAACAACATGGAAGGCCGCAGATATATGATGTCATCGGACAGGAACATGGATTCCGACGGAGGGGGTTACTTTGACAATCGTCTCAACAGGCAGTTCGTGAACTCTCCCCCAAATGGTGTCTATGAACAACGCATCATGAGAAGGAGATCACCGAGCAACAGACATGACTCTTCTTATATGAACACGAGGATGCTGCCTATGAGAGATATGAGTCCTGCAAGGGACAGGTTTCGGAGGTTCACTCCAGGTGGAGGTAGGGGAGGAGGCATCAGGGATGAGTTCAGGAGGCCCTTGCCCGAGGATTCTGCAGAGTATCCTAACCGCGTCGGACAACATCGTCCGATGAAGAGGGATAGAGGCATTTCTCCACTCCCCCGACAGCTCTCTCGACGGCCACACATGGCAATGCCGTACAGGAGACCTTCGCGGTCGAGATCCAGGTCACGATCCCCTCCAATCTACATGCAGCGAAGGGAGCAACAACGCAACGATGGTGGTGGTTCAGTGCTGCGCAGTAGGTCCCCCGATGGAATGAGAGCGAGGCTGCCGTTCCAGAAGCGTTTTCCGGCCAAGTACGAAGACCGGTTCACCTCCCCGACGCGACACCACTTCTCTAACCGCTGCGACGTGAGGTCGTTCGATGACCGGGGCGTGGACGGGTTCAGGGGAGGTGGAAGGAAATTGCCACCGGCGAGGATGTACAGGCCGCAGCAGCAGCAAGGGAACAACCGGTTCGATCCCCAGCGCTCCTTCGATTTCAGACCTGCTAGGAAGTTCCGTGACGGGGTAGATTCGAACAGGGTGAACGGCGGCGGTGCTGCCGAGTACGAGGGGAGTGACGACGAAAGGAGCAAGAGGAATCACAGATTCGAGATGTCTCGGCCAAGGCGGTATGATGCAGAGGAAGGCGCTCGCCCAATGAGGCCGTTCAGATGGAATGCCACCGGTGACGATTCGCTCGAGGCTGCCAACGGTTCTTCTTCCAACTTCGACAATGGAGGCGGCAACAACGTCGACAGCCGGGGGAATGATGATAATAATGATGTAATTAGGAGAGCGGCGGCGGCAGCGGTGGAAGAGTAGTAGCGGTGTCAGAGCATAAAACTTAAGGAATCTGCAACTTTTTTATAAAATGGAGGAATGGCGGGAGGAGAGGGAGCTGGTGGAGTTTGGCTGAAAGTGGCGGGAGCAACTTGTTTCTGCTTTATCATCGTCCCATTGGGTTCGGTAACATTCCTTTTTAGTTTAGATCATAGGAGTTTTTCCCCCTTTTTATTTTCCTTGAAAATGTCGTTTTTTTTCTTTCTATTTCTATTTTCTTTTTTGTTAGTCTTATTTTCAAAGGGGCCAGTTTTGGGCAGGAAGCATCTCAATTCCTTTGTTTTTTTTTTCTCTCCAGGATGGTGGGTGCTTCTAGATTGGCAGTCCACCATTTTCTTTATTTCTTCCCTTTTCGTTAATTATTAATTTCCCCCCTCTCTCCTCTCGTTAATTTTATCCCTATCGTCTCAATCTTCTTCTTGTCGGCCGCTTCAATTCCTTTTTCTCTATCGTTGAATTCATCTGCGTGTCTGTGGTATCGTATTGGTGGTCCGATCGGAGAACTTAATACCGGAGTTGAATCTTAGGTGATTTGTAGAGTGTGAAATAGATGGATCATAGATAAATCGCGATTTCGGCATAAATGACTTTCTCTATACAATGTGCAACTTTTATTGATCACCTTCTGAGGAACAAATTACTTGGGAAACAATAGGGTATGGTTGGATGCATCAATTGGATGTGGCAAACTGGCGATTCGAATCGAAATTTCGATCGAAATGTCGTGTGATTCCAGCATTATAGAAAGCTTTTTCCCGGCCAAAACAGTCACCAGGCGAAGCTAATGGAGTGGAAGTGGAGATTGTCGGCGATGCTCGACTGACAGTAGTTGGCCACTCGTTGCCTCATCTTCTTCGGCCCGCTGGCGAGCACTCCCACGCTCTCTCCTTCCACTTCCAGCAGTATCCCTGAGAAGTGAGAACCAAACAGCAGCAGCTCGGTGAGGTGAAAAAACGAGCGGAGGTGGAAAAAATAAAGGATCGGAAAATGGGGAATGTATGTTTTACTACTCACTATTCATGTTTGGCCGTTTCCCGAGGTGCACCGTAGTGGCTTGCCGGATTGCATTCCGCGGCTGGCTCTCTACCTCCTCCGCCGACTCCGAATCTCCGCCGCTCAGCAGCGTCGCCGGGGACGTTGTTGTCGGCGCGGGGATCGCTCTGTTGAGAACGGGAGTCGTTTGGCTGCTGCTTCGTCTGTTGTTCCACAGGAAGCCGACCGTCGCGGTGACGACCACGGCGACGCAGATGGACAGGATGTTGAGCGCGGCCTTGGCCGGAGTGGAGAATCGCATGTTCGTGTTGCCGTCGATCGGGTATATGTAGTACTGCGTGGCGAGCCCGATCAGCACCAGGTAGATGACGAACGAGCCGGAGATGATGGCTCCCAGCCAGATCCAGCTGTTGGAGCCCAGCGCCGCGGCGACGGGGGAATCGGTGCCGTTTTGACGGAACCAGAGGGTTTGGATTTGGCTCGAGGATTCGTCCTCAGGTTTCATTTCCTTGTCTCTGGTGACGAAAGCTTCGATCCGCAGCTCCGCGCAGGAGAAGTCTAGAGGGGCTGCGTTTGCTGATTCCGGTACCGGGAGGATTAGGTCGAGGATCGTGAGATCGACGCAGTGCTTGAAAGCGCAGATCAAGAGCAGTTTCGGAGTTTTGACGGTCTTCGTGTTGGATTGGCTGAGGATTTCTCGGATGATTGAGATGAACGGCGTGATTCCACTGCCTCCGCTTACCATAACCAGCGTATCGTGCCTGGTAAGATGTGTTTGGTTTTACTCAGATTGTTGGTATGAAAATTTCATGGCATTGAGTTCTGGTTTTTGGTTATGTTTAAGTAAATTACTATATATATTTATATACTACCTCATGAAATCGGGTGAAGCTGGTCCGTAAGGTCCTTCAATGGAGGCTTTTAAGTGAGTTGTTCTTGGTGAAGTGGATGAGAGTTTCTGATGGAGCTTGTTCGTCCAATGCCCGTCGCCTTTGATCATCACGCTTATCCTGTCTGGTTCGAGTTTGCTGCTTGATGTAACTGAGAATGGATGCCATTGCAGCTTTGAAATGCTTGGGATGTTTATGAACATGCTGCTTGTTGGATTATACTTCAGTCCTGGAAACAGAACAGTTTCAGGAAAATCACGGGTTTGAAAGTGTGATTGCTTGCTTGCAGGTAACAATGGTGGGGCTTTTGATTAGACTATTTGAGTACTGACCTGGGCTCTTGGAGAAATTCAACTCCACTGCTCGACAGGGCAAGACTCGAGCTGAAACCAAGCAAACCTTCTGCTGGGATTGAAGCAATCTCAGGAACCGATCAATGGCGAAGAGGTAGAAACCAGGAAGGATTGTGCAGGCGGAAGAGAAGCCGACATGGAACACATAGAACACAACAAAGACGATGTAGAGATAGTGTGTGTAGAAGAAGAGCTCGAACATCTTCCTTCTGATGCAAGTAAAGCTCGTCGCCCACATGACCAATCCAGCGGTTAAAGCTATTTCTCCAGCCACATTGGATACTAAGAGATCGTCCCATTTCAGCATCTTCTCATCATCACAATGTAACAAAATTGGTAAGTAATTCTCAAGTCTTAGCTACTGAACATGAACATTTACCAATGTGAGCTTCTTACCTTGGATAGTTGTTTTGTCTCGGTCCAGAAGGTGATGAAGCATAGGCCGTGGAGCGTGAAAAGTGTCATCGCCATGTGTCCCAACCACATATGGTACTTGATGCTTGACTCTGAAGTGAGGCCAACCAGCTGAAGCACTGAAGATCCTCTGGTAACCGGGAAGAAGATGAATGCAAGGCAGATATTTCCAACCAGCCCCAATGTAAGTCCTAAGCTTGACAACTTCACTTCCCATCTGTTTATTTCAAATGCTTCCAATTACTAAAACAATCAATCAAACCTTCTAATGATTTTGAAAGCAAGGGATAGACAGAGGAGAGATTTTTTACACTTTCAATCCTTCGGCTGCAGCTTCCTGGCGGATAGGGGCAAACATGGCGTGCAAGTAGGAATAGATGGACCAACATAACAGAGCTATGAACATGAGCAAGAAGGTTAGCTCTGTCCATGTAACTATCCCTAGTGCCCCTTTTATCAACACGGGTCGCTTCCATCTGTCGAACATAGATCCCCCCTTGCTGCAAAAATCACACACCCTGTCTGATTCAGCCATCGGCTTTATGGTTTTGCGCACACACACATCAAAACATCTATGGTAAAACTAGTTTTTTTTTACCTGATGCCGTGATCGCCGAGTTTCTTCCCCAAATGGAGGTAGAGGCAGGCCATGACGGCAATGAAGATGATTGGAAATGTGAATATCAGAGTGTTTTGACCTACAAACAGTGAATGAGTGATTTATTGGTTATTTGCAGTTAGTGGAAGGCAGACCTGCACAGAGCCAAGAGGCAGAACGGGGAATGGAGAAAGCTGGAAAAAAAACCTTGAGCTCCAATGAAGGTGAAGTTTGTTTCTGCATGAACCCTTGGCATCCAGTGAAGATAGAAGATGTTTGTGGATGACATTAGCCAAACCATGATGTAACCAAGGAAGACGATTCCCAGAAGCAGCTCTATGGCCGCTCTCATCGCCATGATCGCTTTCACTGAAGCACCTTCTTCCCTTCTGGTAACTGAAGCCATCTCTCACTCTCTGATTGTGGATCTCAATTTTTTTTTACTTTGTCCTATGGTTATGGAATACAGAGTGATATATGTAGTATAGAGCTAAAGAACAGTGTTGAAATGACAATTGTCAGGATATGTCAATGTTAAAATTGAAGCTTTGAATGGAATGGCTTAATGGGTTTAGGAAAGTCTTATGGTTAGACGAATTATTAGTCCAGGGTAACGGCGGAAGGATCTTTTGACTTTGCTCAGTTCTCTTAGTCTGGTCTCATTGTTTCTGCCAAACCAATCTTCTGATAATCCCAATTTGTTCTCTTTTCTACTCTCCTTTCACACTACTGGACGTTTCAAGTTTCAACTTAGTTTACATAAAAGGTAACCGAAGATACATAATTCATAATTGTAATTCATATTTATTACAAACTATGTTCTTTTTTCTTTGTGTCACGCATTGCCTTTCTTTTTTAACTTTTGTCATGTAAGGGTAAGATGAGGTTCATATTTCTTGTTTAGTGAGGAATGGTAAAAAAGGGGGGTTTCGTTAATTGTACCCTTTTAATTAACCCATGGTAAAGCAGTAGCAATTACTGATCAGCAGGTTAACAATGCAATTGTCCTTCTCTGTTTGAGTAAATGTTTTGCTTTTGTATTCTTCCATGGATAAAGCTCTGTGCATTGAATCATCTGTTTGTTATATGGTTAGGTTCAACGACGGCATTATACTTTTTGAGTTACCCAAACTTCGGTTACATTACATCTCATCCTTGTTTTATTCATCTATTCTATGGTCATGATTTTATATTCCCAAATGAAGGCTTGTAAACCCATTTAAGCCAAGATGGGAGAATTAATGATCCCCTAATTTATTTGAAGTTATATACATTTACCCTTTTACATTTAGATATATTTATTCTTGATTTATTATTTATACCCTCTCAGACCCAGAAGGCCAGAACCTTGTATTTGTATACAGTTATCAGTTCCGGGCTAATCACCAATTAAAGCTGATGGACTCAAAGTGCAGGTTTTGGGCCGGGCCGGACGAACAGATCCTGGCCACTTCATGTCTCAGCGATCTTGGCCCACAAGCCATCACTCCAACTTCCGATGCTTGGCATCCAAGCAAGATCCCTGCAAAAGTTCCCCAAATGGTTAAAGATCGCTAATGGCAATGGCGGGAATTGAAGCTTATACAGACAGGTATGTTTCTTACCCTCGAGATCGGGCCTCCGCCCATAATGCACCTTGGTAGCCTCAGCAACTTGCCGAGCAGGAACGCTTTCCACCTCTCCTCCGACGAAACTCCCCGCCGGCCGCGGCGGCGACGGGGAGACGACTTCCATTTCCATTTCCAGGCTCTTCACTCTCCCGCCTTCACCACCAGAGCCCCTCTGCTTCTTGCGGAGGATGAACACCGCGGAGGAGACGGTGAGAACGCTGGTGCAGGCGAGGAAGACATCGAATAAGACGAAGAACGAGTAGTGGAAGCTGCCGTCGCGGGCGTTCCGGTCGATCGGGTAGATGTAGAGGCGGGTGAGCACCGCGAGCAGGACGACGAAGATGGAGAAGGACGAGACGACGATCGCGCCGAGCCAGAGCCAGGGGTTCGGCCCGAGGTTCGACGCGATGGGGAGGTCGGACCGGGTCGGGTTGAACCGCTTGGTTCGGATTCGAGCTGCCGCCGGCGGTTCGATCTCTCTGGTGATGTAGGCTTCGATCTGGAGGTTTAGATCGGGGATTGGGTGAGGCGTGCCGCCGGCGGGGAGCAGGAGGTCGAGCATGGCGAGATCTGCCGAGTTCTTGAAAGCGCAGATCAGAAGGATTTGGGATGGGATTTGGGAATTAGGGTTTGATGAGCTCTGGAAGATGATTTCTCGGATTATGGATATGAATGGAGTGATTCCGCTGCCTCCGCTGATCAGCACCAGCGCCTCGTGCCTACGAGATTAAGAAAGGAAAAAAGAAACATTACCACCAAATCCCCCAATCCAACTCTACCTTTTGTTTTAGTGACCACTTTTGTTGCATTTTTTAGTGACGGATCATAACTCGAGTTGAATCCAATACCTGAGGAAATGGGATGAAACGGGGCCATAGGGGCCTTCAACAGAGACTTCGAGACGGTGGTCCGCTGAGGTGGAAATTTGCTGAGAAAGTTTCTGTGACCAGCTTCCAAGACATTTTACGACCAAGCTGAGCTCGTCGGGCTCCAAGTTGCTGTTTGAGATAACGGTGAAAGGATGCCATTGCAGCTTGGAAATGGTTGGCACATTTATGAACATGATGCTCGTTGGACTGTATTGCAACCCTGCCAAGAAAGAATCACACAAGTAGACATTTATCACGGTTGATATTATTATACTGGAAATTACGGGATCTTGCCGGACATGGTCTATAACCAGATTCCTTATCAAATTGGATTAGTGTTCAGTTGTTTGGAGAATTATTGTATGTACTTTTCAATTCCTCTGTAACGTGTATCTTCTCAATTATACTGGAACTACCCTTTCCTGTTCGTAAATGTAGCTAATACACATCGTTTTAGTGAGCCATATAAATCTCTAAATTTAATACAAACCGGATATAATTCATATGCCAAACAAACCTAAGAAAATCTTCTTCTTCAAATGATTTTGATTAGATTGCTGGTGAATGATAGGTTGACAGTAACACCCATTTAACTAGATTATGACCTATATAGTATTTCGCACTTGTTTCCATTTTAAAGCTCAGTGGCTTAAAGTTGAGTGTGTGTGTGATTAACCCACTAATTCGTGTGAAGATTATGAAATTTTATATTGAGGGAATACTAAGTGGTGTCGACTGTCGAGATGAGAGAGGTACTCCTCCCACTAGTTATTGTAGTGTACATATGCATCAAAGACATGATGAGGGTGTAACTAACCCACTTAATATTCGTATAATTAAATTAAGAATGAGCATTGAATAAATGAATTCACAAATTCAATGGTAATCCATCAATTAATTTTCTTGTGGGTGGTTCATGTATGTGAGCATAGGTGTCAAAATAAGCGATTCACTAGCGATTGAGCGAGTGCGGGTGAAGTGTAGTTAACCGACGATCCAGACAACTTTTTAACATCAATTATGTGAATATCTCACTTATAGCTTTACCTGAAATGAAATCCTAAAAAAAAAAATTCCCCAACTTTGATCAAAAGATTGCCAAATCTATAGTTATTATTACTTCCCAATTTTGAAATAATATCCTCTCAAAATAATTATTATTATTGAATATAATTATTGCAAAGTCACTTATTTCAGTAACTAGAAATCAATATCATATGTTTGTTGTTTTATATGATTCCTTTTTAAATTTTCTTGCTTGTATATTAATTTGACTTATTTTATTTTGATTTCATTTGGTGAGTGATCGTGGTTTGAAGGTTAAAACAATTTAAACTATGTAACATTTTGAAATTTATGTTCTAAACACACTGAATTCACCCAATCCAATCCATTCTTTTCACAAGTGTGAGTTACTTTTTATTTCATCTACCACGTAGTAAGTGGGTCCAAATCCACCGAAATCCGCATAAAACCAGTTGTTGCTCACTCCAGGTATCATCACACATCCATATACGAATACTTTGAATTAAGCTCTCCCACTAATTTTATGTCATATATGCATCCACCAAACGAAACGGTACTATACTATTCGTACCTTGGCACTTGGAGAAGTTGAGCTCGACGCTGCCACAAGGCAACAACCGAGCCGACACCAACCTAGCTTTCCTCTGAGACTGCAAGAACCTCAAGTAACGGTCGATCAAGAACAAAAAAATCCCAGGAAGAACCGTGCACATGAAATCGACACCAACATGTAACACGTAGAAGAATATGAACAAAACGTATAAATGGTGAGCGTAGTAGAAGACTTCAAACATCCTCCTCCTGATCGGAGCAAAGCTCGTCGCCCACATCGCCAAAGCCATCACCAGCGCGATCTCTCCGGCGACATTCGACACCCAAGTCCTGCTCCATTCCAACATCTACAAAATTTTCACCAATGTTCAGAAACCGGCAGTGCGTGGTGTAGTCAGAAATTTAGTTGAGGTAGTATTTAAAATATATTATGAATAGTATTTAAAATATATTCATCGTCCAAAATATCAAAGATGTCATTATGGAACATTAAATCATGTCATAGAATATGTTGGATGATAATGTGAACCATGAAATCGTGGATAGGTTAGCGGTTGTGAAGAAGTTGTTCGTCTCTCTTTATAAGCAAACCATTGGTAATGTATTTTCCAATATTCGCAAAATCGTACGGTACCGGCCCGACTGAAAAAAATCACCTATCGAAGCCCAAGCCGGTAGAAAGTTATAACGAAATGATGAGAATGTTAAACCACAAATTTCAGCACAAAATACCCTAATATCGAATTTTCAAGTACAACTTTGGATATGATTTTACAATCTTTAATACTTTTTAGGTGGGTATTTCATAGTTGAGGTGGTGCGCACGGGGCCTCCACCATCTCCCCATGTGGCCCCGTCACTGCTGGTTACCTACGTCCACTTTTTTTTCCGTCGTTGTTGCGAAAACAAAGTAGACATCAACAAGCGTATCTTATGTTCAAACTGGATATCGAGAAAGGCTTACGAGGATGAAAAAAAGTATATTAATTTGACAGAAGTATACTATACCTCGGACAATTTGTTGGTCATTGCCCAATACACGATGTAGCCAATTCCGTGTAAGGTGAAGAGGGTATTGGAGATGTGCCCTAGCCAAATGTGGTACTTGATGCTGGACTCTGAGTTTAGCCCTATGAGTGGCAGCAACGAAGATCCTCTAGCCACGGGGAAGAAGAGAAACGCCCAACATATGTTCCCAACGTAGCCGAGCATCAGTGCTACGATTCGAAACTTGACCTGCCAACTGCGCGCATCGATCGTCAAGGGAGAAAAGAAAACACGCTGCGTAATAAACTGATTGGTCTCAATAATTCGAGTTGTTGTTGGGGGAGAGTTTAGATGAAACGTTACGGTTTTATGCCGTGCTTGAGCTTGTGGGAGTGGCCAAAACTCCTGTGCAAGTAGTTTGCGAGCGACCAGACGAGAAGCGCCACAAACATTGTCAGGAAAGCGAGCTCCACTCCCGTAACTATACCCAACGGCGAAATTACACGTGGCCGCCTCAAAAAGGAGAAGAATTTACCCTTGCCCGTTCTACATGCAACGAATTAATTTCGTCAAACAAATTGGGGGAGAAAAAAACCCGACAGAAATTCATGTTTGTGAAACCGTACTGTATAACGAAAATTTTCAATTTCGCGTTGTCGAACTTGATAGAGAGATAGAGAGAGAGCAAAAGGGTGTAGTACTAGTAGTAAATGTAGTAAACCTTTTGGAAGATGAGGAGGAGAAGGCTTTCTCCTTCTTCTCGAGCTTATTGGTGTGGAAATGGAGATAGACACATCCCAAACCGGCCATGAACATGACAGGGAAAGAGAAGAGCAGAAGGTTCGTCCCTAATAACCCAATACACCCATGTCATATCGCAACCCAAAGACAAAGAAGAAGAAGAAGAAGAAGAAGAAGAAGAAGAAGCAAAGTGGTAAAAAAACCCCCAATTTTACCTTGTCCTTCGAAATAAGCTGAGTTGAAGTTGGTGGAAGAGAGGCTTGGACGCCATGAATCCCTGTAAACCTTGGTGGGCAGCAAAACCCAATTCAGCAGCCATCCCACAAAGGCAACCAGCAAGATTGCCTGCAAGAATATGCTGCTCATCATCATCAAGTTTCTCATCTCTCTCTCTCTTTTTTGAGGATCCTTAGTGGTGGTGATTATGATAAATATCGGAGACGCGCGCTATGTATGGCTAGCTGCAGCGCCACTGAGAAAGTAAAAGTCTTCCACTAGAGAAAGAGTGAGAGAGAGGGGAAAGATAAGACGATGGCTGGCTTGGCTTGGGTTCATTCATATTTGACGTTCTGTATCTGTTTATAGATTCCCACGAGGGTGCGCCTGGACCCATATGGTTGTCGGCTTTGGATATTCTCTGTCTTGGAGGAAAGTGGTACAAAGAGGAAAAGTCTTAGGGGTCTCTTTTGCTTTCCTCCTCTCAGAAAACTGACTGGTTGGTGGTGTTTGCTTGTTCTTTTCCTAGGATTTTAGGGGGATACGGTTAAGTTCTTATAGAAGGAAAGTAAATGGAATGGTGGTCTCAATCTCAATAGCCCCCGTCAAAATGAAAGCTAAGTGCATAATAAATGAGGTTATGAGGTTGTCGGGATTCAAATGGAAGACATCTCGGTTATACAAGGTTCTGATGTCATGTCAAGAATTTGTTGGCGTCAATAATTCGAGTTTTTGAAAGAGGTTTACTTATGGATAAAGGTTTATAAAGTTGAGTTACTTAAAAAAAAAATTGAGCCGGGACATAATTACACTTAAAAAAAAAAGTGAGTTCGGTTATGGTCAGGGGCGCGGATCCACTTGCAAGAGTGGTTTGTCAATTGACAGACCTTAAATGTAAAATTTGGACTTATTACTGGTGTCGAATTTGATTTCAGTGATGGTAGTATATGGATTTGAAATTATTTGACAACCCTTAGAGATTTGGATTCATTCTTTAATACCCTTGATGAAATTTCTGGGTCTGCCACTCTAGTTATGGTGGTGTAGAGTAAAGGGTATTAGGGGTGGAAGATTTTTTTTAGGTCAGGGGTTAAAAAATGGGCTTTCACTGCACGACACGAAAACTGATAGGCCGTGCCGAGCACGTCACGAAATAAATGGGCATGAAGCGTGCCCGTGTCGGCCCAAGCACGACCCAACGCCCATGTACAGTCTATACCATATGGTATTGACTGGTATTAAATAACAACATGCCATATGGTATGAAAAATACCACCTCATACCAGGGTGGTATAGTATGGTATGGAGTTGGTAACGAGAGATATGAAGTTTTTTCACCCATAAAATTTTGAAATCCAATAGATCATGATTAATTAAATCGTTCCTTCTATGCAAAAATTTCCGAAAACGACTAAACAACAAAGGAGATACCATATGGTATGGAGTTGGTAACGAGAGGTATGAATTTTTTTTTCTCAAAAAATATTGAAAATGGATATCATTTTATAGAGCACAACGAACTCGTTCCATCTGTGCAAAAAAATTGAAATCAGAGTTAGAATGAAGAAGATATGATCCAATCAAGAAAACTATGGAAAATAAATTCCTTTAATTCTCCGCCCTTAGATCTGTAGCCACTTAAAAGAATGATCCAGATTTGGTTACTCGTAGTTACTCACCCTATCTTGAGCCGTCGCGTGGATAGTCCGTGGCCATATTTTGTTGACTCTTGCCCTTCTCTATCATTTTGGGTTACTTTCCTATATTGGGCTCAAGATAGGGTGAGTAACCTTAGGATGAGTAACAATGAGTAACCAAATCCGGACCCTTCTTTTAAGTGACTGCAGATCTAAGGGTGGAGAATTAAAGGAATTTATTTTCCCTAGTTTTCTTAATTGGATCATATCTTCTTCATTCTAACTCGGATTTCAAATTTTTTTTGCACAGATGGAACGAGTTCGTTGTCCTCTACAAAATGATATCCATTTTCAATATTTTTTGAGAAAAAAAAGTCATCCCTCTCGCTACCAACTCAATACCATATGGTATCTCCTTCGTTGTTTAGTCATTTTCGGAAATTTTTGCACAAAAGGAACGATTTAATCATATGATCTATTGGATTTCAAAATTTTTTGGGGAAAAAAATTTCAAACCTCTCGTTAGTCGTTACCAACTCCATACCATACTATACCACCCTGGTATGAGGTGGTATTTTTCATACCATATGGTATGCTGTTATTTAATACCATATGGTATTGACAGGTATTAAATAACAGCATATGGTATTGACTGGTATTTTTCATATCATATGGTATGCTGTTATTTAATACCAGTCAATATCATATGGTATAGTCAAATACCATATAGTATAGAGACTGGTAATAACTGGCAAAAAAATTTTGTTCCAAAAAATATCAAAGTGTATGTCATTTTGAAGAGCACAATTAATCTGGTCTAACTGTGCAAAAAAAAATTAAATTCCGAGTTAAATGAGTGAGAAATCGTCCGTTAAAGATTAAGGAAAAGAAAATTAATGATTTTTCCAGGAGAAAGAAGGAGGCGCTGATGTGACAGATTCTTATTGGGTTATGCATGGGGTTACTCACCGGATCTGATCCCCTATATGGTGTATTTTGAGGTTAAGAACAATTGAACTTTTATATTCTCCAAATTGCCATTCTCCTATTAAACCATATATATACATATTAATTAAATTGACCTAAACCCTAGGCGGAATTTTCTCGTTACCAACAGACAACTAGTGATATGCTAAATCCAAGTATTCGGTGACATATTTTCTCGTTACTGACCTCAGGAATCAAATTAAGAGGAGGAGGCGGAGACGACAAGCATGGCTTCCGGAGCCAAATGTGTGTATGCACACATTTGGCTCTCAACAACAAGAATGGTCATCGGATCATGGAATCAGATCGAGCTAGCAAGGAGTCTGGTTAATATGGGCTATCGATCGAGGGATCGACAAGAGGGATGGCAGAAGTGTGTTGATTTATTGACATGGCAAGTTGACCCCCAACATAACAATCGATCCTCGCGGGTTTGACCAATTTCGTAAATTTGATGCATATAGTTGAAGCCATGAAGTTACAGATCGAAAAGATTGGTCAGGATTTTGAATATATGTAAATTTCATACTAGACAGAAAATTGGGGGGATTGTTTTCTCAGTTTACATCAACTATCCAAAATACAAGTATCCCAACCGGTTTAGTTCGAGTTGTTCATCTATCACCTTTGGACAAAATAAAATTCAGTTTATAATTTCGTGACAATAAATTTCACGTTCTAATTAGTATTTTTCGTCATGTCTTAATACGATGAAACCGTCTTCTAACAGTGATATCATAATGATTTTTTTTTTCTTCCTATAAAAAGAATAGTTCAAACTTCAAAATAGAGTTAAAATAAATAAAATATGACCTATAAAAAATTGACATTTTCTTACCATAATTTACTTAAGAAGCATATAAATATCTATACAGATGGATAACAACTCCGTCCTAAACTCCGGCGTCATTATTGCCGGAACTCGAAATCCACCATAACTGTATATATATATATAGCTTGTCTTGTCGATACCAATATAGCTACAATTATACAATTCGGTAGAGAAAATGTAGGATTGGAGAATTAATAATGGTGTTTCCAATCTGTGTGCCACTTTGCCCGCCAAAAATTTACAAGACCGCCGCCACCAGACGCCAAACGACCCACGCCGGAGAAGGAGGAAGATGGGATGAGCTCTGCCGTGATCTCTTGAATTCAATCTACATCAACCTCCTCGCCCCCGACCGCGCCGATTTCGGATGCGTATGCAAGAGCTGGCATCACATCCACGCTTCCGCCGTCGCCGCCGCCCCGCCGACGACGACTCCTCTCGCCGGCCGGCGCGCCCACCCGATCGACCTCGGCTCGCACGTCGGCGACGACGTCCCCGCCGACTATCGCGAGATACTGAGCAGGCCGAATTCGCGCGTGTTCTACAGCTGGGCGAGCGGGTGGTGGCTTGTGGGATACGAAACCGCATTCGACGATCGGATTTTCGGATGCTTCAACTCCTCGCTTCCGTGGCCGTACTGCTACTTCCACGTTCCCTTTCTGAAACTCCGTCCGATCAACGGCGATCCGTTGTTCCCGCAGCCGCCGATCAGAGCGGCGTTCTCGGCCCCGCCGACGGGTCCGGATTGGACGGTTCTGATCGTGCACAGCCGCCGCAGTTTCAGCACGTACCGCCGCGGCCGGCTGTGGTGGGAGAGGTACACTTACTGCCGTGAGGGGGAAGAGGGCAAGAGGATTTGCGAGGGAATTGGGTACAGGGATGGAAGATTCTTTCTCCTGTTCGACACGGGAGACGTTTTGATCTTCGGAGCCTGCAGCAAGAGCAGGATGCTGGTGGCGGCGGCGGCTCCCCTGCTGGCAGGGGAGCTTCGCCGGCGGGAAAATCTGTGTGTCGTGGCTGCGGCGGCGGCGGTGAGTTGGGAGCGAGGGGGAGAAGGAGGAGGTAGGAGTTTCCGGCTGGTTGCGGTGGAGAAGGATGTTACGCCGGCGGCGATGAAGGAACTGCAATTGGAGGACGGTAGGAGCAGGGGAGGGGTTTTAATGGCGACGGAGCAACGGGGAACGATCAAGTGGATAACTTATCAGAATTCTAATTACATGTGTTTTTTCCTGTGCAATTTAGGGATCCTTTTGATAATTATCTACACAGTTATAATCATCTTCGTACCCAGTCTGAATTTTTGTCGATAATTTCTGCTAGGGCGACCGTTAGTAATTTTAAAGGCGACATTTAGCGATTCAGTTGAAATATAGGTTTGGATATTTTTAAAAGTTTTGCATATAAAAAAAAGTAATTAAAATTTTGAGTTTGATAGAAAACTAAACAGATGCACATATTAGTAACTTTAATAGATGTTTTATTCAAATTTAAGTTGTATTTCTACGGCAATTCTAAAAAAGATATTTTCTAGGATAACAACTCTCTCTTAAACTCCGGCAGCCGGAACTGAAATCTATATTATAAATAGCTTGTCGATGCCAATATATAGCTTTTAATTATGCAACAATTAGGGAGCGAAAGTTAGGAGTGGAGAATTAATGGTGGCGATTACGGTATGGGCACCACTTCGCCCGCCAAAAATTTACAAGACTGCCACTAGACGCCAGGCGACCAGTGCCGCCGGCGAAGTAGGAACGTCGCTTCCTCGCCGACGACGGTGGGATGAGCTTTGCCGGGATCTCTTGAATTCAATCTACATCAAGCTCCTTCCCCCCGACCGCGCCGATTTCGGATGCGTGTGCAAGAGCTGGCATCACATTCACGCTTCCGCCGTCGCCGCAGCCCGCCGCCGACGACCCCTGTCTCCGGCAAGCGTGGTCACCCTATCGACGTCGGATCGCACGTCGGCGAGGATGTCCCCGGCGAATTTCGGGAGCTACTGAGCTCGCCCTACTTACGCGTGTTCTACAATTGGGCGAGCGGGTGGTGGCTTGTGGGATACGAAACCATACCCGATTCAATCTTCGGATGCTTCAATCCCCTGCTTCCATGGCCGTATTGCTACTTCCGCCTTCCCTTGCTGAGACTCCGTCCGCTGAATCGCGATCGATTCCCGCAGCCGCCGATCAAAGCCGCGTTCTCGGCCCCGCCGACGGGTCCGGACTGGACCGTCTTGATCGTGAACAGCCACCACAGTTTCAGCACGTTCCGCCGCGGCCGTCTGTGGTGGGAGAGCTACACTTACTGCCGGGAGGGGGAAGAGGGGAAGAGAGTTTGCGAGGGAATCGGATTCTGGGGAGGAAGATTCTTTCTCCTGTTCGACACGGGAGACGTTTTGATCTTCGGAGCCTGCAGCAAGAGCAGGATGCTGGTGGCGGCGGCGACTCCCCTGCTGGCAGGGGAGCTTCGCCGACGGGAAAATCTGTGTGTCGTGGCGGCGGCGGATGAAGAGTCGGTGGCGGTGAGTTGGCAGCGAGGGAGAGAAGGAGGTAGGAGTTTCCGGCTGGTCGCGGTGGAGAAGGATGTTACGCCGGCGGTGATGAAGGAACTGCAGTTGGAGGAAGGTAGCGGCAGTGGAGGGGTTTTAATGGCGACGGAGCAACGGGGAACGATCAAGCGGATAACCTATAAGAATCCTAATTACATGGTTACTTTCATGTGCATTTTATTTGTGCATTTTATGATCATATACGTAGTTATAATCACATTTGTACCCGGTCTGAATTAAACTGTTCTATGAACTTGTGTCTCTCCGTTTTTCAATTTTCCGGTAAGATGAATTAACAAAAAGGAGCGGCATACAGAGGAGTTACATGAATTTCAGAACCATGGAACCAAAAGCGATGCCAAGAAAAGTGGCAATGGCGATTCCGAAAATACCCGAGAGAATGGCGGGAACAACCATGGAGTTCCACCCTTTCGCAGTAGCCATCCCGCAGGCAGTGGTAGGGCCGCCGACGTTAGCATTTGACGCCAGAAGCAGCAGCTTCAGGTCGAGGTCGAACAGCAGCCTCCCCACAGCGAGGATCACCGCCAGATGGACCGATATCTGGACGAGCGCGAACATGAATATGCTCGGAGCTGTCTGGACAACGGACCACACGTTGCCACTCGCACCAACCACCGCGAAGAACACCTGGAAGGTTAATCAAGGTTCAAGACACGGGTTTTTTGTCAATAATCGGAGTTGTTATTATAGTTGTAAGAACTTGGTTCTTGAACTAACTGGAAGAACGAGCTGTGGGAAGTTGGACACTATCCTCACCTGCATGAGAATCATGGCCATGGTTTCGCCGGATGGGGCGAGGTAGTTGAATTGGGAAGGGAATGCAGTTGCCAAGACCACGACGATGGCGGTTATGGCCGGCAAGCTGCCTCCTGGAAAGCCAAGGGACTTTGTGGCGTAAGAACCTGCCTTGCAGATGGCGAAAGATACTGCAAGAGCTGTGGCTGCTTGCATGACAGGAAGCGGCTTTTCGCCAGGCTCGGTGCCACCATTAGCTGAGGCATCATCTGGTGGAATCGAATGTATTCAAAATCATTAGATTCTCCATGGAACTAGAAATCATGTTAAAATCGGAATCAGACTTTACTTGTGAACTTTGTGAAACATACATCCAAAATGTAGACTACTTAGCAGGGCTGACTTAGGTCTAAATCAGTGTTCAATTCTGATTTAAGGGAATAAGCTGCTGCTGCCACAGCTGCCTGCTGGTTCAGCAGCCCAAAATGAAGGGGACGAAACTTCCTACTAATATCCACTTAGTTGAATGTACCGATTTCAACAAAGTCTATCCTCATTGGAACGATGGCGAACAGATTGTTCAACCGACACAAAATATTTGAGTTTACGAATTTGTGGCGGTGGTTACCATTCGAAGAGGTTGCAGATTCTGGAGGCACTCGAGCTGCAAGAGCGAACAGCGTGGTGAAATACACAGCACAGATGACATTGTCTGCAGCAAGTCCAGCTGCAAGAACTGATGGAGAAACTCCAAGAGCATCTGCAATGGCTACATAATTCACAGCTGCAACACAAACCAAAATTTGACTTAAGAAGGATGCTTAAAAGATAATACCAGATCATTCAACCAGAATACATATTATTGATTCATTACCTCCACCAATATGTCTTCCCATGAGAGCAGCTGCAATCTTCCAACTATCCTGGCCAAGTGATTTCATCGGCACCAGTAGATAAGCCACCACTGTTCCAATCGTCGTTGCAACTGTTCACACAAAAAACCAAACCAAAATTCACATGTCAAAGAAGACAGAAGGAAGAGCTATTCGCAAGAACAGTGCAATCTTATTAGTACCTGATCCGATTAGGAAAGCCAGGAGTAGTTTTCCAGTGGACTGAATCACCCGGCGCAAGTCGGCTCTGAACAGCAGCAAAGGGACTGCCAGTGGGAGAAGAAAGTTCAGAACAATTGAGTAAGCTGGCGATTCGCAAGAAATGAGTCCTAGATTACTGGCCGCCAGCCCGACCAAAGTGCTCACTAGAGCGCCGCTGAGTGCGCTTCCAATTTGGGTCTTCTCCGACCTTCATGTATCTCCAAAATCAGATGAACAAGAAGAAGAAAAAATGCTTAATGCGGTTCTGGGTTCTGCATAACGTGTTGAAAAGATGATGAATTTAGTGTTTTTTTTACCAGATGCCGAAAGCGCCGGCGGCGAAGAGGGCGGTCCAGATGCCCCATTTGTCGTCCGGAGAAATTAGAGGGAAACTCAAGTTGGATCTGACCGTTACAGATCGGATCGAACTGGGTTGCCTCGGAAGCCAGCTAGGAGACAGAAAGATCTGGCTTTTTTCTCCGGGGAATTGGAACGGCGGCGGCGATGAAACTGAGAGGCGGCTACATTTGGTCTCCGGAGTAATTAGTGACGAGGATGCAGTTAACTTTTGGCTGGGAAAACAGCAACCCGGGCGGGGAATCTCTGGAATCGGCGCCGGCGTCCGGCTAATGTGGGAAAAGAGAAGCTTTGACGCCATTAACGTTGAGCTTCAAGGAGGGGAGAAAGGGAGAGACGTTTTTGGGAGCACAGTGGAAAATATCAGCGTTCGCAACTCGACGCCGCCAAAATGAGAGATTGTTTGTTTCACTTCGCCACATAACAAAAAAATCAGCTGATGCAGACTTTCTATATTGTAGCTCAAAGTTGGTGTTAAAAGCACGTTGAGTGACGTTTTGTTTGGAACAGCTACACAATGGAAACAAAAAATTCCAGATTGGTATCCCATAAGTACAGATTATAAAAGCTCTGAACCATATAAAGCAGTTCAGCATCATTCATTCCATATTTCATCCATTGTAACAAATTACAAAACAGGGAACCATCCCATTCTGTCCTCAACGTTGTTCTAGTATGGTATGAGTATCTGGGTTTCGATATCAGACTCGAGTCGTCTATCATCGGCCTACAAAAACATTGAGGCTCACTTAGATGTGATGCTATCAATGGCCAGCTTCTGTTTCTTGACGCTAGTCGTCTCTTCTTCCAAGGCTCTCAGTTTGTTCTTTATCGCAGCTATCTTGGCGCTCTTATTCGTCTGCCCAGTGGGTTGCGAAGGAAGGCCTGGTTTTCTGGGTGCACTTGCTGCTGTTCTTGAAGAGCTCTGTGCAGCTGCTTCCTCCAAGCTTCTGTCACTCGAAATACGTACCACCAATGGCCGGCCACATGCCAATCTCCCGTGCATCTTTTCCTTGGCTAATTTAGCTTCCTGCATACTCACTTTAACTGTGGGAATCAGAAAATTTTGCGTAGAATCCAGAAGAAGCTAAAGAAAACCAGACAGCTTACCTCTTTGGAGCTGAACTGGATGAATGCAAAGCCACGTGGCTCTCCACGTCTAGGGCCACGGGTATGCCACAAGAAGTCCTCGGAGATGATCTTTCCATATGGAGAGAACATCTTAATCAGAGTGGCCCTGGTGAGGAACAAAAGAATATGTTAATCAAAATCAAGAGAGGACAGGAATGATATGTGCTTCATCAAACCTGATAAAACTTGAGGAACTTCCTTACTCTGTTATTCTCAGGTCGAGGTTACCAACGTAAAGTCTGCTTTCCGCTTTCTCATCACTGAAACCATTAGGATCCTGCAGCCACTACAAACCAGTCAGTGAAAAATGCACCAGTATCAATGCTGCAACCAAACACTGCTCCGAAGCCCGCATAGAACAAAAATCGATCTTAGTTATAAAGTTCAGATGAGTCGTTCAAGGTAGTGAACATTCAATCTTTATGGTCAGTAACTCAGCAGCATTCCAAAATCATAGAAAAATGCAGCAAAACAATTCTCATCCACTGACTAAAGTGGCACATCATGTACCCTACTTAATGGTATCATTCGTATCTGGGATGATGGTATGCAAGGATCATAGGCGTTTACCATATTGCTGTTTAGGGGGGCCAAGTTGAGGAGAAACCACAGACCTCAAGAGCTTCAACAACTGCAAAATTAATCACAAAGTCCATAGCTTTAGTGATCAGATAGTGCTAGAAAGCCAACAAGTTCTTTTTCACATCTCAACACTAAGTTTATCATTTTAGCACAACGATATGAATTTTGAAGGCTAGATCACACTCCGCTGCTCACTTCACCAGCCACAGAATCAAAAACCTTGCCAAACAACCACTTCTGATCACAAAATGCAAATGACACAATCGCATCAACTGCTAGTAGTACAATGTCACAACTAACTAGGAAATTCAATTCAAAGGCCAAGTTCTCTAGCATATAATCTGAAAGAACGAAACAAAAGCTAAAAAACTGGAGGCTGAAACTTTTCCAAGCAGAAGTTCCCTAACGTGGAAGTGATAATTTCAACCCAAAATTCAAACACCACCCAACACAAAAACGATCACACACACTGAAACCATGCCCAGTTTCGCAATTCCTGAACCTTTAGCAAAGTGCCCCCCAATTAAACCCTAGAAATTCGATTTAAAAAAAAAACTTACGAAATTAAACTGCAAGTTGCCGTTAACACAGAGCTCCGATTGCTTACCGAAACGACAACAGGAAAAGAAACCGGCTCAACGCTCTCCTATATGGCCCGCCGGTGAAGTGATCGAGCCGCCGGCGACCCAGAGAGGAAAGGGTGAGCAGGCAAGGAAGAATATTTGAGGAATGAAAGGAACGGATTTGCCTTCCTCCGAAAGTTCCCGTCGTATCGTTTCCTCCCGGGCAATAAAAACGGGGAAAGGATGGCCAAGACAAAAGCCCAACTTTTGCGGGCTGTAAGCCCAATTAACGAGTCCAATCCCGCCAAAAGCCCAACGGTAAGAACAGCTACAGCCCAAAAGAAACCGGCGCGAAAAAGAACAAATTACTGCAAGGATGATGCGAGGCTTACGTCAGATTCCAGCTCATAACCAAAATGATGGGATCCAGCCGTATTTGCCGTTAATTTGAAGTCCACCTGTCCCAGTAAGCGGACTAAACCCCGAAAAGAGGAAAGAATAGTATTAAATGGACAGTTCACACCACCAAACAAACAAAATGCTAAGTACTCACTTAATCGAACTTAGTCGGCCTTAATTGTGATTAATCCCGGTTTAAGCATTTGTTTCGCATTGGTTTAGTTCGGTGGGTTTAGAGCACCGACGATTCCCATCCCTAAATCGTCAAAATTGGGAATGAGAGAGAAACATCGTCTAATATTAATGTGTGTTAGTCATTAGTGGGTGTATGGCTGTAAGACAATTGCCATACCCATTACAATATGATAATCATATCGTCCAATGCAATAAGGGGTTAAGGCATTGGAGAAAAAAGGCGGCAGATTCCCCTCCATTCCACTGCCTGCTAAATTACTGCGAGGAGCGTCGAGTTCATTTGTTTCTTTTCTTCCCAAGACAAAGCATTCGAGTAAAATATCCTACCCAATCCCACTCGACCTATATGCGTGTTGGGGCATGCGCGCTCGTATTAACCATGTTCGTAGCAGGACGGGTGTTGCGAGTCGGACATAGTACTGTTTGATATGTTCTTGACTCAATGTCATTCTCACCAGAAAATGGACCGATTTCATTTCTCTTCTTGTTGTTCATTCAGTCAGTCTTGGTCAAGGATCTCGAAATACGAGAAAGAAGTATAATGTATGAAGGCTTGCAAGAAAAATTATGTGGTACATAAAATGAACAAGTTTTTATTTTATTTTTGAGAAGATGTGTTTTTTTTATTTCTGAGTGATATCAATGGAAAATAATAGTTAAATATAATTCTACCCAGGACCCCTAAAAGACTCTAAAGAATCCACCCCAAAAAATTAAAAGATTCTAGCTCTACACGAGACAAAAGCAGTGCTTTACGCGCCACTCTATGGGCAGCACTGTTGGCGGATCTAGATACCGCCCTAAACTCTATACAAGCAGACAAAGAGCTAAGGATCTGAAGACACTCTCGTAACACCGGACCACCAATCGAGTCTTCTAAGACGACTTGACGGACTTGGTTGACGACCACTTCGGAATCACCTTCGACTATCACGTGGGTCAAGGAGATAGCATCCCTGAAAGCTAGAAGCTCTGCCAGATAAGGGTTGACTATTCCTTGATGCTGCAACCCGAACGCCAACATCACATGCCCATCTGACCCACGGATAACAAGCCCAGACGAACACCCGGAGGCACAAACAGTTGCGTCAACGTTGATCTTCAAAAAGCCTTCTGGTGGAGGGACCCAAGCTAAAAGGAGGTAATTAGCTCGGCATGATGGAGTTGGACCATTAGATGCATAAGATGACTATCTAGTAACATAAATACATCATTTTTCATTTTGTTTTGGAAGAAAATTGGACATAAAGAGCAATCAAACCTACACCCCCATGTGACCATTACTAACGAGATGGTTCATTGTATGATTGATTTCTCGATAATTATGAGTGATCCTAACTTGCCAACAAGTAGCATTATTTGAACCCGACCTAATCTTTGTTGAGATTGGTAATTTGAATTTGACCTAATCTGTGTTGAGGTGGGTAATACTGTACTCGTGTAGGACGGGTAATACTCGATTGATAGTAGTGTGAAACAGATTACGGGTACTAGTTCTGACTTGTCTCGTCTAATCCTCTCCATTCTATCTTGATTTATCTCAATATTCAATTGTATTTCTCCTATATTTACTTATCTTAAATCATATTTTTACCCAATGATATGTAAGATAAGTGAAATGCTTCATCTTTCAACTAATTTCACTCAATTAATCTACATATTGTCTCTAATATCATAAACCAGCTTTGATACCATGTCATAAACCAGTTGATCCCAATAACTCGAGTTGTTGGGAGAAGGTTATGTTGGATCTTATAGCACTCTCTAACATCTAACGCTCATTTATGAACTATGTTCTCTTTATTTTTTATCGTTGAAAATAAAAAAATTCTTCAAATTATATATAAGAATATGTCGATCTGTCCCGATACATACTCATTCAAATATTACTAGACCTGACCTGTACTTAGTGTAGAGCGGATATGGGTTGGGGTGGGCCATGAGCGAGTTGGGTGGGTTTTGGTTTCAAATCTACTCACCCGCTTACTAGCGAGTTTGTATAATTGTGACCCGCACCCGCTATCCACCCACATTCTTCTGGGAGTTGGGTTGGGTGGGTGGTGGATGAGTACGGTTGGATGGTGAGTAATTAACCAGCAAAAGCAATTCTCCAATTGGTCATTAAGAAAGTTTCTTGTATATTTGCAAGATTGTAATATTTGCATAAAAAAATTCAATACTCTATCAACCAATTGTGTAGAGAAATTGAGAAAACTGACGCATTTTGTGACTTTAACAAAAAAAAAAAGTTTACAATTTGCATCCAATATCTAATTGATATTGCACAACACAATAACCAATGATAGTACAAAAATATTGTTCATTCTCCATTTTTAGAAGTAGATGGCCAGTGTGTATAGTGCAGTTAAAATATATGATGAATATTCGATAGCATAAGAAACAACATTTGTCATGTGATAATATAGTGCGGATCATTCGGGTGACTCGCAAACCCACCCACTCACATAAGTGTTGGTAGGAGATTTATCAATTTGCAACTCATCCACATCAATCACCCACCGGTTATGATTCAAGTAATTTACGAATAAATCGATAGCAATCCGCGGATTAACTACCCATATGGGTATTGAATTACTTATCCGGAATTGCTATCACTGATCTGTTGGACTGTTAGTTAGCTAATTCACGGCTCGATGATAAGTGGCATGTCATTATCTCTCTGTTGCTGTTTACAGTAAAGCCAGCCTAGACTTGAAAACCCGACACTGGGCCACAGGCCCACAGCCCCACTCACCGTCGTCCCGCTCCAAAAAAAACGTCAAACGAATCGTTGAAATTTCTCCCTACTTAACAGAGCAGAAAAATCCCCAATCCAAGTCACCAGAAACAGTGATAATCCAATCCAATCCAATCATGGCATCTCCACCGATCGCTTCTCCGTCTCCGCATACTAGAAAGTCGCCGCCACCACCGCACGCGGAATCCCCTCTCTTATTATCTTCTCCACCACCATCCCCTTTTCCAGTCATTCCTTCTGCCATGGCTGCTCAAGCTCAAATTTGAAAGCAGTAGAGGGAAACAAACCTTCCCCTTTTCGGTTATGGAGTTCACAGCTCTTCTTCTTCATCTCCTCCCTGTAATTCTACTCGCTATTTTCAGTCCCTCAGCGGCCTTCGTACCGACGGACAACTACCTCCTCAACTGCGGCTCCACCTCCAATGCAACCCTCGACAACAGGGTCTTTGCCGCCGATTCGGCTTTCCTCGCCGCCGACCGCTCCACTCCTCTCGCAAACAAAAACCCACCACCCAGTTCGCCGGAACTCTACGCTACAGCTAGGGTTTTCACTTCCGCTTCGGGGTACAAGCTCAACATCAGGCAGAACGGGACCCACTTGGTACGCCTCCATTTCTCCCCGTTCCCTTCTCCAAATTTCAACCTCTCCGCCGCCAAGTTCACACTCCTGCTCAACGGAAACTCCGTGCTGAGAGATTTCAGCACCGAGGCGCTCGTAATCAAGGAGTATGTGTTTGGAATCGACGGCGAGGAGCTGGAAATCGTGCTCCGGCCCGCCGGCGGCGGGTCCAATTTCGGGTTCGTTAACGCAATCGAGGTTTTCTCCGCTCCCAAGGACCTCATAATCGACCGCGGTGCTCGAATCGTGAGCCCTAACGCCATCGGCGAATTCGACGGCATGTCGTCGAGGATTCTGGAGACGATTCATCGAATCAACGTCGGTGGGTCGAAAGTGACGCCGTTCAACGACACCCTCTGGCGGACTTGGGTCCCCGACGAGGGATTCCTCGTCCTGAAACCGGCGGCGAAGAAGGTCGTGTCGACGCACCCGCCGAATTACCAGCCCGGCGGAGCCACGAGGGAAACGGCGCCGGATCACGTGTACATGACCGCGCAATCGATGAACAGGGGAAACGCGATTCTGGGCGCCAAGTTCAACATCAGCTGGAATTTCCCAGTGGGCTCGAGCGGCGTCCAGCACCTGGTCCGTCTCCATTTCTGCGATATCGTCAGTACAGGTCTCAACTTGTTGTATTTCAATGTCTATTTGAACGATCTCGAAGCTTACAAAGATATGGACCTGTCGTCGCTCACTTTCCACGAGCTGGGCTCTCCAATGTACGTGGATTTCGTCGCTGACTCTGACGATCTGGGGAAGATGAGGGTCAGCGTTGGACCTTCTGATCTCAGCACTTCGACACATGTAAATGCGATCTTGAATGGGGTTGAGATTATGAAGATGGTGAATCTGGCCGCTTCAGGAAGCGTGTCTAGCGAAAAGAAGAAGAGAAGAACTTGGATTATAGTGGGTTCGATTTTGGGAGGAGGGTTTGGGTTACTCCTTTTGGCTGGATTGATGGTCCTTTTAGCTTGTAGATGCAGGAAGAAGAAGCAAATGAAGAACCCTAGATCGAGACGAACCGAGAGCTCAGCTTGGACTACACTGCGTGGAGTCCAAGGTAGCTCGCGCAGCAGAATGACTGAGCTCACAATTACAGGCTCCCCAGCTGGAAATGGCTACCACAACTTGAGAATCCCTTTCGCGGAAGTCCAATCCGCGACCAACAATTTCGACAAGAACTTGATCATCGGAATGGGAGGATTCGGAATGGTGTACAAAGGTGTACTCAAAGACGCAAACATTAAGGTTGCAGTCAAAAGAGGTGTCCCCGGGCATCGCCAGGGACTCCCCGAGTTCCAAACTGAAATCACCGTCTTATCCAGGATTCGCCACAGGCATCTTGTTTCTCTCGTGGGCTATTGTGAAGAGCAATCGGAGATGATTCTGGTGTACGAGTACATGGAGAATGGACCCTTGAAGAGCCATTTGTACGGTCAGGGCCAAGCTACCTTGACGTGGAAGCAAAGGCTGGAGATATGTATTGGTGCAGCGAGGGGGATACATTACCTTCACACAGGGTTCATCCCGGGGATCATCCATCGAGACATCAAGTCGACGAACATCTTGTTAGACGAGAACCACGAGGCTAAAGTCGCGGACTTTGGGCTCTCGAGGGCAGGGCCGTGCCTGGACGAGACCCACGTGAGCACCGGGGTGAAGGGCAGCTTCGGGTATCTAGACCCCGAATACTTCCGACGACAGCAGCTGACTGACAAGTCTGATGTTTACTCTTTCGGCGTTGTGATGTTGGAAGTTCTCTGCGCCAGGCCAGCCATCGACCCTTTGCTTGCGAGGGAGCAAGTGAACCTGGCCGAGTGGGCGTTGCAGTGGAAGCAGAGCGGCAGGCTCGACCAGATCATCGACCCCAAACTTCGAGGGCAGATCAAGCACCGGTCCCTCGAGAAATTCGTGGAGACCGCGGAGAAGTGCTTGGCGGAGTATGGAGTGGATCGCCCCAGCATGGGAGATGTGCTGTGGAACCTGGAGTACGCGCTTCAGGTTCAGGAGTCTGGATCTTTGCGTGAAGATAGTAGCGCAAACGGCGACCCGGTAATGGTGGTGGTGGGGAATGGTGATAGGAGTGAAGAGAATTGCAGCTCTGAAGCATCCACAGCTCTGGTTTTCTCCCAGCTCGTGACTAATGAAGGCAGGTAGTGTTTGTGACTGGAAATTTTTTTCAGAGAGATTTGTTTCTGTGCCATGAGGAGTTCAATGGGTTTGTTGTAGGATTTCACACTTAGTTAGGCTTGAGTGAGTATTGTATTGTGAGTTTGATTGATGTACACAGTGAAATTGTAAATGGAACTTTATCAGAAGGATCGAAGTTTCGGTTCACTGAAATATTAAATTGCAGCAGCAGGCTTCATGCCGGATATCCAGAGTATCATCTCATAAGAGTTTTCCAATCGAGTTGCCGCACTATATAGCTAATCAAAAGAGTATTAACTGCCTTGGTATTTGATGGATGAGACTAATGTAATGTAGGTGTGCTAAATGGATCGGGTCACAATGGTGTGGGCTATGGTGGGTGGTGGATCGGGTCATAATGAATTGGCCTATTTATGGGTGGTAGGGCTGTTAATGAGTCGAGCTATTCGTGAGCGGCTCAGTCTCGAACTTGATAAATGCTCGTTCGATTTAAAAAAAGGTCGGCTAGTTAATAAACGAGTCGAGCTTGAGCTCTACTTTGTTCGGCTTGTGAAGCCGTGAACTAGCTCGGTTAGGTGGCTCGTTTAATATAACTCATAAACTGTCTCGTTTTGAGCTTATGAGATGTCCCAACATTGTGACTAGAGAGCCAACTCGACTACAACTTATGAGAAAATCAATCTATATTTTATGAGTTGGTTTGTTAATGATGCATATAATTATGAAATTGTATATATCATCTCATATGGTGTTTAATATATTTAGTATATGTGTAAGCAAATACATTTCATATATGACATATTATTAGGTAATCACATGTATCACATATGACATATAAATGTTAGGTTATTTATATTATAAATTATCTTAAAGTTGAGCTCGAGCCGGACTTTCGATCTTAATGATGTGTCAAGATTTAATAAATGAGCTAGCTCGTGTTCGACTCGGCTCGTTTATAAACGAGCCGAACATGAACAAGTCAAAACTCGGCTCGGCTCATTAACAACCCGGTACTTGGTAGGCCATGACTAGTTGGATCACCATGGGTTCAGTTGTGGTGAGTTAGAAGATGCGTGATAATCAAACCAAACCCAAAATTAATATCAAACCAAACCGGTTATCACCCTACCCAATTTTTACGTGGCAGTTTGCTTGTAATAATAATAATTGATTGAAAACATGCGTGATGGGCCGGCCGACATGGGCCGTCGCTCTCAGGTTGTCCGTATCCCAGTGGGTCTGATCCTATAACCAGCAACCACGCTAAAAAAATTGAAAAACCATAGTGATACAGCTGGAAGACCACCCATCCCCTTAACACTTTAATTGTTTTTATTTTATATTAACATCGTTAAACAGTTAAAAATATCGCTTCCTTGATTTAAACTCTAACTTTTTTCACTTGTAGCCAGACGCAGGCACCTATGGAAGCTGAAAATGTGGAGCCTGAGCCCAACTCCCCGCCTTCGCAACATGAAAATATCTACGGGGAGTGGATGATCGCTAAACGTAAACCTCGTCCAACCAAGAAGGAGGGGGGATCAACCTCGACCCGGGGAGGATCGCCTGTCGAGGAAGTGCACCAGAGGGGGGGGGGGGGGCTCGCGTTTTGCGGTGTTGGACGAGGATCCTGACGTGAACATGGTGTCAGCTGCGGTCGCTAATGAGAAAAATGCCCCGAGCAAGACCAAGCAGCAGCGTACCCAAAGCCGGGACAAGCATACTAATGTGCATGCACAAGAGAAAAGTGGCCCGGCCGGCAGAGTCCTAACCAGTGATGCGGTTGACCCAAACCCGACACCTATGCAAGCTGAGGGGAATGCTAATGCTTCATGCTTGGCCAAACCCACTCAGACTGACCATGAAATGCAGGATACTCTTGTCCAGGGGGAGGACGTAGTTGTGGAGGAGCAGCCCATGCAAGGTGGCGGGGAGTCGACGGAGACCCTGGTCCGGCCTAACACAGGGAGGAAAGGCCGACCCCCCGATATTGGTTCCGGCAGCAACTCCACGAGCTCGGGACCTCCGGAAGTGATCATGCAGACCAAAGCCTCGGGAAAACAGATTGGCGGGGGCGACCCGCCCAATGCGTAACTCAAGGGAGTCTCTTTCCAACCCTCTTTTTTATGGATTACAAAATTTTTTCATGGAATTGTAGGGGGGCTGGGGGTAAGGGTTTTTTACGTGCTTTTTGTGAGTACCGTAGGAAATTCAAGCCCCATATTGTGATTATTTTGGAACCTAGGATTAGTGGGAACCGTGCTTTGAAAGTCATTCGTGAAATGGGTTATGATAAAGAGCTAGTAGTTGATGCTATTGGTTTTTCGGGGGGAATTTGGGTCAGTTGGAATTCGAGTGATCTCACCATCACCAGAATTCATACTCACCAACAGTGTCTTCATATGCAGGTACAGGGACGTTTGCAGCAGGATATCGCTTGGCAGCTCTCGGCAGTCTATGGATGTCCTGCCCCGGTTCAACGGCGAGGGTTATGGGATCACTTAAGGTCTATCGCGGATGGAATGACCCAGCCCTGGCTCTTGGTGGGCGACTTTAACTCCATCATTAGCCCCTCCGAGAAGCTAGGGGGGGCCCCTTTCGATGCTTCCCGTATTCGCGATTTCCAGGATGCAGTGCAGGATACCGAGCTGGTGGACTTGGGTTTCGTTGGCCCGGCGTATACTTGGTTTAAAACGGGGCTCCGTGAACGGCTGGACCGGGGCATGGGGAATGTGGCCTGGATCGAAACCTTCCCAGAAACTGTGGTCCGACACCTCCCGCGCATGAACAAGTCGGATCATAGGCCCCTTCTGATTTCGCTCAGGGAGCTTCACGGTCCTGCCGGACCCAAACCTTTCCGGTTTCTGGCAGCTTGGCTCACTCACGATGCTTTCTGGGAGATGATGGAAGAAGCTTGGGCGAAGGGTACCTCTTTCACATCCTCGGCCGAGGCCTTCGCACGGGATGCACGAGTTTGGAACAGGAATGTCTTTGGCCATGTTACAAGGAGAAAAGACAAGCTACTCCGACGAATCGAAGAGCTAGAGCAGAGTGGTAATGGGATAGGGATCTCAGCCCAGCTGCACCAAGTCCAGGAGGAGCTCGAGCTGGTACTATTTCAAGAAGAGTTGCTCTGGTGCCAGAAATCCCGGCTTGAGTGGATTAGCTCGGGTGACAAGAACACGGCTTATTTCCATTCCAGGACCCTCAGAAGAAGAACCAGGAATCGGGTGAATATGCTGAAGGACGAGGGAGGTGAGTGGATCGAAGAGCAGGCTGTGCTCTTGGAAATGGCTCGGGCCTTCTTCAGCCAGCTGTACACGGACGAGGGGGGGTATCTACCTGCTCTAGAGGGACGGTTTCCGGAAATTGAGACTGCTCGATGGCAGCCTTTAGCCGCTACGCCAAACTTGGAGGAAATTCGGGGCGCAGTCCAGGCTATGGGCGCACTTAAGGCACCAGGGAAGGATGGTCTCAACCCGATCTTTTTCCAGAAGTGTTGGGGAACGGTAGGCCAGTCACTCACGAAGCTCGCACTCGACTGCTGGGAAAACCCAGGGAAAATCAAAGAAGTGAACTCTACTATCCTAGTGCTTATCCCGAAGGTGCAGCAACCTATCACCATCGATCAATTCCGACCCATTAGCTTATGCAATGTGGCCTACAAAGCAGTGACGAAGTGTCTGGCGGAGCGACTGAAGAACTTAATGCCGGACCTAGTCCACGAGACCCAGACTAGTTTTGTCCCTGGCCGCCATATCACCGACAACATTTGTATCCTGCAGGAGGTCATTCACTCGATGAGGGCTCGACGGGGTAGGAGGGGTTGGATGGTTCTGAAGGTGGATTTAGCGAAGGCTTATGACCGGATACGGTGGGGCTTTGTTAGAGATACCTTGATCGCCGCAGGGGCCCCTAGTAATTTTGTTGACTTGACCATGGCTTGTATTTCATCAGCCTCGATGCAAATCCAGTGGAATGGAGGCTTAACTGAGCAGTTTCAGCCTTCCAGAGGCCTTCGGCAGGGGTGCCCTCTATCCCCATACCTGTTCACTCTCTGCATGGAAAGACTTGGGCATATTATAGATGATACGGTGAGAGGGGGCAGATGGAAGCCGATCCAGCTATCGCAAGCCGGCCCAGCGCTCTCCCATCTTTTTTTCGCGGACGATCTGATTTTGTTTGGGGAGGCGACCAGGGCTCAGGCGCAAGTGATCAATGACTGTTTTGCGCTATTCGGAGCTTCATCGGGACAGCAGGTTAGCAGGCCAAAGTCGCGGGTGTTCTTTTCAGATAATACCACTACTGAATGCCGGAACATGTTGAGTGATGAGCTGGGAATCCCGATTACCTCGAATTTGGGAAGATATCTGGGCGTACCGGTTATTCACGACCGGGTTTCGAAGGCTACGTTCCAACAGCTGATCGACAGGATAGATTCCCGGCTAGCAGGATGGAAAGCCTCCTCGCTGTCTCTTGCCGGGCGGGTCACCCTGGCTCAGTCAGTCTTGGCCTCTCTTCCGGCGTATATAATGCAGACGACGTTCCTGCCTGCCAGTGTGAGGGAGTATATCGATAGAAAGATAAGAGCTTTTATCTGGGGCAGCACCGATCAGGGCCGCAAAATCCACCTCGTTGACTGGGAGACCCTCTGCAGACCGAAAGACGAGGGGGGACTGGGGCTGCGGGATTCTACAAGAACGAACGAAGCTTATATGTTGAAAATCGCGTGGAGGTTGATCACTAAACCGGACGAACTTTGGGCCAGGGTCATTCTCGCGAAGTATTCGAGGAGCACGGCAGAGGGCAGGCGGTTTGTGACAAATGGCCGCCTCTCGAACCTTTGGAGAGGAGTTTTGAGGGTGGCTCATCTCTCGGAGAAAGCGACGGCGTGGAACGTGCGGAATGGTCTCACGGCCAAGTTTTGGAGTGATCGGTGGTTGAATGACACCACTATCCTCAAAGATCACGTGCCGAATCTCCCTCCGGAGCTGCTCAACATGCCGGTCGCTGACTTCGTGCTAAACGGTAAGTGGAACATGGATTTTCTCAACTTTTACTTACCCCAGCCGCTTGCTTTGCAGGTCTCGCTACATCCTGTCCCAACGGGAACGGAAGACGACGTGAGGACCTGGCGTTTCACTCCCAATGGCGAATTCACCCTGCGTACGGCCTACGACCTGACGGATACCACGGCGGACCAGAACATGAACCAACCCATCTGGAAATCGGTTTGGCGGACGCCGACGCTGCAAAGAATCCGAGCTTTCCTTTGGCTCTTGAACCACAACCGGCTGCTGACTAATGCGGAGAGAGGAAGGAGGCACCTCACGACGAACACCGACTGTAAAATCTGTGGAGATGGCCCGGAAACGACGCTACATGTCCTCCGGGATTGTCCATACGCGAGGGCGACCTGGGCGGATCTACTGGGAGAGGAGCCTGACTCAAGATTTTTCGAGCAAGATATACACAGGTGGTCCTTGTACTACATATCTGATAAGAGCGATACCATTGATAGCACTCTTTTTGCAGGGACTTGTTGGCTACTGTGGAAAAACCGGAATGGTTACGTGTTCCGAGGGGAGCTGAAAACTCATGCACAAATCCAGTTCCATGCAAAACAGCTCCGAGACCAAACCATCCAAGCACTGGAGAAGGAGAATGCGATTTTCGGAGGAGGGGGACTCCGGGAACAGCGCCAAATTGGCTGGCAACCACCGGCGCAGGACTGGGTCTGTGTCAATACAGATGGCTCAGTCACCATTTCTCCAGAGAGCACGAGCTGCGGCGGCATCATACGGGGGAGTGATGGCCGCTTTCTCAAGGCATTCACTGCGAACCTTGGAGGGGGTTCGATCACTCGTGCGGAGCTGGCTGGTATTGTGTATGGGTTGGATCTCGCCTGGGAACAGGGAGCCAGGAAGGTAATTCTACAGACTGACTCGTCCACTGCAAAGAACCTGATAGACAAGGCGACACCGAGGCACTCTCACTTCACACAGGTTGCGGAGATCCGACAGAGACTGAATCGTGATTGGACAGTTCGGATTGAGCATGTGTTCCGCGAAGCTAATTTCGCCGCGGATTATTTGGCTTCTTTGGGCCACTCTCGTTCGATTGGTGTTCATACTTTAGATAGACCGGATACTAAACTCCTGTACTGGCTGTTCTTTGATCGTGTGGGGGGTGTAACACCCCGCTTTGTTCGTTCTTAATAAAGGTTAGGGCGCCCTTAGCGCCCTGTTCTTACCAAAAAAAAACTCTAACTTTTTGTACGATTTCACAAATCATAATACCCGAAGTCGTACAATAGCCGAAAGATTACATATTTACGTGTGATAATTAACTGACGGTGAACTTCAATTTCCACCAAATTACGGTGACGTTTTTTTAGCTTTTTTTTTTTTTTTTTTTGAAGGAATTTTTTTAGCTTTTTAATCTACAGTTCCCCCCTAACTCAAGCAAAGAACACCAAAACCGAAAAAAGAAGATCCAGATAGGTTCAAACTTCGAAGTACGTCATCCACACCGCCCACTCCTCCAAACTGCGGAAGCGGACGAGTCGACAAAAAATCAAAATAAAGGAAAAAGAAAAAAAAAGGTTTTAAACAGGAAAAGGAAAGTAAAAAAAATTAGCTGCGCGCCAGCAAATTGAAAAAAAAAAGGGAGAAAAAACCCCAGAGCGAATCATTTCTTGGTAGAGGTAGAGTTGGGCGAGGAAGAAGAATACGGAGCAGAGGAGGGACGCCGGAGCAAGAAGCAGCGCCGGAATCCGGAAGCGGAAGGCGGAGGAGTTTCCGCCGGGATAGGAGAGAGAAGCAAGGGGAGGAGGTTTCTGAAGCTCGACGGTGGTTAGGGTTACCGATTGTCGATTTGTTGGAGAAGAAACGATGACGGATGTGATATTGCACATATACGATGTGACCAACAGTGGATCGGAGAAGACGAACACCACAATCATGCAGATCAATAAGATCTTCAAGGACGGTATTGGCATCGGCGGCATCTTTCACAGCGCTGTTCAGGTTCTCCTTCTCTCCCTTCTGAATTTCTCTATCTCTTGTGAAGTTTAATGTACTCTCTTCATAACCTTACGGTGTGCTGGTGAGAGTGTATCTGTTGATTTCTATTGCTCGAATTCTGCGAGAGAGTTGTTCTGGACAAGATCTAGGTCTCTGAGGGGAAAAAAGGAACTTAGAAAAAGTGATCTTCTCTTTACTTGCAGTATGTGTACTAGTGGAGTGTTCTTGTTCCCTTGCATGTGAGACTTTGGGCTTTGCTTTGTGGGTGTAAGAATCGTGTCGTTATACTGCGTGCTTTTTCTATGGCGAACCGCTACTAAGCTGTGGCTGGACTCTTACTCAAATTGCTCTTGAGGTGTTCTGTAAACTGGACTGGCCATTTGATGCTTAATGTCTTGGAGACTTCCTGAGTAGATTCTGGAGTCAAATTACACAATGAATTTTGGTAGATGTAATGGCCGACATTGTTATTAAAGATGAATGACTGCGGATTCAGGTTTTGGCTTTGGTCTTGTTGCTGAATTTGATGACATTGGAAGCTAGTGAGTGTGTTGATGATACTCATTGATGACAGTTGGTTAATGGTTCCGGAAGCTGCTGGGTTGCATGGTTATGCTGCGAATAGTTTGTGGTTGGTGAGAGGGCTTCCCTCACCTGCTTAGATTTGTAAGTGAAAGTCAGTAGTGATGAGATTGTTAAGGACTAGAATGGATAGAACAATGAGGTCTGTTGAGATTGTTAAGTCGTTCATACTTTTCACCACTCTCTTTCCAACCGTGGGGGAAAGAAGGAGAGAAGAAAAAACCGTGGGGGAAATTACCGTTGTTTCCCTCCGTGTCGTCTGGGGTTTTCCTAAACTTTGTACGGAATTACGGTTAAGGCAGCAAAGAAGTTATAGACAGGCACTGTGGAGTATGGATTTAGGCTAGAATGAGTATGATGTCCATCCCTATTATATGGATTTCCAAATTAAACTTTATCTTACCGCAACAGAAGGTCTAACATATTAGAAATTCAACTTACTAGAAGAGTGCGAGAAAAGGAGCTGTTAGTTAAATGCATCAACCAATGAATAAGACTAATATAATGATCAATTCAGAGAGTTCCTAACATAATACTGTAGTGCAATTCAGTGCTTGACGTATTCTTGTAAGTTGTATATGCAAGACCCTTGTGCAATGATGAAGGTCTCTGTTTAACTGACTTCTTTCCATGATCAACTGTTGCTTCTCTTTGCACTGATGTTGAATTGCGTATGGATTGTTGAGTTGTTCCCCCCTGGTGACAGGTATATGGAGAAGATGAATGGTCGTTTGGCTTTTGTGAACAAGGCACGGGAGTTTTTAGTTGCCCTTCGGGAAAGAACCCAATGTATACTTACCGTGAAAGCGTTATACTTGGAAGAACCAATTTCTCAATCTATAAAGTGAATCAGATCCTTCGTGAACTTAGTAGAGAGTGGCCTGGAAGCTCTTATGATTTGTTGGCCAAGAACTGTAATCACTTCTGTGATGAGTTCTGTGAGAAGTTAGGAGTTCCAAAGCTTCCAGGTAATGATTTTTATACTTGCTACTACTATCCTTCCTTTAAAAGCTTGATATTGTCGGTGGCTACCATACATTTCATGTCTGTTTCACTGAAACATGTAGTTATGATGGGTGCACAGTTATTTAGCTTTGGTGGCTGTTTAAGATAGGTTAAGAAACCACTGGACCTTTCTGTTCACTGGAAAGTTCCCTGTGCCCTTGTCTTCTGTTGTTTAGCTGTAATGTATTTATCTTTTTGGGTTCCTTTGAATGGTGTGTGTTTTAAAGATTATTGGTGGAGTCCACTAACGCCTCCCCTGAAAATATAAATTTGTATTGTGTTGTAACTAGATCTCAAGTAAATATGGATGGGGTTAAGAAATGTTAAGAAGGAATTGACTTTTGTTTACGATCATGAACCTAGTTCTTTGTCTTATGTTTGTCCTTCTCAACCATCCAGGAGTCAGTTCATGCAAATCTGACATTCTTTATGTTCTCCACCTTATTCACAGGTTGGGTGAACCGATTTGCCAATGCTGGGGATGCTGCTGTTGAAATAGCTGGAACCACAGCCTTACGAGTAAGATCCCATTTTGCAGTTCCCTCTTCTCTGTCCTTGGAGTTCTGCATATTTATGTTACTTATCCAGCTTATTTTTCTTGGACATGGAAGTAGCTTACAGTGCAGATTCGGTACTTCGATTCATTCTATCATTTTCAGAGTTCTACCCATCATATGTAATGTCTAGTCTTTGATCAATTGACCTCTGTGTTTTCACATGCATGCGGACTGCATATGGGCTGCTTTATCCCTGTAACATGTCTCGTATTGTTCATCCTCATTACTAACAAATGTGGGTCTAATATTTTTACAATATAGGGCGATTGATTGACAATTGTATGTTTGCGCCTCTGTTGCTTGCAGTTCAGACAAGCTAAAACAGAGATTGTATCAGCTAGCAAGGTAGCTTATCGTTTCCTTCTAGGCGTGGGATCCAACAATGGTTCTACTCCTGAATCCCCTGGAAACTCGAATGGAGGATCTCCTAGGGTTCAAGCAACTTGGTTCAAGAACCTCGTCACCACCGGGGCAAAACCGTCAACCAGTACTGAAGCTGACAATCAGGTGGATCTGGTCTCTCCGCAACAGCTCACACCAGTTCCACCACTGACTCGACAGCAGAAGTCGCGACAAGAAGATGCAGTAGTAACACCAATGCAGAATGGACATCGAGATGAGTCTGATAGGCTGCTGAGACACAACTCGAGGCACGACGAGATCTGATGTGTCTCTCTCTTTGAGTCAGAAGCATGCGTTTGTTGTCCCATAGAGGATTTCACGCCCTACAGTTTGAATGGAAAGCCGTTCATCATCTACCTCTGTAAAATGTTTCATTTGCTTTCTGACACAAAGTTTCGTTTGAGGTGCCTGTAAAACAGAATGTTGGAGAACGTACCATGATATTTGTTGATGTGATCTGTTTAGTGCTTCTCTCTCTCTTGCAAAATTTTTGCCTGGCTTGCTTTCTGATTGCTCACAGAGCCTCGCATTGAGTTCTTGATACATGGTAGTGAGCACGCGAACATTTAGCGAGTTCTTGATACATGGTAGTGAGCACGCGAACGTTTAGCTTGTGCAGGTCGATGACTGGTTATCTCAGCCGGTTCGTTCCATATTTCTTATGCATATGCTTTGATACACTAGCAGCGACACATGATTTTGCAGGCATTAATGTCCAGCCAACTACTTCATTCAATTTTCCAGGGCTAAATTGGCATTCGTGTTACGATATAAGAATTCGAATACACAACAATCAACATTGAGAAGAAACCCAAAGGCCAAATTGCATAATTGTTACATCTCAAGAAACAACAAGCATGAGAAACTAAATCCTCAAATATCCGAAAAAAGATCAAAGAAAACTAAAATCAAAACAGTTGAGTGTTATGGTGCAACAACTGTTGGAGTTCAGCCCAGAACATCTGGACACACAAGAGAGCAAGACACTCGAGAACTATATACACACAACAAAGCATTTATTCTGAAGCGATGGACTAAATGACCTTTTGACTCCATTGAGAGACAAACCAGAGAATCACTGCTCCAATGTGAATGTTAACTATCTACCTCCTCAGCATTCCGTCCAAGACGAATGTGTCGACAGCATCATCCTCCCCAATCTGTAGAGAAGAAACAGCCTGAGCCGCAATAAGACCAGCCGAGAACTCCGCTGCAGCTCCCCAGCTACGTTCATCACCAAAGTACGATCCTCGTACATCCATTCCACCAAGGGAGCCATAAGAGAACGACGACCATTCACCATCCCCGCCGGCGCAGTAATGATGTGGGAGGAATGATGCTCCACTCTTGTCCATGTAGATATTGAGATTTCCGGAGGCACAATCCCACGGGTTGAACTCGAACCCTTCTTCTTTTTGTAGTACAATCTGACAGGAATCATCAGTGGAGTCCTCGCCAAGCAGAACGTGCAGCGCTACTGCCTCTGCTATTGCAGCACCCTCTTCATCGAGCCTCTGTTGTTCTTCTATCTTCTTCTGCTTCTTCTTCTCCAGTTCGGACCTAATGGCAGCTGAAGTAGCCAATGCTTTCTCCAGCCGCCTCTTCTTCTTCTCAGCCTGTTTGAGGCGGTCCATCTCACCTTTCACCTGCTTCTTCTTCACTTTCCTCACTACGGGTTTACCCGCTATGCTATCCATTTATTTAAAATTAAAACTATTCCAAACTCTATGAATAATGAAGTTCTATTTTTTCTCAATCTATAATGTAATCCTTGTGAGAACTCCGAAATCCTCCTCTAAACAGTGTACATGTTCCCCTATATTGCTAAAAGTGGTTTACTACCCTAATTTTCAGTATCGATTATGGAACAGGAGCTACAAGTGGCTGAGAGCTACACCCACTCAGGTCTGTAGGAGTACCTCATTTTCCGAACGATGCAATCCCAGAAGGAGACAACGGGAGACAAGAGAATGGCAAAATGGTAGCCACTAACGGATTGATCCCTGGACACCATTCCTCCAAGCTTTGCACAACTGTTGCATTTGCCCATCTTTGCATACACCGAGACAGAACAGCCTGAAAACTAAATCCAGAATGCCGGGGAAGGAAGCAACAATCACGAATATGGGACAAACTGCTCACATTGCCTTCCCTACACCACGAAAAGAACCCAGTAAACACGCCAATCAAACATCACCTATGGAAACAAATGCAACACAAATTAAAAAAGGGCCAATCAGGCAATCACACCATATCACACAACAAAAATTGACAAAATCCTCACATGAAGATAACCCAAAAAGATTATAAAAAAAAAGCCTAATTGTTGGTCTCCTGATCTATATAGCTCAGACACCAACCATAGCAACAAACCCTAGCTCTCTTATGACTTCAAGGCATTCGTAATAGAGCTCAATTTTCACACCCTCACCGACCTAAGACATCGAATTCAGCAGGTAAACGTACTAGACTGTCAAACTGCAATCAGATCAAATGCTCGACAGAACAATACTTCAAATCCCGAGATCCATTCCCATCACATGATCAAATTACCTCAGATTCAGATCAAACATACAAAATATACGTCTACCCAGAATTCCTTTTACCGATACATACTGATTGCTTCTGATATTCAAACAAACCTACAAACAATGATCCAACCATTCTACAAGCAGGCAGTCAATCAGATCCAACCAACCCCAATTCAGAACTCACAGATCCGTCGATTCAAAGAACAATCCTACCCTCATCAGACCAATTCTGCACCAGGGACCCTAATCCGCCGAATGACTACCACGATCAAGAGATGGAATGGAACAGTAAATAGATCAATCAAACAGCCGGGGAGGAAAGACGAACCTTTGGTTTCCAATGGGTTGGAAGATGAGAAAAGCGCGAGAAAGAACCTCCTCCTCGGATCGGGAAAACGGACGCGCCGAGGAGAGAGAGAGAAGCAACCCACACGGAGAAACTCGGAACTGCGGAGAAAGGGTACGAAGGAAGGAAAGAAGGAAGGAGAGGGTGTTTGGATCTAGAGAAAGTAGACAGATAGATAGATAGAGAAAAAAGGAAAAGGAGGAGAAGAAGCAGCACGAAATCGAAGAGAGATAAAATAACTGATCACATGAGATGAGAGATTGGCTGAGTGACGGTGACGGACGGACGAACGGACGGAATGAAGAAAGGAAAATGCGCGCAAAAAAACCAAAAGAGGAAAAAAAAGACAAAAACAAAAAGGTAAGAGGGGAAATGCTATCGTGCCGGTTGCGAATGGTAGCCGGCCACGTGTCCGTCTGTGCTTTGCGTGCTGTGTCGTGGTGCGTGGGAAGCGTGGGGGTTAAACCTACAAGTTCGATTTTTTACATTTACGTTTTTGGCAGTCACTAAACTCTGATGTCACAACAAATTGGTCACTGAACTTCGAAAATCGAACTCGATCAATTAGAAAAATGATATTACAGGGTGAAATTACGAATGAGGTGATTTATTCGTCCAATGATTACATATATTGAGGAGCTCACGTGCTAATAGACAAAAGCGACTATCATTTATTTCGGAACACTTTGTATTTGAATACTATTAACTAGGGCTGGGCATGCGGGCGGATCATCCGCGGGTTTGGACCGACCCATTCGCATTTGACCCGAATTTCGTAAAGTGGGTGGGTTTGTGGGTGGGTGGCGGATTGCCCTGGGAGCCATCCGCCGGGTGGTGGATGGATTGTGGGTGGGTGCGCGGGTGACCTGCTCAACCCAACAACAAAAAGATCAAAGGTGTTGGCGCTAGAGAGGGGAGAGTGGAGACGTTAGACATAAACTAGGATTGCTCCCGGAGTTTGAACCTCAAAGCCAACCTTCCAAATAGCGATCCCCTCTTCTTCTCTTTATTTTTCCTCTAATTCTTGTGCATAGATCACCGCTCTTTCCTTTGTGAAATCATTTTCCTTAGTTCCTTGCACCTGATAATCATCTCAATCTGTAGAAAACTCTTTCATAGTAGGATTTCTATCAAATTTAAGAACTAATTCGACATTTTTCACCCTATTTCATCTTCTTGTTTCCCCCGATAACTCTCTTCACCTATTATCATGTCAAGTTGACTCCTTTATATTATATACATTGTGATGTGGGTGAACCCACAAACCCACCCGCATCATCCACCATCCGCCCGACCCAACCCGAGACTAAATGTGGGTGGGTGGTGGGTTAAAGATTATCAATCCATTTAAGCGAGGGTGGGTGCATTTTATGGTCAAAATCCACCCGACCCACCCAATGCCCACCCCTACTATTAACCTCAAGTGTGGGCGGTGGCGGATCCAAGCATTTTTTATAAGGATGTCATTATTCAAAAACTAAATTAAATAAGTCATAAATCAGAAAATATTCAACTTGTACAGATTTTAACAAAAGGTTCCAACGTTTTTTCGTATTCTGAAAAAAGAATATAAAATAGACTTTGTATCTGCACTGCTCAACAAATTTGTATATCCTACTGTAGAATAATTCACGAACTGATCACATATTCACAACCTAATTCACAAAAAAACTCTTCTCCCCTTCAGACGTTCCCAAATTTAAGTTTGATGTGGCGGTTCGACAGGATGCTTCCTATTACGAAGTTGTTATTCGAGATTCTAGTGGGATGTCCTAGATGAGTCTATGTTCCGTGTTTGTCTCCAGCGATTCTCTGCCATGCCCTATGGTGTAGAGTTTAAGATGGCTGCTAGAGTTTTCAATTGGGTTGCTCATAGAATGGCACGTCGAGACCTTACCTTGTCTTTGTTAGGAGTTGGTGTCTTTTAACTTTTTGCCTCTTTTGTTTTTGTAATAGGCCTAGTTGGATTTTTGTGTTTCTTCGAATTGTTGTTTCTTTCTTGACATTTCTCATAGGAAAAAAAAAGTGACTATCATTGTAACATCTTTCAAACTTAACTTTTTTTCTTGACAACTCTTTCAAACTTAATAGATAAGTATGTTATACCTACAATTACGAGAGCGTGGTGACCGGTTTTTAGATACCCAAAAGTTTGCTGACCATTTCCGTATTAAAAAATAAAGTTCAGTGACCGCTCCTTTCAGCTTTTTCCGCGCTATTGGACACGTGGGGCCCGACCCCCCGGAAGAAATGAATCCTGGCCCTTCGATTTTAAGGCTTCTTGTGTTGGACGAATTACGTGTACGGCTGGTGATTTCTTGTATGAAGTTGTATATTATCACAAACCCAATCGGGTACGTGGGTTGGGAGAAGCAGAAGCCAAATTGGATTTTGATGAATGGCGACTTGGGAATTTGGATTGGGCCCTTGTCTCCAACCAACTATCTTTTTTCCCAATTGAAGTGACAAGTTTTGTTTTGGCGTCTTTTTTTTTTTTTGACTGAAACCTGTATGTTTATTCATGATTTGTTTTGGGGTATTTTATTCGAAGCTAAATCATTAAATCATCATTTCTAGAAATTCTAAACTTTATAATAATACCAAAATGATTATGTTTAAAGTTCTCCCAAATCACACTCACGAGATGTATGACATTGTTTTGTGGTCTTAGTTCGATTGGAGGAATGCAGTAAAAATCGCGGTTTAAAGTTTCAAAGTTTACATTTTAATATTTATAGGTAATCAAAACGTGTCTATGTAGAATTATATTTTGCTCTTACTAATATAGTCAAAATAAATTGTGCTTTAAAGCGTGAGAGTTTACATTTTTACGTTTCTAGATCACCAAAATGCTTCTACGCAGAATCACGCTTTTAACTGCATTGGATGAGATAATATCTAGTGGCGAAGTAACTTATAACATATGAGGGATTGCAGAGGTATATTCAACTAATTGTTTTTTTAGTTGGGAAAATAACACCATCAAGTGTTTATAGGATTGCGCTCCTAAAATTATAGTTATACCCTCTCTTTCTTACTTTGTTTTGAATTGCCCTTTCCCTTCTCTTTAAGCTTACGAGCTCCTTCCAGGTAGAGTTGGGAAATGATGTGGTTGTTGTTAACCGCAATCGAAACAAGGTCATATTCACCAATCTTACGGTGATGTGACGTAGGGGGTGACGATTTTAGGGTTTTCTCGTAAAAGGAATAAAACGCAAAGAACTCTCAAAGGAAATAACTAATGAAATAGCAAATAAAGGACAAAAGCTAACTATTGGGTTCCAATCTTCTTATCATTAAACGAACGAAACAAGTACATATTTATAGGCATAGAACTTGACTACTTCTCCTACAAGGACACAACTAACATTGACCCAATTCTACTTAGACAAGGAACACACTAATTAAGACAATAGTAATAAAGACCCAATAATATCCAAATACAAACTAATAATAAAATACTAAAGATACGCAAGCCCAGTCTTCTACGAAATGCTACGATGGCCCGATCTCGTAACAACCAACCACAATCGCACTGTAAATTGCGATAAATTGCTAACCAAAGTTGTTGAAGTTGATGCCTTGCGACGAGCTACAGAATCTGGGTTGTCATTCTGTTGACTGAGTTGCGAAAGCCTGGAAGAGGAATATGGAAGGGAAGGCGGGGGAAGCTCAGGGACTGGGACTCGCTGACTTTGGAGGATCCCAAATTCAACGACGGAGGAGACGACTCAGGGAAGCTCTGGCTGTCACTCGCTCGCCGGCTCGCATAGACGGAGGAGAGGACTAAAGAATGTGGATGGATGTTGTTTTAAGTCTCAACTCGAGCTCGATGGATGGATATAGTTCATTTGAATCGTTTCTTCTTTCAGCCGAGGACGAGGAGGCATATGTGTTACGACCATGGCGTTAGAATCAAACAAGCGTTTTGGCGCCAGCAGTTCAAATTCATTAGTTAGAGTCAATAAACTGTGTCGTTTATCTTTTACATCTTAGTCCTTATTGTTTTGTCTTGAGTCAGTCAGGTCTTTTAGCTGAACTAGCTGTTGGAGCTAGTAGAAAACAAGGGTTAGTTGTTAGTCATGGGAGCTAATTCCCAGGGATCATGAGGGTTAAGGCTGTTTGCCAAAGCCGGGTTTAGAGGCTTCAGTTGCAAGTCCTCCTCTATATATATTTTGCTCTTTATCAATCAATAAAGCATCATATTGCAATACAACGAGCTTTCATATTGGTATCAGAGCCTTGCGCAAACTATAACCAAGGAAGCTGTGAGAGATTGAGAGAAATTGTTTTTTCGTTACAGCAAAAGGGTTGGGAAACACGAGAGTATCTTGTGAGGTCAAACGGTTTGAAGGGTGAGAGAAGCATTGATCTGTGATTTCAGTTCATGGGAGAAAACAGTAGCTTTGCACAAGTGTGCATTCCAAAGTTTGATGGAGATTTCGACCATTGGAGTCTGCTGATGGAGAATCTTCTCCAATCCAAGGAGTACTGGGCAGTGGTGAAGGAGGGATTCAAGGAGCCACGAGAAGGGGAGAAGCTGAAAGAAGCACAGTCCAAGAGGCTTGATGAACTCAGGCTCAAGGATTTGAAAGCCAAAAATTATCTGTTCAGTTCCATCGACAAGGTCATCCTAAAGACAATCACCAAGAAAGGAACATTCAAGGAGCTGTGGGATTCAATGCAAGTGAAGGACCCAAGGGAGTGCAAGAGGCTCAATTACAGGCATTATGGAGGAATTAAGAGCTTTTGGAAATGAAGGGAGGTGGAACCATTACTGATTATTTTAGTCGAGTTACGGTTATAGCTAATGCTATGAGGAATTGTGGTGAAGTGTTGACTGATGTTCATATTGTTGAGAAGATTCTCAAAACACTAACTGGAAAGTTTAATTTCATGGTATGCTCAATTGAGGAATCTAAAGATATAGAGATTTTAACTGTTGATGCTCTCCAAAGTTCCTTAATTGTGCATGAGCAAAAAATTTAAAGGAAGAACAATGGTGAGGAGGATCATGCCCTACGAACTTTCCATGAGTATGGAGGAAGGGGAGATTGTTGATATGGAGGAAGAGGCTATCCTAGAAGGGGTAGAGGAAGAGGAGGACGAGGATGGAACAAGGAATCAATGGAATGCTACAAATGCTACAAGTTGGGGCATTTCAAGTATGAGTGCTCTGAATGGGAAAGACAACAAGCTTACTACAGCTATTCCCAGGACAGGACACAACAGGATATGAAGGATGATGTGTTTTTAAAGGCTTATGTGTAGGATAGCAAAGCTATTAGGACAAATCAACCCAATAATGCAGCATGGTGGTTTTTGGATTCTGGATGCAGCAACCACATGAGTGGTGACAGAAGTTGGTTCATCGATCTTGATACAACTTTCAAATGCAGTGTGAGATTGGAAAATGATTCCATGTTGGAGGTTGTAGGCAAAGGAACAATCAAGTTTCTGGTGAACCAGGTTGCTTTTGTCATTTAAGAAGTGTTCTTTGTTCCTAGACTCAAAACTAACTTTCTGAGTGTAGGACAATTACAGGAAAGAGGTTTTTTTTTATCAAAGAAGGCTCTTGGAAGCTGTTTCATGAAGAAATGGGACTGCTGCTGCAGACCCAAATGAAGACAAACATAATGTTTGTACTTTAGGCAAATCAGGAGAAGAATGGAGACAACCAGTGCTTGCAAACTGATGGTTCTAGAGACTCATCTCATCGACTATGGCACATGAGTTTTGGGCATCTTCATATCCAAGGGCTGTAGAATCTTCAAAAGAAGCAACTAGTAAGGGATTTACCAATCATGAAAGGAGACGTGGGGATTTGTTAGACTTTTCTAGCAGGAAAGCAGCATAGACTTCCATTTCCAAAGAAGAGTAGCTTGAGAGCCACAGAAAAGCTACAACTTCTCCATGTTGATCTGTGTGGCCCTATCACTCCTGTTTCCAATGGAGGGAAACAGTATATTATCACATTGACTGATGATTTCAATAGAAAATTATGGGTCTATTTCTTGCCTGCAAAATCAGATACATTAGATGGGTTTAAGAAGTTCAAAAGCTATGTGGAGAGTTCATGCTGCAAGAATTTAGAGGATTGTGTGATGAGACAGGTATCAAAAGACAGCTCACAATTACCCTCACTCCTCAGCAGAGTGGGGTAGCTGAGAGGAAAAACCAAACCGTTATGAATATGGTGAGGTGTGTCCTAGAATACTGCAAGGTTCCAGCATTTTTCTGGCCTGAAGCTGTGGCATAGGCAACTCATGTCCCGAACAGGAATCCCACAACAGCCAATAAAGGTAAGACAACACAAGAACCTTGGACAGGGCATCCTCCATCAGTAGCTCACTTAAGGGTGTTTGCTTGTGTGGCTCATGTTCATATTCCATATCAACAGAGGAAGAAATTGGACAACAAATGTGTAAGGTGTCAATTTCTGGGTGTCTCCATGGAGTCCAAAGCCTACAAGTTGTGTAATCTAGCTACTGTGAAAGTAATTATCAGTCGAGATGTTATATTTGATGAATCTCAAGAGTGGTCTTGGAACTCAAAAGTACAACCTATGCTCACTAAGATCTACTGGGATGGAAGTAATGATGTATGGTATGGTTCAGATGAAGAAGATCCTGCTAATGTTGATGCCCCTACTGAAACTAGTTCAGCTGCCACTTCTCAACTAACTCCAGCAGCAGTCTCAACTCCTCCATTTGAGAACGAGAAAGAAGAAGAAGAAGAAGAAGAAGAAGAAGAAGAAGAAGAAGAAGAAGAAGAAGAAGAAGAAGAAGAAGAAGAAGAAGAGGCAGACAATGGCTCTCCTACTGTCGTTTTGGGACTTAGGGTAAGGAAACCACCTTCACACATATCTATCTATGGCTGCAGCTTTACAACTGCAGATTGGGAGGCAATGGTGGCAGTCATAAATGACTCTCTTACTTATGAAGAAGCAGCCACTAATTCTAAGTGGAATGCAACCATGAATGTAGAGATGGCTTCCATTGAGAAGAATCAGACTTGGAAGCTCACTGACGCTCCAGCAGGAGTAACTCCAATCAAACTCAAGTGGGTTTACAAGACTAAGTGCAAGAAAAATGAAACTCTTGACAAACAGAATCCAGATTAGTGGCCAAGGGCTTCACGCAAAGACATGGAATTGACTACACAGAGGTATTTGCTCATGTGGCTCGTTGGGACACTATCAGAACTATCTTCGCATTTGCTACATTTCATGGTTTTGTGGTTTATTAGTTAGATGTCAAGAGTGATTTTTTTTGTATGGAGAATTAACTGAATATATATATGTAGAGTACCTACAAGTTACAAAAAGCACTCTACGAACTGAAGCAAGCCTCCAGGGCTTGGTACAGCAAGATAAAGACTTTCTTTCTTATGTCTGGTTTTGAAAGGAGTACATATGAACACACCCTGTTCATTAAGAAGGTTGAAGGCTTCATTTTGATTGTTAGCTTATATGTGGATGATATACTAGCAATAGTCTTGAAATGATTACAGACTTTAAGGCTACTATGCACACTGAGTTTGAGATGTTTGATCTAGGCAAGATGGGGTATTTTTTGGGTAGAGATCATTCAAAGTGAGTTTGTATACTAGCAATAGTCCTAAAATGATTGCAGACTTCAAGGCTACTATGCCGGCTGAGTTTGAGATGTCTGATCTAGGCAAGATAAGGTATTTTCTGGGGGTAGATATCATTTCAGGTGAGGCTGGAATATTACTAATCGCTCCTACTGAGTATAAAAGACTAATTGGGAGTCTTTTGTATGCTACAGCCAGCAGACCAGATTTAATGTCCTCTGTTTGTTAATCAATTATGCGTCAGATTGCAATACAACGAGCTTTCATATGGAGCCAATTTTTGGGTAGGGATCTGAAGGGCCAAAGCCAAATTCACAAGCCTGACGAGCATAGGAGCTAAGCGTTTGATTTAGTGGTATGGACTGGGGCTTATTCGGTTAGTATTGCGAACGGTCGCTTAAACCGCAAATCGCAAACCAAGCAATATTACTAATTGCTCCCATAAAGTAGCATGTTTTCCGATTGTAGTTAACCACTAACCGTGAGTTTTGATGAGGTTAGTGGTTAAACCATAAATGTATTTCCAGCCCAACTTCCAGGTCTATTGCAGACTCCTTGGTTGCTTGCGGTAGTCCAACCTCTATTTTCTTTATGCTTATTGTTTGTCTTTCTAGCCATGTTGGCCTAGTCCTTTGCTAACTTTTCCAGTTCAACTAAGTGGTTTCCCTACACTTTGTGTCTGATCTAGGGTTCTAAATCTTGTTTGACCTTGATTTATCTAGGTCCAAAAGTTGCAGGTTGGAGTGCCTTTATTGAGATCTTAAGTTGGGGGTTCTATTCCTTGTTGGTGGATTTATATTTTCTAGTAAGCATATTCGCTATTTTCCCCTTTTGTCTTTCTTTGGTGTTCTTGTGTGCTTCCTTTTTGGGCGAATAAAGTGGGTGATGGTGTCTTTTTTGCTTAACGTTGAGTGTTATTCTACGACTTTTGGGGGATTTTGAAGGTGTTTCTTCGTTTATTCGAGTCATGGTTCGCCTTTTCTTCGACTCCCTTGATCTTGTTCAACTCACAGCATTCCGATTTTACCCCTGCCCACCGCCGACCCACCGCCGAGTAATCCTTCTCATGAAATTCACTATGATGGGTCGTTTCTGAGTGCTCTCTAAGGGGTCGTTTGGATGAGGAATTGTAATGGATCAATTTGACACAATTGTCTCGTTTTGAGACAATTGTATCAAATTGCCTCGTTTGCCAGCAAAAAAATTGGATGGATCAATCTGCCTGAGGTATTTTGAATTGATCCGTTTTGAGTCAATTTCAATTATCTGGGGTGGGGGCAGGTAATTCGAATTGACTCGTTTTAATTGCCTCGTTTATAAAACGAGACAATTGATCAAATTGACTCATTTCTAAATTGATCCATCCAAACGACCCCTAAGTGGTGGCTTATGGTGTTGCATGTTCAATGACCATGGTCTTGTTTGTATCGGGCGAGTTGATGCCTTGCTTAGTGCTTGCTCAGACTAATGCGGAGGTAGGGGGCTTATCATTCTAAAGTATTCGAACAAACTATGGGTGCAGATAATTTTTGGTGTAGCGATACTATCGCTCATTTTCGTTTTCAACCGTGTTTGGATCTCAAAGTGTACTTCCCCTTGGTACTTTGGTAGACCTCTTGTCCAAAAAATAAAAACAAAAACAAAGCGATAAACAGAGATTTAATCGATAGCCCAATCAATTCAAAGCCTCAGCTAATCTAATTGAGCGTTAAAACAGGCCCAATGTTTAGCGCGCATATTGAGTTCACGAACCGGGCCCAAAATGGCCTAAAAGAAGCCCAGCTTTCGCGAAACGAAGGATTCTCCCATTTCGCTCGAAAAGATTCCCCTGCAATTTCTTCCCCTCTCACTCTCATCCATTCGGAAATGGAAAAAGTCGAATTGTCGAAATGAAATCTGCTGAGCTCTTCTTCTTCCTTCCTTCCACTCTGAAAATTCAATCAATCCGCCATTGATTTTCTCCATTCTCAACCGTTTCACCCTCACAAGCTTCTCCAGCAATGCTGTCTCTCAAACCGCTCCCGCCGAACCACAACCCTTCACTCCTCCATTCCTTAACCCCATTCACTCCGCCCTTCCCCAGAACCCAAACCCTAAAACCCTCGAAGCACGCCTCGCCGCCGTCGGCGATCCAGTCGGCGCTCCAGTGGAACAGGAAGCCCGAGCTAGCCGGCGAGACCCCGCGCGTGGTCGTCATCACATCGGGAAAGGGTGGCGTTGGGAAGACAACTACCACCGCCAACATCGGCATCTCCCTCGCCCGTCTAGGGTTCTCCGTCGTCGCCGTCGACTGCGACGTCGGCCTCCGCAACCTCGACCTCCTCCTGGGGCTCGAGAATCGCGTCAACTACACCTTAGTCGAGGTCCTCAATGGCGACTGCCGACTGGACCAAGCCCTGGTCCGCGACAAGCGCTGGTCCAATTTCGAGCTCCTCTGCATTTCCAAGCCTCGATCCAAGCTTCCCCTCGGATTCGGCGGCAAAGCCCTGGTCTGGCTCGTCGACTCCCTCAAACAAAGACCCGAAGGCTCCCCACAATTCATCCTCATTGACTGTCCCGCCGGAATTGACGCCGGGTTCATTACTGCCATCACGCCAGCAAACGAGGCCGTGCTGGTGACGACTCCGGACATCACGAGCCTGCGCGATGCCGATCGGGTGACCGGCTTGCTGGAATGCGATGGGATTAGGGATATAAAGATGATTGTGAACAGGGTTAGGACTGATATGATAAAGGGAGAGGATATGATGTCTGTTCTGGACGTCCAGGAAATGCTGGGGTTGGCATTGTTGGGAGCCATACCAGAGGACTCGGAGGTGATCAGGAGCACCAATCGAGGGTACCCTCTGGTGTTGAACAAGCCTCCAACTATGGCCGGATTGGCATTCGAGCAGGCGGCTTGGAGGCTTGTTGAGCAGGACAGTATGCAGGCTGTTTTGGTGGAGGAAGAGCCCAAGAGAAGAGGGTTGTTCTCCTTCTTTGGTGGGTAGTAATGAGTTTTCCAATGGCTATGTGGTTCCGGTAATGAAATGGCTATGGAGTTGGGGATGGAAAGCTAGGAGGGACTGATCATTGATGGGATTCAAGGAGAAGCAGTGTACAGGGTAGCAGTGATGTTCATTTTTTGCTTTTTTTCTTTTACTTCCGTCGTAGTTATTTCCATTGTTTGTAGTGTTGGAGTGTGGTGCTGCTAAAACTGCAGCCTTCCACGTTTTGGTTGTTCTTTTGGTAGCTGATTGTGGTTATCATTCTTTTTTTTAGTGAAGTGGCAGGAACTCTTTCTTTTGTTCTGGATAATGAAAGTGGATCATGTTATCAATGTGATTGAGTTAAAGCTTGCCTCCTTGTTTAAGTTCATGGAGTAGGATTACCTTGAGAACATGGAGTACCCTCTGGCTTTATATTGCAAGCCTTTTAAGTTTTAACACATGGGTAATTGCTTGCTTCTGAAGGCAAAATTCATTGAACAGGCTACAGAGTGTGCATGGTTCTACCCTCCATCTCGAAGGAAAAGAAGTTAGTTAATCCGTCTTGATATGCCCTCCCACTTCTATCGATGCTTCTGCATTTCGTGTGAAACCAAAGTGGGATATTTACTGCTCACAAGGTGCAGTGCACATAATTGCACAAGAAAGTGAAACTGTACCGGTTGGTTCAAGCGTCAGGAGACTGGAAGAAGACAGTAAATCTTGAAGGAAACAATGTGAGGGGTTGGTGAACAAATATATGAATTTGTTGTAACTATGAAGTTGAGGGCTGTTATGAGCCTTTTTCTGTATTCACATAACCCGGAAATTGTCTACTTCAGTCCGGTTGCTCGTTACATATAGGTATGCCATATTCTGCTGCTATTTGAGAAGGGAAGAGCTAGTTCTTCGGTAAACTCAAAATGGCAGCCTGATGTCCATCACCACCTTCAGGTGTTCCAGCCGAGGGTTTCTTGCTGGGCTACTCCAATTCCAAGGTAAAAGGGTTGCAAGGTAGCTATTGGGTTCTGAGCAATAACTCCCTCTCTATTTTCTGGTTTCTGTTCTTATAGTTACATCTCATTTCTGTTGTGGCTGGTATAGTTGCTCCGACTGGTAGCTGTCTGTTCATTCGCTGCAGCCTGGTATGTCTGTTAGTCCTTTAGAGGTTTTGCCGACTTAATGTCATGTATTTGTTTCCTGTTTTCAGGATGGATCATGTTCTGAAATCGGTCTTCTCCAAGGATAATGTAGAACATGTCACTGCAGAGGAAACTCTGAAGTCTGAACATGCTGGCTGAAATCATTCAGTAGAGTAAGAAGAAAATCGCCAAGGATGTTATAGGAGAAGGGCAGCAGCCTCGTTCTCCAATATTTTTTTTACAATGAATGGGATGTACTGGAAACTGATTTGAATGATTTAGAGCTCATATGGCCACTCTTGACGGACAGACTTCCGAACTGAAGCAGGCACTTCTGCACGAAACAGCAGAGCTTTGTTATCCTCCTCCAGGTTTGTAAGAGTAGCAAAATCTGTGTACAGTGAAGCAGTGAAATTCATTTTTTGCCTTCTCTTCTAATGATGGCATTCAAAGAGTCTTTATTTTTTTTTTGCCTTCTCTCCTGTACACAGTTTTCCTCTCCATCACAAAGCTAATCAACACTTACATCTTTTTCTCTTCTCTCCAAAAACAACACTTAGCTGGCTCTCTCCATCAAACATAGACTCACAATTTAGGGATAAAAGGTTACTTTTACACTTTGCAACTGGATTTTAGTTAGACTTAATTTTATGATTAATCGTTGAAGTTGCGAGTTTCATTCTATGTGCCTTTTGTGCCTTTGGTTCCTCATGTTCAATTAGTTAGTATTTGACTCATTGTCATATATCTTGTGTAATCCGATATTTTCCTAGTAATATAATATATTTTTGTTGATAAGATATTCTAACGAAAATATATGATTTTATTTATAAAAAAAAAATATTTTATCAGTATAAAACAGTTGAACTACGATCGTACCATAAAAAACCCTCTAAAACTTAATCCTGTATGACCTCCGGTTCGGTTTTTTAATCCTCATATAGAAGAGAAGGCCCAAACAATTACTTGGATAACAAGTAGAAGAACTCAGAAAACATTCAGGCAATTAGTATTTAACTTGGGATATAACTGGGAAGTGACACTTGAAAAGTGCATCCATGGAGGTGGCAACTGAGCATTCAATTGGCGGTGGCTAAATCTAAAATATCTAACCTGTCCATTTTATCTGACTTCCCCCCTAATTCAATCATAGACCAAAATTCCATGAATGGTGGGATGTCAACTATTTCTACATATTGAACTCGCCTACATATTGAGTTGAAGCAAATAACATCTACTCTCGTTCTCAAATGACCTTATATACTTGAGTTCGCTCAATAATGATAAAAATTCGAATTTATTTTAGATGGTTGCGATGTTTTTCGAGAAACTAGCGAGACATTGAAAAACTAGTCTTTGCCATGACTAGGGTTGTCTGATTAGTGAGGTGTCACAATCCGGATTAGTGACAAAAAGGGCGACAATAGTATTGTATGGGTATGATGTATGAAGTATGGTTCAAAAAGGCACGCTTAATCTTACGCTTAGGCACGCCTAGGCGCAAGGCAATGGCAACATGCCTCGCCTAGGGGTTTCACGCCTAATTAGATACTGGAACACGTCATGGAGTAAGGCGACATATAAGTCTCTCCTAAACATTACTAGATGGAGCTAGTAAGTCAATATTAAACGCCAAAATTAACATCAACTACGAAATCAATTTTCTATTGCAATATTTTCAATAGCTCAAGAACTTAGTGAGCTATTGAGCTATGATTCTATGAATTCGTGAGCTATGTTCTTAATCATTTTAACTGAAGTGAGGAAGTGTTGTAGATAATGATTTCACTCATCATGCAGTGCGAATAGCTATTTTTCTTCCAACGCCTAGACACGCTTAGTCTACGCCTAGTCGAGCTAGGCGCAAGGCAAAGGCTCAACGCCCGCCTTACGCCTGGCGCCTTTTTGAACCTTGGTATGTACACTGAGATAAAAGAAAGTTGCAAACTTTCTATGTTGGTGATTGGAGAGAAAGCTGGAGTGGATAATATAATTGGTGAGTTTGAGCCTTTGAGGGTTAGAATAATGGAGGTTTAAGAGAGGTACCACGTAGCATTAATATGGTCGAATGAAAGTGTTTTTGACACTATTGGGTTGTGTCATCCCCACCAAGAGGAAGAAGAAGAAGAAAACTTTGGTATTGCTTTATGAATAAAGATTTGTTAACAGGAGGGAAGACGTGTATGATATTTTGGGACATCTGTTGGTCGTGACCCACATGAAAATATGGTGGTTTTTAGGTCATTGTTTTGAGCCGTAGGTGTGGGCAAGGGCAAATAATTCATGAAGAAATTGTCCCACAAGCCCCACAACCACCAAAACTTTCCCCCATCCTCCAACCCCTCCAATCCTAAAGCTCTGTCCAAGTAGCGAACGCGAGGATCAGTCTAACTGGTGAGTCGATACACTTTCCATTACAAAATCGTGTGTTCGATTTCCAGCGATGACACTTCTCCTTTCCCCTCTAGTAGGCTAGTAGCACCGTGTAATAGGTTGTTATCATCAACGACAACAAAAAAAAAAAGCTCCGTCCAACTCCAGAACTTTGATTTGTGGTGACGAATATTGTCAGTCAAGTTAACTTAGGATAACTTTCAAAACTAGTCACCCATTTATCATTGGACGAATCTGGATGGAACATCTAATGAATGTACGGATGGAGTTGTTTATACTATGTCGTATTTCATCTATGTATCGTGCATAGTTGTTATTTATATTGTGTGTTGACGGACTACTATAGTTACTGTTCAATGTATGACGCTATAAAATGTTTACTACCACTTGCATTGAAGTATGCCAAATGAAGAAGAAAAGGCCAAAGTTTGGTGTTTAATTTCATATGTCATGCACTGGATCGTTTTAATATAAACCACGACTATAGTTTCATCGAACGAGGATGCAGATAACGGAAACCATAAACAATAACGGAGATACACATGCTACACATGTTCACAACAACCTAACAACAGTTAAGTTTAGTAGAAGAACTATTCCTATTTAAGTTATAAAAAATTAAAAAATTTGAATGGAAGATTTCTCAGAAGATTGAGATCTCGTGTAGAAGACTAACTTTGGTTAAATAAATGTAAGAAGCTCTTCTACTATACTCTAAAGTATTGGTGTTTCGATACAAATTGAAATTGTACCGCAACATTAAACGTACAACTTCCGCTTGTATCATAAAAGAATTTGAACCTTTATGTTATGATACAAGTTACATATGTATCATAACGTAAAGTTATAAATTTAGTTTGTATCATAATTTTTTTTTTTTGACAAAAAGAAAATCAATCCATGAGTCTACAGACTTTAAAATCCCATGATTAAAGGTGAGATTTGAGTGAAGGCTAAAAATTCATCATGCCAACAAAATTAATGACAAAATTCAACAAGCAAACAATAAGCTCTCTCAAATTCATAATGATAAAAAATCCGTCATAAATAATAAATTTATTAATTGTCAAAATTCAAGTTTTACCAAATCCATTTTTTCAAATACACGAACAAATTACTAGTCCTAACCCTTTCTTTCGGCTTAGTCAGCCCATACCCGGTAAATAAATGGGCCAGTTGCATCCTAGGAATCACAATTAATACGTCTCCCATTTGGGCCTCCATTCCTATATTTGGAAGAAGAAAAAAAGTTAAAATAGAAGGAAACAAAAGTATCCCTTGCTCCTCCCAGATGGGCCCAAAGATGAACGGGCCCCACGTGTCCAGCGGAGGCCGGGGAGTGGGAGGCGGTCTACGACCAAGCATTTAACGAATAGTGAGACGACAAGTGGCAGGGGCCCGTACAGTTGGCTAAAAAGGTTGTGATAGGTTTAGTGATAATAGTCGAGGCTACGTGGCGCGATGGAGAAGCGGGCAATCCATGAAGCAACATTCCAAACCGTATCCTTTCTCTCGTCCAGAATTGAAAAGGCGGATTCTCGTGGCAAGTGGGTACAGATGCAAATTGCTAAACGTTGTCGTTTTGTAAATGAGATCTCCGAGCCGGTAACAAGGGGGGATCCGGCCCGGCCCACATTTTTCCATCTCGTCCTTTTGCTTTATGACGGTTGCTGCCACTGTACTATTGTCCCTAACTCCCTATTCCCTGTTAATTACCACACATAAGTTTCTCCACTAACCAAATCTTTGCCCCCCCTTTCCTTCCTTGAATTATGGTTTTCTTCCCATAGTATGTAAAAAATGAAAGAAAAGATGTTTTCTAAACAACAGATGTATAATAACAATTTCATCGAAATAATTGTAACTTCCAAATATGATCCCTGCATATCAATTCAATTGTAAATTCAGTTACATGTGATATTTATATTGTTATCATATTTTCTATAAAAAAAACTAATCTTTATTTCATGACATCTACATTATTGGCTCATTCCAATTCACATCTTTTTTGCACTTTGTTTGACTCGTATTAGTGTCGGGTGATTAGTGTAGAGCCTTGATATGACTCCCTCGTCTGATCTCCTCGGAAGTGGAAGAATCCTGTGGGGAGTAGGGGGCGGCCCCCGTGATCTACACTTCGACGCTCAAGTCAGTGAGGATAGATGATAGAGTATAGAAGAATGTAGAGAGAGATAGAGTTTAGAGAGAGAACCATCAGTGGTCAAATGTGGGAAGGAAGAGAAGTCCCTTTGCTTGGAGGGTTTGAACTCCTTATATAGGAGTCGGAAGCATCGAGCGGGTGGACGCCTCTCGGCGATGGACGCCTCCCGGTGTACTGGACCCTAGAGTGGGCTTGGGCCCGTATAAGGCAGGTTAATACTATACCCAACAACTTTTTATGCCAAACATCGTACCATCGTTAAATATAATCATGATATTAACATCTATCATATTATCCCAACACGAGAGCATGTAGAGTGAATGTGATCAACTATGAAGTTAATAACTTATCTAGGGATGACAACGATTTAAGTCGGGTATAGATAGTACATATCTACTACCCAATACAAAGAACCACTTCTGACCGTCCGCCATTGCTTAGTTTCATTGCGCCGTTGAACAGGGTTCTGCGGTTGACCCGTCTTCGGTCGCTGATAGTTTTGGTTTTACCCATACCATTACCCTATACAAGAATCGAGTAGAATATCAAAACTATACTAATATTCGATTGGGTTTGGGTACCACGATTAACCATGAATAACAATTTCTCTTTATGATTTAAACCAACACGTTAACAATTTCACACATACCGACATTACAATTTCGGACATACTGACATTACATAAGTGAAAAGTTAAAACAATGAATGAATAAACAATATATGTATGATAAGTATCAAATAAAATACACAGACATGTGTATAATCGGCACAATTTTGAAATTAATAGTGAAAAACCATGCACACCAATCTCTCGCAATTCAAATTTCTGCCATTCTGGATTTTATTTTATTTTATTTTATTTTATATATTTCAAGTTTTAACTTTTAACGCTTTGGAGTGTAGAAGTAGAATTGAATGAACACTAACAGCGGTAAAACTGTAATAAGAACGAAACATCAGTGGCAGTTTCTGGACGACGCTAGTTAGCTGATCGGTTCGAGTCTCTCGTCTCTCATGGGCCAAAAATATTTTAGTACCAATAAATACAACTTTCCATTTCATTTCTTTATTCTTTTCCCCGTAACCGAAAAGCCCACTCACAGGGAAGATGTGGTCTTCGTGCATTTAACCAGAGGTCCATCCAAACGCCAGGCCCTCCTCAAAACTCCCCACCTCCCTCCCCCTTTCCCCTCTCGTTATCCTTCCTCTCCAGTCTCCTCACCGTCCAAATCCGCCTTTCCTTTCCCACACCCCAACTACCATGGCGGCAGGACTCTCCTCCTCCGCCGCCGTTGTAGTTTTCAAACCTCTCCGCCAATTCCACGGCGCAGCTCGCCCCCTACTCCCCTTCCCTCCTTCGATTCGGTACAGAAACGATACAACTACGAACAGTACCGATTTCTTCCGACGAGGCCGGACGAGGAAGACGAGCTTCGCCGTCTGTTTCGTACTGGAGGAGACGAAGCAGAGCGTCCGCGTTATTGACGACCGCCAGATCGAGAATCCGACTGACGGGGAGGAAGAGCCGATGATTGAGGAGGCGGAGGAAACGACGCCGGCGCCGACGCCGACGCCGCAGATCCTGCCGCCTCGCGTCGCGGAGAGGCTGGCCCGGAAGAAATCGGAGAGGACTACTTATCTCGTGGCCGCCGTCATGTCGACTTTAGGCATCACTTCCATGGCCGTCATGGCCGTTTACTACCGCTTCCACTGGCAAATGGAGGTATTCAATCAAAACCTTCCTTCCTCCTCCTCCTCCATCTCAAATCTGATTTTTCAAACCGCTAAACTGAAACTGAAAATTGAATTTCGTTTTGATTCCGTTTTTCTTTTCCCCCCGGGAGCAGGGAGGAGAGGTGCCGTTATCGGAAATGTTCGGCACATTCGCTCTCTCAGTCGGCGCCGCCGTAAGTCACATTCCTTCCTTTACCTTCTCTCAACAAGGGAAAATTCCGCCGGCGGTCGTAATTAGAATACTGAGAACCTCTCTCTCTGCTTGTTTGGGCTGCATTAGGTGGGAATGGAATTCTGGGCGAGATGGGCGCACAAGGCGCTATGGCACGCCTCTTTGTGGGAGATGCACGAGGTAATTCCGTAATTTGGGCTCTCTTAGGGGTCGTTTGCTTCAAGGATTTGGTACATGGATTTGGTACCAAAAAACCAACTATCAAGGATTTAGGTACAATCCGTTGTTTGCTTGCACATTTTTTGGAGACCAAATCCGTGGGGCCCACGGATTTTAAGGGTCCAAATCCGTGGACCCCACGGACTTATAAATCCCACATATTGATGTGGGATTTGGAATATGGCATAAATCCTTGATGAGATTTTACCCATATACCCTCATGCACTTTTAATATTCCAAGGTTGCCCTCAAATTTAACTATTATACATTCTAATTAACAATAAATGAATAATATAAACGTTCAATTAATGTGCAAACATGAGTTATATTTTTTATATCATTTCTTGTGTTCTAGTTTTCTTTGACCTTTTCATGGAACGTGTAATTCTTTGTTCTCCCGATTCTAATATATGTTGTTATATGTTACTTTTGAAAAGGAGGACAAAGAATTGGTAATTGATTATGTTACGTTAAAAGTTAAAACGGAATTTTCTCGTTTATTATTATTGTCCATGTGGCAACATTATGCTTATTAGTATGTATTGTCCTTGTTTTGTGTACATATCATAAACATGTCAAACATATAGAAAATGATAGTAAGGTAATTTTGAATTTTTGTCCTTGTTTTGTGTACATATCATAAACATGTCAAACATATAGAAAAGGGCAGTAATGTAATTTTTGACTTCAAGTAGTAAATCCCACACCTTTAAATTCATGATAAAAACATCCCAACAAACAAAGGATTGTTACAAATCCATGATGCCTCAAATCCTTGATAAATCCTTGGGTTTTATAATTACAAAACCCTCATTTTTAAATCCTTGAAGCAAACGACCCCTTAATTCCCCGTTCCCACGGGAATTTGGTTCCGTTGATGTGAAAACTGAGAACAACTGATTCATGCGGCGTCGTTTTCTGGTGCAGTCCCACCATCGACCGAGGGAAGGGCCGTTCGAGCTAAACGACGTGTTCGCAATAATAAACGCCGTTCCAGCTATCGCCCTCCTCTCTTACGGTTTCTTCACCAAAGGCCTAATCCCGGGCCTCTGTTTTGGAGCTGTAAGTCTCTCCCTCGCGCTCTCTCTCTGTGTGTCAGAATAATATCTTCCTCGACTGAATGAACGAGATCGAGATGTATGTTGTCACCTAACTGCCTGATTAAACGCCATTAATTAATTTCTTAATCTCGCCAGATTAGCAGTTGATTGTGGGATTAATATTATACTAAACCGGTCTTATGATAATAGTTGATTAATGTAGTCTTACGGGGACTATAATTTTTTTCCTGACGAATTTTGACTTTGGAGGATTAATTATGTACAACCATACAAATACAGGGACTGGGAATTACGGTGTTTGGGATGGCCTACATGTTTGTCCACGATGGTCTCGTACACAAGCGATTCCCCGTGGGTCCCATCGCCAACGTGCCTTACTTCCGCAAGGTTGCTGCCGCCCACCAGGTAAAAAATTCACAAGTGAGCTTTCACTAGGTTTTACTGAGCTTAATTATCAGTATAGGGCTGATTTTTTTGTGTGTTTTTACCGAGATGATGGGATGAAAGGTTAAAAACTACTTTTTACTGTGCTTTCTTTTGGATTCCAATACTGATATTGGTTGGTTGATGTCGGGATCAAATCAGCTTCACCATACGGAGAAGTTCGAAGGAGTCCCATATGGGCTGTTCCTTGGACCCAAGGTTAGTTTGTTTTCATCTGCTTATTTATTATTTGTGTGAATAATAATATTTATTTACTTATATATAGTCAGTTGTGTGGTACTTGACATGGCCAATTGGCCACCATGTGAGTTTAGGGGGCTGATGGTTCGGTTTCGGTTTTCTGATTTAAAACAAACAATTTTTATAAGTTTATCGATTTTTCTTAACGGACGATAAGTTCTTGATGGTTTTGGTTAAAATAGCAAAATGTTACTGAACTGATAAAAACCCAATAAGTCTTAACGCAGTCAGAGGTTCGTTTTTCCGATTTTTTTGTTTATTTTGATTGAAAACGAGTATGTTAAGAATTTATTGATTTTCTCTTAGTTCGTATTTTGGACAATTACTTAGTTCGGATCGGATTCGATTTTAATGGTTTTCCGAATGGCCACCCTAGGTGGACAGTTAGTAAGCTGAGAGGTTGCCTTTGTTTAATATTACAGGAACTAGAGGAAGTTGGAGGACTTGAAGAATTGGAGAAGGAGATTGCTAGGAGAATCAAAGCTTACAAGGGTTCTTGACTTTTTCCCCCCCTCTTCTTTTACGGGGTCTCCTGCCTCAAATTTTGGATTAATTAGTACTACTGGAGAATTGTTTATCGAGGAAAAAAAAAAGGAAAAAGGAAAATGAATGAAAATCAGATCATAGGAATATGTAGCTAATTAAAGCTGCAGTTATGTAAATTCTCAATTCGATACGCTCAAGGACTTTAGTTCTTGTGGTTATGTAGTAGTTGGTTGTCTATGTGAAACAATCCATGTTTGTAAGAAGGGGAAAAAAATATTATATGTAGATGCCATCCAGATTCACGATTAGTGGTATTATCTATAAATCAAATTTTTATTTTTGTATATAGAAGCTCTTCTATCTTGAATGATCTTGTTCAACCATGTAAGATTTCCAATCAGTCAGTGATTTGTGTGGCATTTTCATTTCCAATGATTCATCTAAATACGAATAATTCTTGTAACGCATTCGATCTGTATGTGTATGTAAGAGATTCTTAAAAAATTGATAGTCATCTTGACAAAGAAGATTACTTTCTAGAAGCTAAAAACATGTCCATATGAAAATGTGAATGTTGATGAGTTGGATTAGGCGATTGGGGTCTCTTTCTTTTTTTTGTAATTGATCCAACTTCCACGTGCAGAAGACCGAACTACTGGCACGCTCAAAAATTAGGAGTCCTCTCCTTCATTCTTAATCCTAGCATATAATTATTGTTTGAACATACATACTTCATGTATAGTCTGTGGAGCCATCATACACATACTTACGGTATAGACAGGTCGAATGGATTGAACATCATATGTATGTGCCGGTTGGTATTATGATTTTGATGATTCTATTTCTTATACAAGAAACTATATGATCTCGCGGTGTGCTATGAATAGAATACACATAAATGGGTGAAAACACAAAAAAAAAAGTGATAAGCCAATTTTTATTATTTTCATCATTGTGCGGCGCAACTAGTTAGCAAGCATATCTACATACGACAATCAACATGATATAATTAAATACGTGACATACGAAATGTAACACAAAACTTTGTTTTTCCTTCTTCATTCACGATACTTCGGCGCATAAATAATTACAAGCATGTGTGTCATCAATAATTATAATAATCTGGCGTAATATATTCTGATTTTTCTTATCATATATTACAATTGACACACTATAAAAACTAGCGGTTTTGTACGACACATTAAAGAAAAATTACAAAGATATAATATACAAGCCTTTTTTTGAATGAAATATACAAGCCTTCAATACAGTGGAAACCTAACTTGTTTTCTTTTTTGTTTAAGTTCTTTAGATATATAGAATATAAATGAGGGCGACACACCTAAGCCAACTAGGAAGCTTATATATGAGACCTAATGGCAGGCCATCTTACATCACATATGAAGTGAAAACACTGACCTTCAATTTGGCTTTTCTTCTCCATTCATGGTACTTCACAACAAGAAGATGATGAGATGCTCTGACTAACTTTTATCATTCAATATATATAGTCGACACACTATAAAAGTAATTACGGACGATACACTAAAAATACATTATTGTGATAGAATTTTGAATATACTGTCGACACATGATGATTGGAATTTTACGGAGATGAGCATTAAGAGTTATACTGAGATGGGACCTCTTGAGAGAATTACCCGCCAAAAAGGAGTAATTTCAAATTCTAGAAGCCTAAGCCTAACACATTACACATGAACCTTGGAGGTGTTCATATGCATATGTAACCTCCAATCCAATCACAAAACTGTCGTCGGTTTCATCCCTACATATATTTGGGATACCCTTCCATCTAAAGGCTCGTACTATAGTACTAAACACTACACTATTCATTCTTAATGAATGGGTCGGGTCGCCGTTGCACACTTCCCTTCCACAAAATTCATACAAGAAAGTACAATTCACACATAAATGGTCACTGAATTTCTGGGTCACACGAATCAGTCCCCGGAGACTTCGGATTCGAACAAACTCGTCACCGAAGTTTGGAACAACTAACTAATCAACCATCATTCTGACTCTCTCCCTGTAAACACCACAACACAAAATCATGAAAAAGCTGAAATCACTCGGAAAGATAATGGTGCCTAGCCTTTGAGAGCGTCTTTTGTTTTTGTAGAGGAATCATACAATCTTGGACTGACCCCCTTCTCAGGCCATCCAAATCCATCCAAAAAAACCCTAATACACGAATACATTCGACTACTACCAAACCAAGTCTCAGTGACCAATTCGTCGGTGACTCGAAACTCGAGTGACTGTTTATGCAGTTGACCCATATCTATTGTTGGTGGCAATTCCACCAATGGAAGTTGTGTATTACTTGGACGGACCATATTAGGATTGGAGGGTGTTGGAGGATGGGAAAAGTTAGGTAGTTGTGGGAGAGACAATTTCTTCATGAATTATTTTGCCCTTGCCCACTCCTACGGCCCAAAAATAGTGCCCTAAAAACCACCATATTTCTTGTGGGTCTTTTTTTTTCTTCAAAAGATATCATGTATTGATCGGAAAAATAGACAGTTACACCCTGGAACTCAGCCAGGTCTGGAAATTAAAAAAGCGACTCATAGTCGGATACAAAGATAGGGCTTTCCTAGCTACCAAATGAGCTATCCTATTGTTCTCTCGACCTACAAAACGCACACTAAACCCAGGTTGAGTACGAAAATAATGACCAATCTCTTCCAGTACAGCACCCAACCGGCTATCTCTTGTGTCGGCATGATTAATTTTATCAATAATCACCTTCGCATCGCCCTCAAATCGGACCTCCGACAAACGTTTCCCCACACACCAAATAATTACTTCCCTGAGCACCAGCATTTCCTCCACTACAGGATCATTCATTTGAGGAAACTGGACCCCTCTAGCCAGTAGGATTGTCCGTGCTGGGTCAAAAAGAACCATTCCACCAGTCGAATGAGACCCACTCTTAGTAGCCCTGTCCCACACCAAATATTTCTTGTGGGTCACGACCAAAAAAATGTCCCAAAATAGCATGCACGTCTTCCTTCTCCTATTAACAAATCTTTATTATTCATAAAGCAACACCAAAGTCTTCCTCTCGGTGGGGATGATGACACAACCCAATAGTATCAAGAACACTTTCATTCGACCATACTAATGCTACGTGGTACCTCTCGTAAGCCTCCATCTAGCCCTCAATTACCTCTCCCAATTATATTATCAACTCCAACTTTCTATCCAATCACCAACAGAGAAAGTTTGCAAAGTTCATCTCTCGGTGGCCATTCACTGATCTTCTATTCACACTCCCTTTTTCTTAATCCCTAATTTGGACTGTGACGCCTCCACTAATCAGAACAATAATTGTTGATATGACTTGAATCGGATTATCAGCCGCTACGACTGGTAATCGGATTATTTGGGTTCGGGTTCGGGTTCTGGGCCTGGTCTGTAACCGTTTCCTTTGTCAGATTGGATTAGGTTTAGACCCACATGGAGAAGTACTATAAATACTTCTCATACTCCTCTGTAATATGTAATCTCCTCGATATAGTGAAATTGGCTCTCTCTCGCCCGTGGACGTAGCTAACACACATCGTGTTAGTGAACCACGTAAATCGTGTGTCGTGTTTTCGATTCTCGCTTTCGTATTCTTGCTTTGTCGATTCCAGCGATTTCCCGATCCATAGCAGCGCGTTTATAACAATAATGCTAATTAACTAATCAGTATGTGGTGGTTTTTCCTCACGGTGAAATGAATACCTCTGCCGACTTCTCGAGAGGGGCAAAGCGACGAGTAGTGGCGAAGCTAGAAATCGGAGTGGGGAAGGTGATCGCGGGGAATGATCCCGAAGATAATTTGAATTGTGATGGTCGGGGTTAAGAGCCACCGACAGTTTTTTAATTGGTATGTTTTTTTAAATTTAGTATAGAACGTAACTCGAGGTGTGCTCGTTGTTACAATACAGCTCTTTTATTGGCTACCAAAATCGAATATGGACCTCTGTATAAATAGTCATGAGAGCGTACACGTAAATAAGGTTCTCTTAATAATGCAGGAGATGTTATGTGCTCTACAGAGATAGACACGACTTCATATAGAAGATTAATTCAACAGAAGAATTCAATGCTGAACGACTCCTTGAAATACAAAAGAAAACAAAGATATTTAGCCATAACGACCTCGACCAGCTCGAAAGGAGGCCTTATGAAAAGACAATTAATTTTTGAACTTGTACACTCTATTCGTGAAAGAGGAGAGGGGAGGACTTTGTTAACATTTGGTAGAACTTTTCTTATGTTGACTCTCCAAAACAAGGTACGTAACATTCCTGCCAGGCAGACCAAACTAGGGATGTAACATATTTTTTAGTCAAAGCACTTAGTGACAGGCTAGGTTGCACCAATCCCACCAAAGGCTATGCTGATTAATCTTTATATGATTTTAATGTTGCAATATCGCATATTATTAGTCTTCAATCTTACCCGTCAAATACAGGGAGAAAGGCGTCCACTTAGTTAATAGGTAAATGACACATTTGGTCACTGAGATTATTAAATTGTGTCATGTTTAGTCACTAGAAAAAATTAATATCAATTTTGGTCACTTGAATTACCGAAACTGGTCAAATTTAGTCACTCTCCCATCAGTTTCCGTCCAACTCCATTAATGTAGTTGGACGGAAACTTTTGGGAGAGTGACTAAATATGACATGTTTCAGTAATACGAGTGACTAAATGTGACATTTTCAATAATTCGAGTGACCGGAGTTGGACAGAGGCTACAGAAGAGTGACCAAATGTGACCTGTGTCAGTAATTTGAGTGACCAAAATTGATATTAAATTTTTCTAGTGACTAAATATGACACGATTTAGTAATCTCAGTGACCAAATGTGTCATTTACCCCTTAGTTAATAGATTATATTTGTTTGTTACAGGGGGAAAAGGGCCAAAAGCTTGGCTTGTGTTGGAAAATGGAAATACACTTTTAGAAAGATAATGAATTGTTCGTTAATTAGACGTATATGATTAATTTGATAGATAAATATAAATGTAGACATCATTACGTGCGGAAAACGAGTTTTTTTGTCAACACTTTAATGGCGTGTGATTGTCGATTGGTTGGACCGTATACAAAGATGGAGTGTGTATTGTTTGCTTATCGTAAGCAACGATGTCTGTAAAATGACGTGTTTATGATAATAATAATCAACACAAATACGAGAGAAGAGGGACACCGGATTTACGTGGTTTTTTTGACGAGTATCATCAAGACTAGTCCACGGCACAAGGCAGAGATCGATCTTATTCACTGTAGTCGTTACATAGGTCAGCCATCACAACTCATATATATACTCGGCTAACCTATAACCCTAACCCCACGGAGACACGAAACTCAAACCGTCAGGCGCAATCAAGAATCCTGAGGCTCTGATACCATGATAATAATATTCAACACAAATACGAGAGAAGAGGGACATCGGGTTTACGTGATTTTCTTGACGAGTATCGTCAAGACTAGTCCACGGCACAAGGCAGAGATCGATCTTATTCACTATAGTCGTTACATAGGTCAGCCATCACAACTCATATATATACTCGGCTAACCTATAACCCTAACCCCTTCTCACGTCACTTATTATACAATTACAAATTGATACCTATACTTCTAACAGTTTAATATTCAATGAAAATATAAATTCTAATGATATATTAAATAATATGTTTTAATTTCAATCAAAACAACAAGAGTGCGACGAGAAATATTGATAATTTATTGGTCAGAGTATTTAGCTGAATAAAAGAAATGAAGGGATAAAAAATATAAAAGAAAAAATCACAAATTTAAATATAAAATCTCGAGAGATTTTATATCTCTAAATTTTAGACATTTGAAATCTTTTTGAAGTTAAAATACATGATATAAATAGCCAAATCCCTTTCTCCAAAGTCCAAACGCCCAAAATTCCTATAATTGATTAGTATAGGTTCCCAACACGACAGGGATTTCTGGCGGCAGGTAGTTAGGCAAATGACACCCTAATTAAACCTAATTGTAGAGTGCACGATAAATAATCCTCTCTTTTATTACAAAAGTCTACCAGAAAAAAGGGCGACGTGGACTGTTAATGGACATGGACACATCGAACTCCACAGTCAGCCTTCCTTTAGCAAAGGGATAACGATATATAATTATATATTGACTCCCAACAATAATGCACAAACGCATCTATGACTTTGATTTTTTATTGGCTCTAAGCATGTTTTTTGCTTTGATGGGTGCTCCAATAGAAGAGGGAAAGAGGAGATAGTGAACAAAGTGCTTGGAAATTTGGTATTTCTGTGTTTAATGTAGAATGTCACAATAACTCGATTAAATTTATGTCGACGATATTGATACAGGATGTAGTATTAAATAAAAGTGCGATAAAATGTTTACACTAATTATTTTTTTATTTCTGAGTGATATCAATGAGAGAAAAAGTTAAGCTTACAATTCTACCCAGGACCCCTAAAACATTCTAAAGAAGCCACCCCAAGAAATCAAAAGATTCTAGCTCTACAAGAGACAAAAGCAGTGCTTTACGCGCCACTCTATGGGCAGCACTGTTGGCGGATCTAGGTACCGCCCTAAACTCTATACAAGCAGACAAAGAGCTAAGGATCTGCAGACACTCTCGAAGCACCGCCCACCAATCGAATCTTCTGAGACGCCTTGACGGACTTGGTTGACGACCACTTCAGAATCACCTTCGACTATCACATGGGTCAAGGATCTTGAGGCCACAAAGGAGATAGCATCCCTGAACGCTAGCAGCTCAGCCAAATAAGGGTTGACTATCCCTTGATGTTGTGACCCGATCGCCAACACCACATGCCCGTCTGACCCACGAAAAACGAGACCAGACGAACACCCGAAGGCACTGACAGCTGCGTCGACGTTGATCTTCAAGAAGCCTTCAGGAGGAGGGGCCCAAGTAGTGGCCGGGATGAAAGGGGGAAGAGAGCTGCGGGGAGGATGGGGAGGAAGGAGACTGGAGAATTCGAGGACCTGGTTGTAGAACTGTCTGGCTAGGGAACGGACATGAGGTTGGGTAAATTCAAAGGTCACTTCATTTCTAGACTTCCAGATTCTCCAAAGTAAACAAACGCATTGGAGAATGTGGAATGGGGTGGTCTCGGAAACCATGACATGTCGCCACCATAGACTAAAGTTAACAGTCTGGGCGGTCTCAATAAAGTTGCTCAATCCCACTAAAGTCCACAATCTGATGGCTATGGGGCATCTGAAGAATAAATGTTCAATACTTTCTCGATGTCTCCAGCAGACAGGGCATCGTTTACGGCAGTTTACTCCACGAGAATGAAGGGCCACTACTGTTGGAAGTATGACTTTGAGGCATTGCCATATGAAGAGCTTGAGTTTAGGCGGAACTTGGATGTTCCAAGTCTTTTTCCAGATTGGAGGGTCGATGATATGCACTATCGGCTTTCGACTTGATGCCAATGTTATTTCCAGAGCTAAGTGATAGCCCGATTTTACTGTGTATTTTCCATCCTTGGAATAGTGCCACACTCTAATGTCTTGCTGTGAATTTCGAGGAAGAGGAATTCTCCTTATGAGATCAACAAATTGAGGTTCAAAGCAATTCTCTAGTCTAGATACGTCCCATTCCCCTCGACCTTCTTTTATGAAATAAGATACCATAGGTGATTCGTTTTGGATATGGGGTCGAGTACTCGGTATTAAGGGTTTATCCCCCGGGACCCAGTTATCAATGAAAGCCCGGGTTCTTTGTCCATTGCCTACTTGCCATCTTAGTCCCTGTATGAGCAGATCTCTTCCAAAGAGTAGACTTCTCCATCCCCACGAAGGGTTTGAACCAATTGATGCTTCCAACACTGAGCATTGGGTAAAATACCTACCCTTATATATTTGGGAGAGCAATGAATTTGGATTGGTCCATATTCTCCAACATTGTTTAGCTAGCAACGAATTGAAGGGTTGATCCTGATCGGACTAACATATCAAAATAACTTTAAACATCCTCATAACCTTCCACATTACTCATGAGTTGTGACAAAAATTGTCACTAAATTAAGCATCCAAGATGATAATAAAATTAGATGATTTTTTAATAACCTACTAACTTTATCCGATTTGCGGCTAGTTAAACCAAAACTATAGTCGAATAATTAAGAGACATTCTCACCAATCACTATTGAGTGTTAGCTTAAGCAACAAGTTCGGAGTCTCCGCATCTTTAATTAGTTATACTACCCAATATATTATAAGCTAGTTTTACATGAGTTTAATCCTGTTCAAGGTACCTCAGAAAGAGGGGGAAACCAATAGTTGTGAAATCGTACATAAAAATACTAGAATAATTAGTGACAGATTATTTTATACTAAAATCATTATTAAATCGTGGTTTATACCGCTAAATGTCATATCACTTGGAGTTCAGCATATGATATTTCTTATCCGGACAACCGATAAGGTAGAGTTTCTAACTATTACAAAAAAGACGAGTTGTGTGAGGGCTACTTACTTGTTATCCAAGAAACTGTTTTGGGCCTTCTCTTCTGAATAGTTTGGGTCACTGTAGACTCTGCATGCGGTTTATTGGTTGGGGTTCTCGTATGAAGTCAGTCCAGTCCAGAAGGCCCAACTAACTATTTTTCTTTCGGTTAGTCCGACTTCTTTTCGTTCGGGTTCGGTTGGCCCGTCAAGATCTAAGTCAAAGGATACTTTGACTTGATTTCATTGTGTTTCTACAAAAAAACTGATGTGGAAAGCATCAAAGCAATATAGCTCGTAATCAAGCCCTTTCCTTAGTAGATAAAAACTGATGTGGTTAATGAAGATGGTGGTGAGTGAACAAATATGAAATATGAAATTAATTTTGGTGACCACGAATGAAATGAAATATTCTTAGTGATCAAATTTAAAATTTTTTAGTAATGTCCATGCCCAACCTTGTAATTTACCGAACAAAATCCATCATGAAATCTAACAAGCAAACAATGGTTGAGTCCAAATCCATAATGGGCCAATTCCATGTAAAATTCATAGTTTTACAAAATCCAATTTTGAACCAAAATTTTCATTTTTTAAATCCACGAAACAAAATGACCGCTAAAGGAAAACAAGTAAGAGTTGCATTTAAGAGAGAATTATTATATTTGAAAGATATGGATGGTCAGAAGTGTCGAAGTGAATGAGTTTGAAATACATATTCTATCGAGTTTTGCGTGAATACTCAAAATACCGAAACCGTATCAAACTCGTCACCTCTTTGTCAGATTTTCAGAAAACCACACACAAAACTAATATTGTTTGGATAATTATTAACCAAATCGGCTCGGATTCGGTTGGTTACCGGCAACTAGTTTGTCATCCCTACACATTTGTTGAATTGTTGTTATACTTTCTGTCAAATATTTTCATCTATATTACTCAAAGAAGAATATTCTTCTTGCATATATATTGACAGGGTTAGCCCATGAAGAAAAAAGAAAAAAAAAACCCCATGGGGTTAAACTCCACCCTGAAATTGCATCAACCAGCAAAATAGACGTCATTATCCTCCTGCAGAGCTTTCTGAAACACTACCTCTTTGCTCTTCATCCAAGCTTTCAACACTCTCAACAATCTGACGCTCCTGAAAAACATTGATCAAAGGTCTTAATTAGTTAGGCAAAAAGCCAGGCCAAAGCTTTGAACATCACATTTTTTAAGCAAAGTGTGGCTCTTACACGAACAAGCAGCAAGTCACTGCTCTCAAGCATATGTATCACTTCACCCATACTTGGCCTGTGACAGGTCTCAGGATCCACACATCTAAGCGCCACCAAAAGCATCCGCTTCAGAGCTATGGAAGAGGGCATCTGAGGCAGTTTCGGATCCAAGACAGACATTGTCTTCCCATCTGCTATCATGGATTTCAGCCACTCGATCGAGCTTCCCGGAGCAGGATTTCGACCACAAATGATCTCCGTAACAAGAACCCCGAAGCTGTAAACATCACTCTGCTCATTCATCATGACGCAGGTTGAATCAAATTCTGGAGTCAGGTATCTGTAACAGAAGTGCAGATTTAAGTTAAGTCATTTAGTTAATTACTTCGCTTATGGTTATTTCGTATGTTGCACAAATGTTACCCTGACAATGCAATCGAATGCGATTCTTGGCTCAGAAGCTTAGAGATGCAGAGGTCGGAGATCTTGGCATTCCATTGGCGATCGAGCAGTATGCTGGTGGATTTCAGGTGTCCGTGGATGATCCGTGGTTCGACACCCTCGTGTAGGTATGCCAGTCTGTAGATTAATGCAGAACTTGGGTAATGAAGCATAGAATTTTGGTTAGGGATTGGTTCATGAAGTTTGGGACCAACTCACCCTTTTGCTACTCCCTGGAGTATGTTCATCCTTTGGTCCCAGCTCAAAGGGCTGGCTTCTTTAGGGCATTCATGAAGCCATTGATGCAGATTCCCATTCTCCACGTATTCCATTACAATCGCTCTAACGAGTGCGAGTAACGAAACATTTCAGTCAAAACTTAACAGAGAAATGCATGAAATGACATAATTCGCAAGTTGCATCGCGTCATAATTCATTAGCATATACAATTAGATGCGTGTAGCAGCATCAACGTATTCTCTCTCGCTCATCAATACGTTTTTTACTGCAACTCGATTCGTTCTAGCCATTGTTGTTCTTAATGTACGAAAACTGTAAACCAGTAGATTCGAAATAATTTGGTAGTTTCGTCACAAACTGTTGAGTGCCAATTGCTCACAAATTACGAGTTGCAAAGCAAGGAGAATGTGTGTGTTTACCTGTGATCTCCTTCAACGCAGTATCCAAGCAAATGGACTAGATTCTTGTGCCTAATCTGCCCAATCAGATCCATTTCCGCCATGAATTTCTCAGCCTGGCAGCTGCGCATCAATCACACCAACCCGCAAAAGAAACCAAATTTGTGTCAATCTATAGCTTTCATTTCTCTGCCATTCAAATTCCAAGTTGCTAATTTTAATTACCTTTTCGAGGGTAGCTGAACTATTGCCACTCTGGCATTTTTCAGCAACCCAAGATAAACAATCAGCCCGTCTTGATCTCCGACTATGTTGTGATCGGCGAAACCGCCGGTGGCCGTTTCGATCGCCGGCCAACTCAAAAGGAACCCAGCTCCTTCTTTCCGAGCATTACGCCGCCGGGGCGCCCTGGAATCTGATTCCAGGACGCCTGGGATAGAAATCGCACAATCCTGACGAGGACTGGTCTGCATCTCAACGTCCGGAATAATGCGCTGCGACAGAAGCCTCCTGTCCAGCGACGAGGAGGCAGCGCCGCCGCCCCAGGAAATCAGGTGTTGTTGTGAACTGAAACTGGGGTTGATTTTCTTAAGTTTGGAATTTCGGCGGCGGCGGCGGAGGTGGAAGATGCAGAGGAGCGCGGCGGCGAGGATCAGGCAAGTGAGGAGTGAAGCGAGAGCGAGGATCAGAACCCATAACTTGATTCCAAAGAAGGACGTCTTTATGAAGAAATACGGCAGCGCAAGATCGGAATTCATAATCGATTGAAGATCTGTGATGTCAATTTTACAGGGGAAATGTGGTTAAGGTTTCGGATTTTTGGGTCTTTTTGTAAAGTTGCGAGAACTTTTTTTTTTTTTTGGATAAGGGAAAATCTTATTTGTTGAGATTTTTGCTTTGCTAAACCATACGGCAACAACAACCCAACGGGAAGTAGCGGGAAAGTTGGATTCCAATTGAACCAAACTTCACTGCTGGATTTACATGCAATGTAAAAAACCGAAAGGGGAAGTGAGTGAGACAGAGAGGGACTCAAATGAACTAAACTTAGGAACACATCTGAAGAACTAAGGAACACATCTAACTAATTATGAATGTTCAAATGTAATCAAGTACAAAGTACAAACACATCTAACTAGCTAAGACTAAAAGCTGCTCAGCAACGAAAGGGAAAACCACATCAGTGGTATAAATGTGAGACGAGGAGCACCTGTTGTCTCTCATCTTCTATTTGCTGATGATAGCATCTTAGGGGTCGTTTGGAGGTTGAGATTTGAAGTGAGGTATTTAGCAAATACATGTAATGATAAGATTAAGTCGTTTTTTTGGTTCACTTTGAGTTAGAATGCATGCATTACCTTTTTGTTGGGCCCACCTACAATCACTCAAAATGAATGATTATAAATCTCTACTAAAAGGTGAGATTGTTAACGAGGGATTGTCTACCCTGCTTTTTGTTTCATCATTGCCTTTCCAAACAAAGTATTTTCCTAATACATGCATTGAATACTTTTGTTTCATTATTCACTAAGGCCACTAGACAGGAGTGCGAGAAACTGAAGCAAATTCTAAGCCTCTATGAGGCAGAGTCAGGACAAAAGGTGAACTTGGAGAAATCAGAGCTATCTTTCGGCCCTAATATTAGAGGAGAGACACGGGAACAATTGGCCTCTATCCTAGGAATGGAAGTTGTGGATCATCATGAGAAATATCTCGGTCTCCCTACCATGCTTAGATTTATTATAGTGTAAAGTTTATAACAAGTAAGACAAAACTATATATAAGATAGACTCCGTGTTATCTTAAAACATTTATGGTATTATGGATTTGGTTGTTGATTTTGTAAGTTTAAGGTTTGGGTGTGTACTTGTGGACATTTGAACATTCATCACTTTTAATAAATTTTATTGTTAGTAGGATAGCGCAGTCTTGTTTGCAGATCAATCTTGATTTTGCAGGAAGATCAAGAATCTGAAAGCTCAGACGAAGGGGAAGTTATTACATACCCAGGCACAGATTCCTCGCATGATTAGTAATAATGGACAGGATCAAAACAAGAGAGAAGCTGAAGAATTCTGGATTTATTGAAGATGAATGTTTACTGTGTAAGCAAGAAGCTGAAACCAGAGATCACCTATTTTGTATTTTTGTAAGTGTTCTTACTCATGTGCTGTACTGCATTATTTGTTTCTAGCTGCGATTTGTCCCCGAGGATTGGAGAGGCATGCTGGAGACAATTTGCAGCCTGGTGCAGCAGCAGGGGACAGTGAATAGCAGTATTGTGGGAGGTTTATGGAGCTGGTATATTGCTCTCCTTTGGAGAGAAAGGTCTTGCAGGGTGTTCAACTCTTCTAGTAAAAGCATTGAAGAATTAAACCAGCAATTGCAGGAAGAAATTCATTGTTGCAGCCTTGAAAATAAAAAATTGTAATTTTCTTGTTTATCTGATAAACAAACTAGAAATAAGAATGGAAAACATAATGAAGTTACTATTTTAACTATAGGAAGAAAAGGGGAAATGGTCTCTTTCTTTACAAATTGTATGCAGCAGCCAGCAACCTGGGATGCTGACTATTGCTACTTTGCTAGCAGTGCTCAACGTCAAATGCTAGACTAGAGTGATCATACAACATTCGATGGGAATAGTCGCTATGCTTCAGGTGCATGTTGAGGTATAAACCAATCAGCATTACGAAGAATATACACCTTTGATCAGCATATGAATCCCTGAGCTCCCGGTTTGTTGCAAGTTCTGCAACGATTCAGTTTGACTACGGGATGCAAAGCTGCTCAATGTTTCCTCTGCCAATCGGTTTCTTCACTGGATGCAACTTGATTTCATACAGTTTCGGCCATAGCTTTCCCGTGACTGCAAGAAAAAAGAAAATCCAAGTGCGACGATAAGTTGATACTCAAAACAAAAGCTCCGGGATTTACAAAGAGGGGAACTTATGGAACCGTGAATTTTACGATCAGAACATAGCAAACAAGTAGAATAACATTCAGTCAAACTGATCCTACAAGGGGTACTAGGAATATGGATTCGCCAAAAGATCATGATTCATGACGTTCAACTTGGTGATAATTAGCTAGAAACATGTTACTGCAGCAGCTTACCAAAGAGACGTTTCCCTTCACTATCCCATGCTATACCATTTAGAACGTCGATGCCCTACAGTTTAGTGCAAAAAAGTTAATTAGAGAAGCTTTGCAAGACAAAGAAAGGCGTAGATATTTTCGTAACGACTCTATCTGGTCAGCAATTAAGAGCTACGAAGACTACAGCCTAAATAAAACTTATTTTTCCAACAGAGACGCAATAATGTTGATGGAGCTCTTACTCTGTGTCCAGCTGCTCTCAGTCCCTTGCTGTAAATATAAAACAATTGCTCAGCAAACTTCAACAAACAGGTTTTGAGCAGCAATGGGGTATAGAGTTATGAAGAACATCAGAAAAAGATCAAATGATACGAACCTTAATTGCGGAAGAAGAATCCAGCCGGTGACAGTACCATCTCGAGGAGAGATTCTTGCAATACAATCAGTCTGCACAGGCGGCACTACAGTATTTAGAAAATCGTCTGTTTTTCGGCTTTTTTCTTCATTTTTTTTTATAATCGCTTTTTTCTTCATTTTGGAAACAAAATAATGTCCCCAAAAACTGGACTCGATTGGATACTCAATAGCTCGGCAAATGTTGACATGACAAGTAGAAGTATGACGTAACAAGGTTAAAACAAAAGGTACCTGCCAAACATTCGCCCAGATCTCACCATTAATAAACTCAAGTTCATTGATGTAGCGTACTTCAAGGTCATTGTATTTGACTCTTTGTTCTTTGATGACTGCATTACCAAAGCAAGTAAGCAGCAATCATCAGAAGTGGGGGGAAAGAAGAAGAATGAATTATCCAGGGAATGAAAGAAAGTAGCAGTACATGATGCAAGGTTTAGCAAATTTAATATCTCATAAGCAAGAAACACCAAGAATGTAACAGACCTTTTAATGTTAGAGGGTCAAGTTGATACAATGATGAAGTCCCATCACTACCAAACAAGACTTTGCCATCAGTTGCCAGTCCCCATCCATCTTGCATTTGATGAGTGAATTCCCCAATCTGTAAATGATTGGGTAGAATTCATATCATGAAACCGTCCAGAACTAATTGAGTGAGCAAGTTCTCTATGACATAAAATGACTACAGAAAGGTCAAAAGACCAAGAATAACGCTAGTGCGAAATCTACAGAAGCACAACTCCAATATGACAATAGAAACTATGCTCGTGTAAAACCTAAAATGTTGTAGGAAAAAAGTTCTTGTAGAACCAACACCGTGACCGGTGACACAGAGGAGAAAGCGTACAGCCAGAACTAAGTAAAGTATATTAGTGTACATGCATATGCAAATATATCAGAGGAAGAACAAGGAAGCACAAACTTTGTTCAAATTAATACGGTCGTAGATGAAACCAGTACTTGTCAACCAGGTTACTTGGAACAGCCTGAAAAAGGACATAGAAGTTATCAGATCAGCATATTGTCTCTGTCTGCAAAGCTAACCACTCAGCAAAATAAGCTGTACAAAACATCCTCATTGCATTAATTGCTTGTGAAAGTAGCTAGCTTTTGATATCATGGAGGAGAAGTCATAAACTGTATTTTACTACCAGCTACATCTACTGCATTAATCAACATGACACCTCTTGTGCTGCACCCCTAAAGTTAATAAATAAATCAACATGACATCAAAAACCATGTGTTGTTTCCTTCAAACTCAAAGAAGGTTCAGAAATATCAGTTAATGCTTTGTAGAAGATTCAAATTGACAACTTCTGCCTCATAAATTACATGAGCAACAAATGTTCTATTTCGTAAACGAATAGGGGGAGAAAGAAGAGAGCAAGTCAAAGACCTTTCGCCGAGAAGAGTCAATCCTTCCCCGAAATATCGTCCATCCATTTGCTGGATATCCTCAACCTGCAAAATGGCAGACCAAAGACCACTTAACTTCCAACTATTCTCAACGTTAGTGAGAGTTGCTCCACATACCAGACTACTTGTCTAGCGCAATTCAGCAGGCAACTGAGTGTAATTGTACATTTCAATCGAGTGAAAAATTTGTCAGCAAAGGGACAACATTTACCTTCCCCGTCTGCAGATTCACTTTCCGAACAGATGACTGCCACAGTATGAACAATCAAAATGTTAACAATTACAGTGAATATTCACTCATTGAGATTAAGCGAAAGGAACAATGCATTCCATAGACGAGGAAACCAAACCTCACCTTGTCGTAAAGCCCAGTTGACTCAAAGAAAGTATCATTTCCGGCATAAAGAAGACCCTGAAAACCAAAATCAAAGTAGCTTTAACGACGATCAGAATTCCCCCCCAAAAAAGAAAGCAATCCATCCATCGGATTGGAAATGTCGAAACTTTTTTACCTGGGTGAAGGCATCTGGGTCGTGAGGGTACTCGTTGACCACCTGAATTGCATAGATTTTGGGGGTAGCATCAACGCCGGCGAAACTGTTCCAAATGATCGACGAAATGCCCAAGAGAAAAACAACCCCGAAGACCATGGCTACGGACACGAACACGGGGCCTCTGTTCCAGCTGAAACCCCGAGTTTGCGAAGGTGGCATGGGATTGCTGCTGGTGGGTTTGGAATTGGTGGAGGATCGCTTAATCTTCTTAAGCGATCTGGCTCCCATTGAGACTCATCTGCGATAATTGAGGTACGGAGAGAAAGCGCGTTCGTTCAGTGCTCGACGGGGGCGACCAACCAAAGAGAAACGCCCAACTCAGGCGAGGATCGTTGGGTTTTGGACGGCTAAATTTGCTGACTTGGCTCTCGGTTCAATTCTCTGCGGTGACTTTTCTTTCTTGTGTTCTGTTGTCTTATTTCCTTCGCCACAATAGTGTCTCTCACTCGGTCTTGGTTTCTCAATTAGTAAGAACTATTGAACTAAGAAGAAAATATGGTAAAGCTTCGAGTTGGTTAAGCGTTTGAGGAGACTCCCCTTATCACATCCAAATTTTGTTTGTTTTTGGTAAAAAAAGGTTTATAGAGTTGTGTCGGTTTAGTAAGTGATATGGTTCAATCGACGGTATAATCGATTCATATTGGTTTAATAAAGTCTGTAAGAATATGAAAAATTATTGACATCATATGAAGTTAACCATATATACATCATATTTGAATACAATCTACATTCATATTTAAATAAAATATAACATTTCAAATAAAATAACAAAAACTCATATTTAAATGTAACATTTAACATCAACAATCAAATGTTTATATTTGAATCCAATAAATAACATCAACATTTAACTTTCAAATTCATGAAATAAATCACAAAGTAATTTATTAAATTCACTAAAAATGATGTTATTTTGTTTATAAATCGAAAATCGATCATAGTGGTCATACATGTGATATTCGAACTGATTTTATGACCGACAACGGTTGTACCTAGTTCCCGATCAAAATTCCATCAATGTGACAATCATGGCTTTCATAACTCGTGCGGAGCTAGTTGCTACTACGTAGTATATACAACCTAAAATTTGTCTGCAAGTAGAAAATTAGAAAAGTCTATCTATACTAAGGTTGTCAACTTGGTTTAGTCCGTTGGTCTAGTCGAACAAGTGGGTTGAGGGTCAATTGTCTGATTCTTTAGCCCGGTTTAGCTTGAATATATAACAAAAGTAATTATATTGTTCATACATTTATAAACTATATTAAATCTCAGCTAACATATGGGTAATAATATATAACATTGCACCAAAATAACAATTCATACTTGGATCCAACATGTAGTGCAAGATTGTCAACTTGGTTTAACCCGCTGGTCAGGTCGAGTAAGTGGGTTAAGGGTCAACGATCCGATCATTTAGCCCGATTTACCCAAGATATATGAAAAAGTATTTATATTGTACGTATATTTATAAACTATATAAAATCTCATCTAACATATGAGTAATGGCATATAACAGTGCACCAAAATAATAATTCATACTTGGATCTAACATGTAATGAAAATTCAAACACACTCATATGACATCAATATTTAAATGTTCAACTTAGAAATACAAAAATAGGGTTATGAAAAAGAGAAAATCAGAAAACGAAATTGGATATATAGAGAAAAAAAATTATGGATCTCTCCAATTTTTCCCAATATTTCCACACCCTCTATTTTCCATCCTTCATGGTTCATGGAAAGTGGGTTAGGCTTATGGTCTTTTGTGACTATTGGGTCGGGCTTTCTATATGGGTCTCTTTATGAGTAAGAAATATAGTGTTGAGTGATGTTGTGTATAGGCCCTTGTAGTGATGGCAACGGGACGGGACGGATATCTCAAGGAGTTTACATTAAACTTCTTTTATAGATAGTATATGCTATAAAAAAAACTTAGCATCTCATTGACATAGCATGTCAAGCCATCAATACTATTACACTAACATCACAGTGCTTGTGGTTAAGTGTATTTTTAGTATTTTTTACACGAGATTGTCAAATTTAATTTTAATAACATTCGCTTGACAAATCAACAAGGTTGGACGCTATATTTAAGTATTCTGTTTTTTTTTATCAAAATAAAATGAAACTGTTTTAAATTTTTAATCAGATACAACATTTTTTCCGTTGAGGAACAACAAGGTTGTCAACCCGCGGGTTGACCCGGACCCGGTCGAGATAGTGGGTCAATGGTTAATGGGTCAACCGTTTAGCCAGGTTTGGCCCGGAAATATGGAAAAAGTCATTATATTGTATCTATCCTCATAAATTATATCAAATCTTATCTAACATATGAGTTCTAACATATAATATTACACCAAAATAACATATCGTATATAGATCCAACATATAGTGAAAATTCACACACACTTATATAACATAAATGTTCAAATGTTCAACTTAGCATTCCAAATATTGAGCTAGGCGAAAAGAAAAATCGAAAAATAGGCGCATTTCGCAAACCAATGAAAAAAATGACACAATTTGACCTCCAACCCGGTACCTTGTAGCGGTCTGCCCGACGGGTACGTGCGGCCCGTTTTTCTCACCGGGTCAGGGTCAAAGTGGGTCGACCCGCAGGTTGACAACCAACAAGCCATAAATTTCAGGCCCAATACCAGTAGCACAACTATGATTCCTGGTCCACAGTTTCATTACCGGAAAAACTCCTAAATAAAGCCCAATATGATTCCTGGTCCACAGTTTTTTCCTCCGGAACTGACTGGACAGCGAGACCGAGTCAACGGCCCTAGTCAGCACAGCAGGATGGGCGAACGTTCGAGGCCATCATCCTACCTGGCTGGGCGAACTCTCTCGAAGGCAAACAAAAAAAAAAAAAAAAACAAAATTCCAGCTCAAGCGAAACGCCACGTTCCAAACCTCAAAACGACACCCTCATCCATCTGTTGCGCTCAAGTTACCGAATAGAAGGATCCAGAAATCCTCTTTCCCTGTATTTCGTTTCCCCCCCGCGGCAAAATATTTTCGAAGAAGAGACTAGAAACTCTCCAGAGCCTTCTTTGCCATCGTTTATATTCCCAAGCAAGCACCTCCATCGCCCTCATCAGAAGTCCAAAAATCGCTCTGCATTCTCTCTACACAGCCAAACAAGCTCCATTCTCAGTTTTCTCTCTGCAGCGTTCATTGATCTGATTCAGTCTGCGTTCTCGTGAAGCAAAGCAGCAGTAATGGCGGACGTTCAGATGGCCGATGCCGAGACCTTTGCCTTCCAGGCCGAGATCAACCAGCTTCTCAGCCTGATCATCAACACTTTCTACAGCAACAAGGAGATTTTCCTCCGCGAGCTCATCAGCAACTCGTCCGATGTATGTGTATCTACGGGTTTTCTTTGAATTCTAGCTGCGAAATGTTATGTCAATGTCGATTCGGTGGATTGAATTGTTTTCCTGTTTGGATGCAGGCGTTGGATAAGATTCGATTCGAGAGCTTGACGGACAAGAGCAAGCTTGATGCCCAGCCGGAGCTGTTCATCCGGCTCGTCCCTGACAAAGCCAACAAGACTCTCTCCATCATCGACAGCGGTGTTGGCATGACGAAAGCAGGTAACTAGTTTGATTTGTTTTGAATTCTCAATAGGTTGCGTCAATTGAATCAGTTATGTGGATTAATCTGTTATCTGGAACTATTGTTTGAATTAGTGGTAGCAAGATTGGTGGTTAGAGATTGATTTGATAGGGGATATTGAGTACTATTAGTGTTGTAATTTGCGTAGATTTGGTGAACAATTTGGGAACAATTGCGAGATCTGGAACTAAGGAATTCATGGAGGCGCTCCAGGCCGGTGCAGACGTGAGCATGATTGGTCAATTTGGTGTGGGGTTCTACTCCGCCTATCTCGTTGCTGAGAAGGTTGTTGTCACAACCAAGCACAACGATGATGAACAGTACGTTTGGGAATCCCAGGCTGGAGGCTCGTTCACTGTGACGAGGGATGTTAATGGGGAACAACTCGGAAGGGGAACGAAAATTACCCTCTTCCTTAAGGAAGATCAGGTATGAATCGGTTCTCTACATATTCGATTGGTTTTGGAATTCAATCATTTTCAGGGTTGTTAATGGTCATGTTTACTGCGAATTGTTGTTGCCAGCTGGAGTACTTGGAGGAGAGGAGAATTAAGGACTTGGTGAAGAAGCACTCGGAGTTCATCAGCTACCCAATCTACCTCTGGACCGAGAAGACAACCGAGAAGGAGATCAGCGATGATGAAGACGACGAACCCAAGAAGGAGAAGGAAGAGGAAGGGGACGTCGAGGAGATTGATGAGGAGAAAGAGAGCAGCTCCAAGAAGAAGAAGAAGATTAAGGAGGTTTCTCACGAGTGGGAACTCATCAACAAGCAGAAACCCATCTGGCTGCGTAAGCCAGAAGAGATCACGAAGGATGAGTACGCCTCCTTCTACAAGAGCTTGACAAACGACTGGGAGGACCACCTTGCTGTCAAGCACTTCTCTGTTGAGGGACAGCTCGAGTTCAAAGCCATCTTGTTCGTACCTAAACGTGCTCCTTTCGACCTCTTCGACACCCGGAAGAAGATGAACAACATCAAGCTGTATGTAAGGAGGGTGTTCATCATGGACAACTGCGAGGAGCTAATGCCCGAGTACCTTGGGTTTGTTAAAGGTGTGGTAGATTCTGATGATCTGCCACTCAACATCTCCCGAGAGATGCTTCAGCAGAACAAGATCCTGAAGGTGATCAGGAAGAACCTGGTGAAGAAATGCATCGAGATGTTCAACGAGATTGCCGAGAACAAGGAGGACTACACCAAGTTTTACGAGGCCTTCTCGAAGAACCTGAAGCTGGGCATCCATGAGGACAGCCAGAACAGGACCAAGCTGGCTGATCTCCTGAGGTACCACTCAACCAAGAGTGGTGAAGAGCTGACTAGCTTGAAAGACTATGTCACGAGGATGAAGGAAGGACAGAAGGACATCTACTACATCACAGGTGAAAGCAAGAAGGCAGTAGAGAACTCTCCTTTCCTGGAGCGGCTCAAGAAGAAAGGGTACGAGGTTCTCTTCATGGTGGATGCCATCGACGAGTATGCTGTTGGGCAGTTGAAGGAGTACGATGGCAAGAAACTCGTCTCTGCCACCAAGGAAGGGCTGAAGCTGGACGACGAGACGGAGGAAGAGAAGAAGGCCAAGGAGGAGAAGAAGAAGTCCTTCGAGAACCTCTGCAAAGTTATCAAGGACATCCTGGGAGACAGGGTCGAGAAAGTTGTGGTCTCTGACAGGATTGTGGACTCTCCATGCTGCTTGGTGACTGGGGAATACGGCTGGACTGCCAACATGGAGAGGATCATGAAGGCGCAGGCTCTGAGGGACAGCAGCATGAGCTCGTATATGTCGAGCAAGAAGACGATGGAGATCAATCCTGACAATGGGATCATGGAGGAGCTGAGGAAGAGAGCTGAGGCCGACAAGAACGACAAGTCGGTGAAGGATTTGGTGCTGCTGCTGTTCGAGACCGCGCTGCTGACTTCTGGGTTCAGTCTCGACGATCCCAATACGTTTGCTTCGAGGATTCACAGGATGCTGAAGCTTGGGCTGAGCATTGATGACGACGATGTGGCGGGCGGTGATGATGCTGAGATGCCGGCCCTGGAGGAGGAAGGTGCTGAGGAGAGCAAGATGGAGGAAGTCGACTGAAGTCTGTCGATTGGCCTGCGAGTTATGGAAGAGAGAAATGGGATGGGTTGTCAAATTATACAGAGCAGTAACTGAAGCTTCATGTCTTTTTGTGTGTGCTAGTGTTTCTTTCTTTCTGGTTTATCTGTTCTATCTGTTCGTCATGTATTTTGGGGACCTGTCATCGTTTGTGGTGTAGAGAAAGGTTTTAATAGTTCCTGGAAATTCTTGCACGATTCTCTACCATAAGGTGAACAATACTGAAATAGAGAAGGGTTGAAATTTGTTAAAAACTCAAGAACAAGAAACTAATTAAATCTGAAATTAATTAAAACTTTCTTGAATCCACACACAAGAAGAACATGAAACTAATTAAATTTGGGGAACAAATGGCATTTCTACTTGCCATTGTATCAAATACACAGTCTCAGAAGACACTACAAACAAAAAGTGCAAGCTAGAGATATGCTTTAGCAGTCATCTTCAACCGTTGTACGCTCAACTCACCGATCTTCTGATACAACCGGGTCTTCACGGCCCGATCAAACGACTCCCGATCCTCCTTCCTCTCCGGCATCTCCACGGCTCCGCCGTACATCGCTTCCACGCAGCTCTTGAAGCGGAACTCCTTCCTCTCATCCCCTCTCTCGCCCTCCTCCACGTACTCCACCATGGACATCAGATACCTCTTCGCCATATCCGCCTCGTACAGATCGTCTTCCATCCTGTTCAGCTTCTCCACCCTCGGATCCACCCTCAGCCGCCGCCGCCTCTCGGCTCCCACCGCGAAATCGCACTCCTCTGCCGCCACCGACACGCAGCTGGTGTTCAGAATCGACGACGACTTCGATTTCGACTTCGATTTCGTCTCCGGCGGCAGCGGCAGGTAGCTCGGGGTCAGCCTCTTGGATCTAGAGATTAGGGATTTCGCCCATTCCTTTTCCCTTTCTCTGTTGGCAACTCGTCGTTCTTCTTTCTCTTCCGCGACGGCGGCGGCAGCGGCCGGCGGAATCAATTGGGACAGCGACCTACTGATTTCCTCGCGAAAATCGTCGCCGCCGGTGCTGTAGCGGTACAAGCTCGACGGCGGGAACTTCTCCCGATTTTCAAAAATTAATTCCGAGATTTCTTCCCTCTGGGGATTATTTCCGTTGACGGGTTTCGCCCTCTTTGAAACCCTATGTTCTTCCACCGCCGCCTCCTGATCCCCGCGATCCCCAATCTTCCTCGAATAGGGTTTTTCTCCTTGCGGGACGACGACGGAGATCGGCGTAGCTTCCGTGACGGGGAGAAACCTACCGATCCCGTCGAGCACATCCGGGTTCCGTTTCAGCAACTCCACCACTTCGCGGCGGAGGTCGTCTTCGCCGATCGCGTTTCTGTTGTACGAATCGAAGAGCTTGAGCACCGTCTTCTGCAACCCTCGGTTGCGCCTCCCGATCCGGTTGATGAAATCGACGGCCGCCTTGCATCCTTCTTCCCTTTCGACGTCAATCGGAGAGCCATAAACCACCCGGTAAAACTTCTGAATCAAGTCGCCCTGCCCTTCCAGAATATCCTCCACTGTCATCACCGTTTCCGTCAGTGACTCCGGCTGGCCGCCGCCGCCGGGGCGGTGCCGCTGCAACGCGTTTATGAACCGGACGTACTTCTCGCCGGGAACCCGACGCTTGATTTCTGTGATAAGACTCAACGCCGCTTCTTGCGCATCGGAGCAAATTTCTGCGGCCATGTTTCCTAAAGAAGCTCTATTGTTTGAAGTGAGGGGAGGCTTCGTAAATAAATACCGGTGAAGGTTTTCCGACTCCTAGTCGGACTGCGTTTAGGGGAAGTAAACTTTTCCGTTTCTTAGTCGGCCTTGTTTTAGACATTTACTCATTTAGTCCCTTCATTTCTGTTGTATTAAGATAAGGTTCTCCTACTTCTATGTTTGACCACCTCGGATGGATCATTAGGGTAAGCCCATTCATCCTTTTATCTATCACAACCAGATAGGATCCGCTCGTTGCGCTTTGTGTTAAATGTGTGTTTGCATACGAGTATATGAAATCGAAATGTAGCTGGCAGAAAAGGAGAGAACTTGCACAATGCTCTGAGAAAGGCCATTGGAATAGGCAACGAAAGATTATGGAACAATTGCATAGCCATATGATAAGTGAATCAAATACCAACTGAAGAATATCTTCCGGTTTTTCTAATGTCCATCCATCTTTAAGTCACAACCAATACTTGTCTTCTAGAAGTCTAAGTCTATCAAGCGATGGCAAAAGACCATTCGTAATATCATTAGCTTGATCCAAGACCCTGTTAAATGGTCAACTCGACGGGCTACCCAAAAATTGATCAACCATGTAAAGATGCAAGCTTGACCCACTTGGTCTATGAACTCAAATATATGATGAGAGGTCTTAAAAGATTTCTTCATCATTTCATGTAGCAGGTTATGAGATGAGAAAAAAAACAGAATACCATGAGGAGCAAGACTGAAGCTTTTCTAGTTGGTTAGTTCACTAAGCAGGTTATGAACAACACAAAAAGTATTTCCAAATTTGGTTCACTAATACAATTAGATGTGACAATTCTCAATCCAATCCACCAATTCATTAAAAATATCCAACTAAACCAATCCATTTTATCCAAATCCAATTGGATTGGTGGATTCATGCATTATTAGCAAATTGCAGTTTAGTACCTATAATTTAATATTTCACACTTTGGTACCTAAAATTTATTTTTATACAAAAAAATTATTATAAAATTATGTTTTGGTACCTGAAATTTTCATTATGACATTTTAGTATCTAAACTTTTCATATTTTACATATTGGTCCAAGGTTGAGGATGTCATTTGAATTCATGGATAATTCACCAATCGACTTCATCCAATTCATTGGATACAATTCATTTGATCCATGGATCTACCAATCCAATCCATTTGCCACCTCTGTTGACAATAACCATAGAAAAAGGTATGGGATGCTTGGGGTTGTGAGTTACTCCATTGACTATATTGTGAATGAAAAAAAAAATAGAGAAACATTCATAGATCTACCAATCCAATCAATTTGTCACCTCTATTGACAATAACCCTAGAAAAAAGGTATGAGATGCTTGGGGTTGTGAGTTACTCCATGAACTATATTGTGAACGAAAATTTTTTTTAGAGAAACAACACTTAGATCAAGATTGAAACAAATGAAAATTGAAACGTCATTGATGTTGCGCTCTGTATAATGGATTTAATAGCAAAAAATTAAGAAAATTAATCTATATGAGACTTACAAAAATGCAGAAATTTACATGAACTAAAATAAGTCATATATATTTTCAACCAAATAAAAAAAAAAAGTCATATTGTCGGCAAGACGACCCAAGAAGATACGCTAGTGAAGCTGAAAGGGACAACCATTGGAGAAAAAACATCATTGGTATCTCCAATCTGCGCGGATAACCACAAGGAGCACAGACCAAACCTCGGACTTTAAACATAGATTACATACGCAAACACAATGATTGTTAAACGATAAAGAAGATGGTCACAGATTTCAACTTTCTTTCGAGCTTATGTAGCTCCCGGATGTTCACACCATTTAGTTTCCGCATCCCATTTGTGTACATTGTGTCATGGGTTATGCAACAAGATTGAGAAGTAACTAGTTGAAATCATAAGCAATAGAACATCTCGACACAAAGCAAATTTAAGTAATTTATGCATAAAATTGATAACTAAGCGTTCGAATGTGCTATTAAATTTCATCATTTCATTCTCGATCTAAATATATATTTAATTATAAAATGAAAAGGTGTCGTAGTATTTTGTCTAAAATGTGATAAGATAGTTGATAATTGCTAATTAAAGTATTATAATAATAAAGTTCTATTAACTTTTTGAATGTTAAATAATTCTTAAATAGACGTTCTCTCGGTCTCGCTCGTACTTCCACTCCACGGATAAGTTAAAGCAATCCGACCAACAAACCAAACTAGAAACTAGATTAGATTAGATTATAATTTAAAATAATTTTTCATAATTATTGGCTTCCTCATTTGTTAGTGAAGAATCCCACTTTACTCCCCAAACGAAGAAGAATCACAAAAAGTAAAAAAGGAAAATAAGAATCCCAGTAGTTCGAAAGGGAAATAAAGGGAGACTGCCTGTTCTAAACGACGACGTCTCTTGCAACTTTGTCTTCGAATTAACACGCTCATCTGCCGATTTCGAAGAGTAAGGCCTGCAAAGCCGCAATCTGAAGCGACGAATTCAGTAGGAGGCCGTGGGCCCATCCAGAGAAGGATCTAGAATTTCCTGAATCCTTGACCTTGTTGCCCTAGCAAAGCAAAACCTCCCTGAAGGCTGAAACCCTCACTGCACTATATAAACACGCTCTCCGCTCCCATTGCTCAAACCCTCTTTCGCCCCCCGTCTCGATTTTCCTCTCCCTCAAACGCTCTTCCAGATCCAGCGTTCTTCGCTTCGTCATTCCGAAGGGTGTTTTAACAATGGCGGACGCCGAGACATTCGCCTTCCAGGCCGAAATCAACCAGCTCCTGAGTTTGATCATCAACACCTTCTACAGCAACAAGGAGATCTTCCTCCGCGAGCTCATCAGCAACTCGTCCGATGTGAGCCCCGCTTTCGATCCGAATTCCTTTTCAATTTTTTCGTTAGGCTTGTAGATTGAATCCTGATTTCTGACTGCTAATGGCTGTGATGTTGTTGTTGTTGTTGCTGTTTTTAGGCTTTGGACAAGATTAGATTCGAGAGCCTGACTGACAAGAGCAAGCTCGATGGACAGCCGGAGTTCTTCATCAGGCTCATCCCCGACAAGGCCAACAACACCCTTACCATCATCGACTCCGGCATCGGCATGACCAAAGCTGGTGAGTTCCATTGCCCTTGAATTTGATGTTTTTCTCTCGTTTGCCCTAGTTTGAATATGTGTATGCGTTTGGTATGGTGGTTATTGAGCGGTTGGTATGATGGGTTACTGAGGTAGAGTGGTTTCGTTTTGTGTTTGTGAAGATTTGGTGAACAATTTGGGAACGATTGCGAGGTCTGGAACCAAGGAGTTCATGGAAGCCTTGCAGGCTGGTGCTGATGTTAGCATGATTGGCCAGTTCGGTGTTGGGTTCTACTCCGCTTACCTTGTCTCCGAGAAGGTCATCGTGACAACCAAGCACAACGATGACGAGCAGTATGTGTGGGAGTCGCAGGCCGGTGGTTCATTCACCGTTACAAGGGACACCTCCGGTGAGCAGCTCGGCAGAGGCACCAAGATGGTCCTCCACCTCAAGGAAGACCAGGTAAAATTTGCTCTCATTGGTTCGATTTTGTTAAGTACTGTTGCTGTTAGCCTCTCGAATAGAAGAACGAGCTTGTGCCTTTGCCTGCTGAGTTAGCATATCCTGTTTAGAAACTTTCTATTTATGTTGGTTTGAAGTCTTGTGTAGAAGAGGCATGTTTGTATCTTGAATTTGAATGAATGTGTGCTCTTTCTGAATACACAACTGATGGGATTAGTATCTATTTCTTAGATGGTAACATGTGTTTGGTGAGATGGTTGACACGTGTTAATGTCTATCTTTCCACAGCTGGAATACCTCGAAGAGAGGAGGATCAAGGACCTTGTGAAGAAGCACTCTGAGTTCATCAGCTACCCGATCTACCTCTGGACCGAGAAAACCACCGAGAAGGAGATCAGTGATGATGAAGATGAAGAGGAGCCCAAAAAGGAAGGTGAAGTTGAGGAAGTTGATGAAGAGAAAGAGACTGAATCCAAGAAGAAGAAGAAGATCAAGGAAGTCTCTCACGAGTGGGAGCTCATCAACAAGCAGAAACCCATCTGGCTCCGCAAGCCAGAAGACATCACCAAGGAAGAGTATGCTTCCTTCTACAAGAGCCTGACCAATGACTGGGAGGACCACCTGGCCGTGAAGCACTTCTCCGTTGAGGGCCAGCTTGAATTCAAAGCCGTCCTGTTTGTCCCCAAAAGGGCTCCATTCGATCTCTTTGACACCCGCAAGAAGGCCAACAACATCAAGCTGTATGTCAGGCGAGTCTTCATCATGGACAACTGTGACGAGCTCATCCCTGAGTTCCTCTCCTTCGTGAAAGGTGTGGTTGACTCTGATGACCTGCCGCTCAACATCTCCCGTGAGATGCTCCAGCAGAACAAGATCCTTAAGGTCATCCGAAAGAACCTTGTGAAGAAGTGCATTGAGATGTTCAACGAGATTGCTGAGAACAAGGAGGACTACAACAAGTTCTACGAGTCCTTCTCCAAGAACTTGAAGCTTGGTATCCACGAGGACAGCACCAACCGTTCCAAGCTCGCTGACCTTTTGAGGTACCACTCCACCAAGAGCGGCGAGGAGTTGACCAGCTTGAAGGACTATGTGACCAGAATGAAGGAAGGTCAGACCGACATCTTCTACATTACTGGAGAGAGCAAGAAGGCAGTGGAGAACTCTCCCTTCTTGGAGAGGCTGAAGAAGAAGGGATACGAAGTCCTCTACATGGTTGACGCCATTGATGAGTATGCCATCGGGCAGCTGAAGGAATATGATGGAAAGAAGCTTGTCTCTGCAACAAAGGAAGGGTTGAAGCTTGATGATGAGACCGAGGAAGAGAAGCAAAAGAAGGAAGAGAAGAAGAAGTCCTTCGAGGAGCTCTGCAAGACGATCAAGGACATCTTGGGCGACAAGGTCGAGAAGGTTATCGTCTCCGACAGGATTGTCGACTCCCCTTGCTGTTTGGTGACCGGTGAGTACGGTTGGAGCGCCAACATGGAGAGGATCATGAAGGCTCAAGCTTTGAGGGACAGCAGCATGGGATCCTACATGTCTAGCAAGAAGACCATGGAGATCAACCCCGACAATGGCATCATGGACGAGCTGAGGAAGAGGGCTGATGCCGATAAGAACGACAAGTCTGTCAAGGATCTTGTGCTGCTGCTGTTCGACACCGCGCTGCTGAACTCCGGGTTCAGTCTCGAGGACCCCAACACCTTCGCGACCAGGATTCACAGGATGTTGAAGCTTGGGCTGAGCATTGACGAGGACGACGTGGCCGGTGGCGACGAGTCGGAGATGCCTCCACTTGAGGATGATGGTGCCGAGGAGAGCAAGATGGAGGAAGTCGACTAAATTTTTTGTCTTTAGTTTTTTAGAACAGTGGAGCTCTTTAGTTTTGTGTCTATTGGTTTTCCTCTACAGACTTCTTCGCTATCCTTCTGTGGTTATTTTTGTTTTTGTACTGGTACTCTATTTCTTCTAAACTACTGTCGTTCTTCTTTTACCAAGCGGAGATTATGTTATCTTGAGTTCTTCGTCAACCTAATGGTTTGCGTTTTCCCTAGCTCTTTTTACTTTGTTCATGCTCACAGTGATGTCGCCATTCATTCACTTACGTAAGCTATTAGCTGTATACCCATAAAGATGGAACTGGTTTCAACTGCTTGGATATGGAGCTATCATTTGGTGCGTGGTGTGTTTGGACTAAATGACCATAAGGTTGACAGAAACTAGGCTGTTAAATTTCTTATGGTCTAACATGTGTACACTGAGAACTCTTCCATTCACGCACGAAATTGCATTGTTTATTCTCCTCGATTATGTGTTGGTGTACTTCGATCATATTCTCTTGACGGAGAATGATCGCGCAGCAAGCCCATGCATCCTCGGCAGTTGATTTCGCTGCTATCCGTTCGAGCACTCTTCCATTCTCGCACGAAATTGTACTACTAACTATCCTTGAAGGTCCTCGATTATGTGTTGGTGTACTTTGATCTCGACTGAGAATGATGGCTCAACAAGTTGTTCAGCTGAAACTTGAGCAAATTCGCCCAATTGCCAATCCATCACAAGCTATATATTGTGTACTTTGGTTCTCCTATACGTGAAAGAGATGAATTGAAGGACTTAAAGCATATCGATGCTACAGAAATTGTATGCAATCCATTCATTGCTCAGTACTCGAATATGGTTCGACAACCTCGGCATAACTTCTATGACAAGTAATAACAGAGCGATATCATAGCCCAGCAGCAGATATCTAACATCTGTAGAAAGACTAATATCATGAACTTGCTATTTAGTACGATTGAGAGTAAATTGAAACTGGGAAAAGTGAGCCAATAGTAACGAACAAAATACTCGACAACATCATCGTAAAAGAAGAGTTTCCATCGTTGTCAATCCCTTACAATAACAGACTACTGCAACGGAATACTAAAAAATGTTTGTAACTTTCAAAGGCTACATATGCAAACATCCATGCGACGGCCAAAATTAAAGTTACAAGCACATTCTTAAGCAAATCCACCGGAACTGCTTGGAGCTGGTGGTGCACCACCGCCATAACCGCCACCACCACGACCAAATCCAGGCCTTCCACCAGAGCCCTGAAAACCACAAGAAGAAAACAAATGATGAGAACCAAAAAGTACAAATACAAAAGGAATTAAGTAGAGAAAAGACAACTGTTGACCGCAGACACATCTACTGTTAAAGATGGATGCATTTAACTACAGTTGCCACCCAGATATATGAACATATAAAGAATCAGGTCAACCACTGAGCATCCTTCTTCATATGAATTCATAGAGAAAGTTACATTACCCTGAATGAGGGCTGGAAGTCAGCTGGAGCACCTCCCTTCTCACCACCAGCAAAATCACCTCCTCCACGAGGACCACCACGGTACCCATCACGATCACCAAATCTAGGACGGTCTCCCTCAAAACGAGGACCCCTACAAGTTATTATACGAAACACAAATCAATAAGCTTCAAAAGGGAATTCAGAAAAAAGTGGAATCTCGGAACACACAATCCATGCCAACAGCAAAGCAAACACTGGGATATTACCTCGGGCGGTCACCAGGTGGACCTCCCATGGGCCTGCCAAGAGGCTTAGCAGACTTCTTCAAAGTCGCAGGCACAATCTCAGATGGAAGATTGAGGTAAGTCCTCAAGAACTCAATCCCTTCATTGGTAAGGTACCAGTAGTAGTGCATCCAGGCGAAGGTCTCGCGGACATACTCCTTCGATTTGAAGCTCTGCATCAGCTTAATCACCTGGAGATTGGGAACATCGATCTCAGGGTGCTTGGCAAGGTTGAAGTCCTTCTTGGCAAAGCACACTCCCTCTGAATGGTCACCAAAGACAACAATCAACAAGCTTTTTATCAGTAATCAGACTCCAGAAGGCACAAACCATCCCAACTAATCTTTGTTCATGCACAAACAAGATACATTAAAGACAATCCATACCCTACCTATAATCAATGTACCCCATTTCCCTGTTTCACTAGATCCCAATTGTCCATTCAATTCCCCAGCCAAATAAAACCATTAGTTCAATCCTGCTAACCCCTTCTAGCCAATGAATTAAAACGGAAAGAGTGAGTATACGGGACGAACCTTGAAAGAGGTACTTTGAGATTTCTCTCCTGTTCTTCTCTGAGATAATCTGAAAGCAACATCAAAAAGGAAGTGAGGGGCAGGTTCATGGAGTAAACTAAGTGACGGGAGATAGAAGTTACAGAGCCTGAGCTAATTACCATGGTTGCAGATGGAAGATGAAGAAGAAAAGAGGCACCCTTTGCGGCTGTGGTTGCAGGTTATGCAGAGGAGCTCTTCCTTCGCGAGGGTTTACACAGACGGCGCTTGAAACCCTAAAGAAACGGGGCCGAGGTTTATATATTCGTATTAGATGGGCTGCTGTGGCTATTAGTGAAATTGCCCCTCAATGTCATGGGCCTATAGTGATTAAGTTATGGGCTTATGGCCCTGTAACTCAAAATCAATTCCCTGCTATGTTCGTTTGCCATTTTGTTTTTGCCTGTTCTTTGGGGACCATTTTGCAATTATCGAGAGAAAAAAACAATTTGCCTGTTAGGGATTAAAATTAACAGAGGGATTGTATATTTAGGGTCAACTCAACCAATTGGTAAGAGCTAAAACTATATAACTTTAAATAAATTAATATAAGTCATCAGCACTAAAATATATTTTTTTTTAATAAAAATTGATTTATTGTTATTCATCTATCACCAAAATCGATTTATTTATTAATCGTCTATCACCATCAATAAAAATAAAATATCATCTTCTTCTCTCGAGACTCACTCCTAAACAAAACTCGCACAACATATATACGTCTTTCTATTTCCTAGCAAGCATAGTTTTTTTTTTTTTTTTGACAAAAGATATCATGTATTGATCAACAAATAGGCAGTTACACCCTGGACAACAGCCAGGCCTGAAAATCATAACAGCGACTCATAGTCGGGTACAAAGAGAGGGCTTTCCTAGCTACCAAATGAGCTACCCTATTGTTCTCCCGACCTACAAAACGCACACTAAAACCAGGTTGAGCACGCAAATAATGGCCAACCTCTTCCAGAACAGCACCCAACCGGTTATCTCTGAAGTCGGCTTGATTAATCTTGTCAATAATCACCTTAGCATCGCCTTCAAAACGGACCTCCGCCAACCCCAGCTCCCTACACCAAATAATCGCTTCCCTGAGCACGAGCAATTCCACTATCATAGGATCATCCAATTGAGTAAACTGAACCCCTCTAGCCAGAAGGAGAGCCCGCGCTGGGTCCAGAAGAACCATCCTAGCAAGCATAGTTGGCATGCTTTGAGTGAAAACAATTTACTCTTGTTTTACGAAGTTGGCATGCTTTGAGTGAAAACAATTTACTCTTGTTTTACGAAATAGAGCGCACAATGACAATATTTGATGCATATAAAATGTGAATCGGAAGCTAATGGCCTAACAAGTAACAAGGCAAGGTACTCTGCTTGACATTGACCTCTTTGTAAACATGTTCGATCCTAACATGTCACTATTGCATAAGCCATGGACGGATCTCCGCAATGCAGGTATAGTGCGGATGCTATGATGTAGTAATCTCGATAAGAGATTTGGATATATGATAGAGCCCGTCTATAGAAGCACTTTATTAGCTCCGGATTCTTAAGTAAGTTTAGAACCATGCACAATTCCAACCAACTCTGCACGGGTAATCGAACCTCCCCTACCTTTACTGCATACCCGATGGTATGGGTAAAATTCGAACTTGAATATCACAGGCAATGGATGGATATGGTTTTTTCATTATGCAACCTGAACTCACCCGATTATACATACATCCACAATATTTTGTTTAAATCAACATTTTTTGTTTTTGTTTTAACATATTAGCTATTCTTAATATATTTGTAGTGGTTTTTAAATTGTTTCTCTTAGTATTGGATTTTTTTTTTATTTATCCTTTTTTCACTTTTATAATGTTAATAAATTTGTAATTAGTAACAAAATAATTGAGGAAATAAATGAATATATTCAGGGATATCCATGGATACACGAAACCCGTTCGGGTATGGACATAATTAAACTTTCTACTCGAATCTTGCATGACTATAAGTATGGATAAAACCCGAACTAATTAACACAGGATAATAAATTGTCACTATCCGTCCGCGACCGGACCCTTTTTCATATTTGCATGAAGACAAATATGTCCCGTGATACAAATCGATACGAATATGAGCTTCTTATTTGAATTTGATTAACTCTTTCATATTTGGACTCTATTTTCACATAGTGAATTTAAGCAATACTTCTATTCTCCACTATTTATCTATCGCTTCAATTTGCAAAAGGTACACATAACCTCTAAATCCTTGTGTACCCCCGTCTAGCCAAATTATGGTTCAATACTTAGCCGCATTAATTGGTTTAGAGAAAAGAAAGCTTACATTAAATAGGTTTTAGTTTTAGGGTTAGAAGTAAATCGATATCTATAAATAAAAGGGCCAAGTTCTTAATTATCTCGCTAATTCGCCGAGTCCAAATCAGCAAACGAGGAAACGATCATCAATGGCGGCAGACGCTCCCATCAGCAAACTGGGAGACGATCTCCTCGAAGAAATTCTCGTCCGCAGCTTCCCGCATCCCAGATCCGCCTGCCGTAGCAAATCAGTCTGCAAGCGATGGAACTCCCTAATCTCTCGCTCCCGTTTCAACAGCCGTTTCGTTTCTCATCATCGAAGCAGGAACGAAGGCCAACCACCCCTGCTCCTTCTCTCGAAGGACGACGCCCTGCCACTGCCGCCATCGCTCCTGAGCTTCCTCCCCGTACCCGACGAATTCCGATCCAACTTCGTGATTTGGGATTCCTTCAAGGACTTGCTTCTGTGCGGGTTTCGGTATTCGGCTTGGGACGACAATCACGAAAGGGCGAGATCGCTCTTGATCTGCAATCCCTTTACAGAGCAATGGGTCGCCCTTCCCTTGGCGCCTGAAACGTCGTCGTGCAGGACGTACGGAACGAAGGAAGTGAAATTGATCGGTCGAGAAGTTGGTAATCCTAATGATTTGGATCTGGGTGATGGCCAAGTATTTATGTATCCCGACTATCGATTTCGCGTTCTGGTTCGATATGAAGAGGATTCGTTGAACCGGTTGACGCGGATGAGAATCGGTTCAGAACTACATGTGTTCTGCTTCGAGTCCCGGAAATGGTCGACCATAATGGATAGTCATCTTGCACCTAATGCAACGTCTTCGAATGGGAAGTTGTATTCGATGGAGCACCAATACGATGTTGAAATCTTGAGGTTTGATCCTTTCCGCCCACACATACTTCCGACCACTATAGTCAATACGACTTTCTTTGACATGTGGGGTGCAATTACCCATTTCTCGGCCTCACATGGTGCTACTTATATGGTTCAACATGATCGACCACGACATCATGTGCCCGACGCAGATGTTTTCGTAGTTCGGAGGTTGGAAGAAGGCTGCTTGACATGGATTCTATGCCACGAAGTGTCTCTGAAGGAGCTAAAACTTAACAGCGGGCCCGAAGTTGAGAAGATGGAAGTCGTTTCTGTGCTCGCTCAGCATTCGGAGCGACCGGAAATTTTGTTCCTGGAATGTTATTGCGATTCGGTTTTCGAAGAGACGGAAATTCCGTTCACAGTGGTCAAGGAGACTGTTGTTTTTTCGTGCAATCTGGCGACGGGAAAACTGGAGCTTGTTGCCGATCAGAGACGGTGTACTTTTCTCGGTCGATGGATGGTCTTGCAGCCTGGGACCACTTGTTTTTCTACACCAATTCCTAGTTATGAGAAATTGCTCGGCATGTATAATGGAAGCTGCAATGATTTGATTCAGAGCAGAAAATCAACTTAGGAGTCATTTAGAGAGTGGATTTGTAACATCTATGCCTCTGTTTAGTATTATTTCCAGTTTATGTTTTCTATTTTCACTAATGAAATCTGAGACTGAAAACAAGTTTTGTTTTGTTTTCATCTATTGTTGTGACAAGCGGAGTTGACAACACAATAGGAACTAGCTAACATATGTTAAACAACTGCAAGTAGCTTCCTTGCTGTTTCCTAAAGTTGTTTCTTGTAAAATTCTACCGAATGTTGGAATAATTGCATTCAAGTAAGTATATAACCAAATACTATTTGACCCACTTTGTACATATTTTCCCTCTCCATTTTGTGCAAATCAATCCAGAAAACTTGAATACTATTTTTATAAATTTTTCTCTCCCAATTTTCACAAAAGTCTTTTTAGTGGTTTCCGTTATCATTATCATCGAGGCCTCTGCTTATCTTCTCTTACTGTGAGGTTTGGTGGGCGGTGGCATTTGTGATTGTTATGGTTGTCTCAGTCATTACCGCGCCAACCTCATCTTCTGAAGAATGGGAGTCAACCATAACCTCGTATGTTGTCAACACCTCGAACCGGGACCCCACCACTTTTTGTTTTCACGAATCGAGTTCTTTGGAGCTTGGTTGACTTTCGAAAGACTCATGTGAATTTTGTTGGTCCTTGCGGATTGCACATGGTTTTCTTAGCTATCATGCATTCTCTGTATAGACCCTCCTGCTCCTTTGCCACCAAACTTTACTCCTTTCCAGGAATAATTTTCTCGCTCGTCTCAACCAGTTTCGAACAATGGCACTGAGCTCGCGCACAATATGTCCCACATTAGAAGCATTATCTTGTCGAGAACTTCATAATGAATGAAAATACTTTATGTAATTGATACAAAATTGGAAGAGGAGAGATTTTGTGAGATCTATTTGAACACAAACTCTCGCGTAGTCATTTATTGTTACTCAGTGGGTTATGAGATTCTATGGTTGAATAATGAGCATGCATAAAAATTTAGTTGAGAGATTTTCAAAATTACTCGAAAATAGATTGTTTCTACGGATACAAGTCAATTTACGTGAATAATTAATAAACTTACATGAAATGTGTGTGAATATTATAAGAAATTTTATTAACACAACTTGGGCCTATAGTGATTAAGTTTGGGCCCATTAACTCAAGATCAATCCCCTGCTCTGCTATCTTCCTTACCATTTTGTTTTTGGCTGTTCTTTGGAGTTTGAAGTAGTGATGGCAATGTGTCGGGCGGGGCGGGTACCTCAATATTCATGATCCGCCTCATGTTATTATGGGTCGGGGTGGGTAATATCCGTGCGGGTTCGGGGCGGGGCGGGTCGACCCATCCTTATATGCTATTTGGAAAAAATACAAGCAAAATTTTAATTTTTATGATAAAACGATTGGGAAAAGATTTCATGAATGGATAATAGTGATAATATAATGGATAATTGAGTCTATTTAGTTGAAAGATCAAGTCTAACTAGTTAATCATGACCTAGAAAAGTCAAAATAGGAGATATATGAATGGATGACATAAGAAATTGACTTAGGATGGGCCAAGAACGGGGCGGGGCGGGTTGGAAGTTGGTATCCATACCCTGCCCCACGCTACTGCGGGTCGGGTAATACCCGCCCCATCGCGGATTAGGTCGGGTAAAACTCGGCGGGGCGGGTTCAAATTGTCATCCCTAGTTTGGAGGGGGAAGACCATTTTGCAAATATCGAGAGAGAAAACACTTTACCTGTTAAAGATTAAAATTAACAGAGGGATTGTATATTTAAGGTCAGCTCAACCAATTGGTAAGAGAAACTATAAAATATATAATTTAAAAGAAATTAATATGAGTCATCAAACTAAAATATGACTTATTTCGATTCAACTCAAAGAATGTCATAGTACAACCAATAAACAAGGATACTATCTGATGAATAAAAATGTGATTGAGAAACAAATGACCTCCTTGTAAACATGTTCAACCATAACATGCCAATCTTGCATAAGCCATCGACGGATCTCCACAATGCATGTATAGTTGTGCGGATGATGAGATGTAGCCGAGTCGATAAGAGATTTGGTTGTGATAGAGTTAGTCCGCAGAAGGACTTCCTTATCTCCCGATTCCCAGGTAAGTTTCAATCTATGCACAATTCCAGTTTGCTCTGCACGGGTAATCGAACCTCCTTCTAGGTTCATTGCATAGACTCTAATAAAATGATCATTGCCTCCCCTCACGATGTCGCCAGCCCCGTGCTCGAAGACGAATGAGTAACTGATCCATCAATGTTCAGACATATCCAGTCCGTAGGTGGTGGTTGTTAGCTGATACGTCTAAATGTGTGAAGTCCCTCGTCTCCCATTATGCTCTTCTCCTTCACCATAGACGTACAAAGCTGTTGGCTGGCTGAATAGTATGAAACTAGATTTGTGCTTTAGACTTCAACTCATTGTGAAAACATAGGCTGTTTCGGTTCTTCCGCGGTAGCCAGCACGTAACTGCGAAGTAGTGGGTATGATAATAACAAGTTGAGTAGCTGGGTCGTTGCGTAGATTATGAAGCCCCCAATTATGGATCGCAATTGCGGCCCAATAAATTTGCATTGGACTTGATAATCACGAGACACGAAGACAAACATATACCCAGATACAAATTGATACGAATATGAGCTTCTTTCTCTAGAATGGATTAACAATTTTCATATTTGGTCTCCATTTTCTCATAAGTAATTTAAGCAATACTGCGACTCAATATTTAGGGGCGCATTAATTGGTTTGGGAAAAAGAAAGCTTATGTTAAATAGGGTTTAGGGTTAGAACTAGATCGATCCGACGACGAGAAGGTAAAAAAATAGAGGCGCGCCTTGAGCACTATTAAAGAGACTAGAGTCCCAAATAAGTTCTCCCAAGGCCGCAGCAATAGATACTTTCCATCAGAAGGAGGATCGGAGTATCAATGGCGGCAGACGCTCCCATCAGCAAACTGGGGGACGATCTCCTCGAAGAAATTCTCGTCCGCAGCTTCCCGCATCCCAGATCCGCCTGCCGTAGCAAATCAGTCTGCAAGCGATGGAACTCCCTGATCTCTCGCTCCCGTTTCAACAGCCGTTTCGTTGCTCATCACCGAAGCAGGAACGAAGGCCAACCACCCCTGCTGCTTCTCTCGAAGGACGACGCCCTGCCACTGCCGTCGTCGCTCCTGAGCTTCCTCCCCGTACCCGACGAATTCCGATCCAACTTCGTGATTTGGGATTCCTTCAAGGACTTGCTTCTGTGCGGGTTTCGGTATTCGGCGTGGGACGACAATCACGAAAGGGCCAGATCGCTCTTGATCTGCAATCCCTTTACAGAGCAGTGGGTCGCCCTTCCTTTGCCGCCCGAAACGTCGTCGTGCAGGACTTACGCAACGAAAGAGGTAAAATTGATCGGTCGAGAAGTTGGTAATGCTAATGGTTTGGATCTGGGTGATGGCCAAGTATTTGTGTATCCCGACTATCGCTTTCGCGTTCTGGTTCGATATGGAAGGGATGGATGTGATTGGTTGCCATGGATTTCAGAACTACAGGTGTTTTGCTTCGAGTCCCGAAAATGGTCGACCATAATGGATGGTCCTCTTGCACCTAACGCAGCGTCTTTGGATGATGGGAAGTTGTATTGGGTGGATTGCGAAGTCCATAGTGGAATTCTGAGGTTTGATCCTTTTCACCCAAATATGCATCCAACCACTGTAGGCAGTGAGAATTACTTTGTCATGTGGGAACCAGTATCCCATTATTTTTGGTCCTCGCACGGTGCTTCTTACGTAGTTCTACATGATCAATCGGGATCTCTTGGGCCTTACCCAGATGTTTTCATGGTTCGGAGGTGGGAAGAAGGCCGCATGACATGGAATCTGTGCTACGAAGTGTCGTTGGAGGAGCTAAAACGTAACAGCGGGCCCGAAGTTGAGGAGCTGGAAGTCGTCTCCGTGCTCGCTCAGCATTCGGAGCGGCCGGAAATTTTGTTCTTGGAATGCCACCGCGATCCGAAATTCAGAAAGACGGAAATTTATTTCGATCCTACTTTCGATGGGGTCATAGAGACGGTTGTTTTCTCGTGCAATCTGACGACGGGAAAACTGGAGCTTGTTGCCGATCAGAGACCGTGTACTTTTCTCGGTCGGTGGATGGTCTTGCAGCCCGGGACCACTTGTTTTTCTACACCAATTCCTAGCTATGAGAAATTGCTCGGCATGTATGATGGAAGCTGCAATGATTTGATTCATAGGAGAAAATCAACTTAGGAGTCATTTAGAGAGTGGGTTTACAAAATCTATGGCTCTGTTTCGTATCATTCCTAGTTTATGTTTTCTATTTTCACTAGTGAAAGCTGACACTGAAAACATGTTTTCTTTTGTTTTCATATATTGTTGTGGCAACAGGAGTTGGCAACGCAATGAAATCACTGCAAGTAGCGTCCTCGTTGTTTCCTAAAGTTGTTTCTTGTGAGATCATATCGAATGTTGGAATAATTTGCACTCAAGTAAGTTTATAACCAAATATTATTTGACCCATTGTCTACATATTTTCCCTCTGCATTTTGTAAATCTCATTCAGAAAACTTCAATACTACTTTTATAACTTCTTTTCTCCCCAAGTTTTACAAAAGCCTTTTCAGTGGTTTCCATTACCGTTATCGTCGCGCCCGTGCTTCTCTTCTCTTCTCTTACTATGAGGTTTGGTGGCATTTGTAATTGTTGTGGTTGTCTCAGTCATTACCGTCGCAAGCTCATCTTCTGAAAAAGGAGAGTCAACCACAACCTCGTCGATTGTCAACACCTCTAACAGGGACCTGTCGCTTTTTATTTCCACGAATCGACTTCTTGACTGACTTTCGAAGCAGGCTGATTTGTTGCTCCTTGCAGATCGCACAGTCGCACCGAGCTCGCACATAGTATGTCCTACATTGGAAGCATTATCTTGTCGAGACTTTCATAGTGAATGAAATACTTTATGTAATTGATACGGAATTGAGAGATTTGAGACTTTGTGAGATTTATCTGAACACAGACTCTCGTGTAGTCATTTATTATTACCCGGTGGTTATGAGATTTTTATGGTCGAAGAGAATGCATAAAAATTTAGTTGAGAGATTTGCAAAATTACAGGAAACATAGATTATTTCTATGAATACAAGCGAATGATTAATAAACTTACACGAAAAAGAAAAAAAAACATAAAGTGTGTGAATATTTTTGTTAACACGACTTGGGCCCAAAGAAATCACCCATTCTCTAATCTCACAATAGTCAAAGCATATATTTGTTGTAATGTTGTTAGTTATGTGACTCCATGTCAAATTTCCTCTCCGGTGCCTGCTTGGGCTACAAGTCAATCTATTGGAGCTAATCATCTGATCCATATCCGTGAAAGCATACCGAGCAAAGCTTGAATCCATTGCAGACCGTCCACATCACCATGCAATGACAATCTGCTCTATTATCCACCGTCGATCGCCCTTTTCCATAGTGAGACCGTCCACAGCGGATCACAGCCAACTCCAATTCCTAAAAGCGGGGCCCTACGTCCATAGGCCGAGCAACAACGTACAACTCGCCAGTGGCTTAATCTGTGAAAATGGCAAGAAACGCAGGTACTGCTACTGCCAGCTTCAGACCTCCTTTTTCTAACCAGTCCACAGAGCGCCAGAGCCCCGAGTTATTCTCCTCCCTCCATCACGCTAATTCTCCCTCCCTTTCTCTCTCGCCAAACACATTTTCTAGCATTCTGTAGAGCTCACTCATGGAGCCTTTTCATATTTTTTTTTTGTCTCGTTGCTGAAAAACGAACTCCGATTCTAGTTCTCTCGCCATTTCCGATCCTTTGATCGGTCAGTAGAGTCGTAAACCAGCGATTTCCTGGTGTAGAGGTTTCGAAGAGCTAGGGTTAGTTAGCTACATTTTGTATTGGAGGTCTTAGATCGTTCAGCGCCGGGATTTTGATTCTCAGTAGACTTCACAGCGACGAAGTCGTCTCTCTCTCGCTGGTACTGTTTTGGAGCATTCAAGAAAATGAGCGCCGGAGCTCCGTCTGAAGGCTTGCTGGTGGAATCAAGAGCAGACGATGGCGTCCCTGCGTCATCGTTCCGCAGGTAAAATTTCGACTCTGTTTTCTCTCAATCGTCAAGCTTCTCGTGTTGATTTGGCGTTTTTTTTGGTCGATGAGAAAGTTGACGCGACGAACGGTAAAACGATTTTCTCGGCAAACAAACACCGCCTATTGTTTTCCAGTTCTAACCGCCTTTGTTTCTTTCCTTCAAAAAGCAACATCCGTTTATACATTCTCTCGTTCGCTTACTACAGGGGCTCGAAGTTTGCGTACTCAACGGATTTTCTCTTGTCCATGGCTGTTTTGGATATATGCCAGAGGTTGCCTTGCAACTTCGATTGCGATGTATTGCGGTACGATTACGATCTATCTGTTGGCGTTATCTTAGAAGTGTATGTAAAAGTTGCTTTTATCACCGTTGTTTAATTCGTTACAATCTCTGGACAGTGAGCTTGACGATCGCCCTAAAGTTCGGTGGCAGCCGAAGACTGGTTCTGGTACGATCCACGGCGTAGCTTTTCATTTGACTTAATCTCTCCTCTTGTTCGGATCTTTGAGGTTTTAGTTATGTGAAGGCTCTAGCTAGTAGTATCGTGAATTTGAGTTGACAAAGCTTGTGCAACCATCTAACTTGGAACCAGTCCTACAGTGATTGTGAGAGTAGTAGCCTGGGATGATGCATCGATTGAACAATGAAAATCAGTCTTAGCTAGTTTGGAATTGGTTCTTTAACGGAAGTAAATAGATAGGAATTCATAAGACCTCTTCTTCACTTGGCTAACTAAGTTTTAGTGTATAGTTTAGGTTGTGCGTAGCTGATCTGCCCTTCCTCAGTCGAGATGGTTTACGCCTTCCACGAAAAGGCGAAAGCCTTCGAAGGAAACTGAATTATATTGAACTCCAATAGAAGGGTTAGTTCTATCTCATTCAGACTACCAATGTGGATGTTCCAAATCTTAACGATCTAGCCAGTAATTGTTCACTAACTTAGCTCCAGAGAAGATGGGAATGGTGTTAGTGGTTGGTTCTGTGATGGTCTGGTGTTCTGTAACCGCATCATTTTAATGCTTGCTTTCCCCTTGTTGTGTCTACCCTCTTCGATGTTTATGTATGAGATCCAGCTGGCCTTGTGTAATACTCTCCTTCTTTGTTGAAATGCAGAGTTCGCGAGATGGGATGGCAACATTCTATCAACTAGTTGGAGAGTTAGTCCTGAAAGTGGAATTTTACTGAAGAATCTTCCTGACAATGTAAGTTTAGGGAAGAATACTTTTGAAAGTGGGATTCTAGGGAAGAACAATCCTGAAAGTGGGGTTCTAGGGAAGAACAATCCTGAAAGTGGAATTTTAGGGAAGAATCATCATGACGGTGTAATTTTGGGGAAGAATACTTCTGAAAGTGGAACTCTAGGGAAGAACAATCCTGAAAGTGGAATTTTAGGGAAGGGTGCTCTCCTGCCAGCACCTGAACCTATGGCTGTTGATTCTGCTCCAAAGATTCACGAGGTTAGCACCTGTCATCTGCTAACCCGAAGTGCCACACCATATCGGCCTCCGCATCTGTACAGGGTAAGCCTAGGAATTTGAAAGATACGCGTGAAGTTGACATCCTGATCTCTTAAGATACTTTTGGTCTTATGTCTTTCAGATGGATCTCCATTCTGGAACAGAGAAAGTGGATATTGGCAGCGAGAAAACATTTGATTCCTTGAGACTGCGGAGGACTGAAGTGGAAAAACAGAGAGGTAAGCTTCTCAGGTCGAGCTATATTGTTTGGCAAGTTCCTGCATTGCTGCATACAGCCTACAATTGTCTTAAACATTCTTCTATTTTACGAATATCATCAGAAACATCTGAATCATTATGGAGTGATCTTCAAGTAACTCAGGAGACTCAGAAGAACATTTCAGATGATCAGAAAGAAAACCAGGACCCAAGTAATGCCACAGACCCGGCAGATTCCCAGAAGTCTGGAGTTGAAGGAAGTTGGACATCCGAGAAACTGGAGGTATTTGATCCCATAAAGTTCTTCTTACCCCTAAGTTTAAATTTGGCTTAATGAACTTAACAAAATCAAGTATGATGGAGATAGACACGCTTTCAAACCATTAGTGAACTTAACGTTTTGCTGTGTCTATATATGATGGTTAACTAAATCAAGTACTAGTGAGAAATTGAGGGAAATACTTTGGTTAGCTCTCCTTCCTGCAAATGTAGAAGTCTTCCAGGAACCAGTGCATTATGTTGCAGTTTATAGCTCTCCTACCTGCAAATGTAGAAGTCTTCCAGGAACCAGTGCATTATGTTGCCAGTTTATTTACAGCATCTTCTGTTAGCCAAAAAAGAGGCACTTGTTGGGGTTTCATAAACTTGGAAGTTGTAGGGTTTATTAAGTTTAACGTAAGGTGGCATTCTGTATGCTGTATTTGCAGAGTAAGACCGGCCAGACCACCATGTCCTGTCCTTACTTCCTATCTTGGGTTAAGCCAAGTGGCAATAGCATGTCCAAAACCGACGGCAAACATGGAACAGTAGAATCCCCTATGGATCATGCCACGAAGCTGAATGAGCAACCATTGACAAGTATTCATTCAGAAAGTAACAAAGCTACAAGCCAGTCCCACCCATCTACTTCTCCTTCAGCCACCAAGGAAATCTTTCACCAACAACTGCACGAATGGGTCAACAAAGCAACTACTTGTCCAAACCCTTCTGGTCAAACCACTGAACCTACGCAAGACAATCCAGAGATCGATGATGCCGAGTATCAGGACCTCGTTGCTTTACTAGAGGAAGAAACCACTTGCCAGTCTACCGAGCTCCGGCGTAGCCAGGACCTCTCGATGCTGGGCTTCTCCGAGTTCGACCTTGGAGGACAGAGACCAATTCTGGCCTCTGGTGATAACGACATTGTTCTTCCAGCCGAAGTCGATGCTTCAAGCTGCAGTGGAAAGGTCCTGAAGGGCGACGACGAGCATGCGGCTGAAGTCCGAACTGAACAGGAAGCTTCACTAGACTTAGCTGCAGCTGACTTCCATGAGAAGCCTCATACAAGTGATGAAATCTGCTGGCCGGAGGAAGACAGTTTGATTACCGTCGACGACTTCGTCGTATGTCCAGTGGATGAAACCTCCCGCGGCGAACCGAGTAAGAAGCAGTCCTCCTGCCCACAGTCGCTTGGCTCCCGGAGGAAACCAGAGAAAAAGATGAAGACCAAAAAATGTGTATATGTTACACAGCCTATGGGACCAATGATATGTTCTCCTCATCCTCCACCTCCTCCTGGTATGGTGCCATGGCTCCCTGTCCTTCCTCCTCTGCATCCTATGCATCAGATGGCGCTCTATCCTGCTGGCATGTGTTCCCCCTTTGGTAATCAGGTCCACATCTATACGAACCTATTGGCCAGTCCAGGTAAAAGAAAAAACGTAGAGTGAAAACTTGACTTCATATGTTTTTGCTCAAGTGATTGATTCCTCCAGCTCGTTTATTTGACTCTATCAAAGCAAACTGGTTAGTTGATTTTTTTTCTTTGTTTGCAGATCAGAACTTGGGGTGGCCTTGGTTCGGCAACGCTTAGATCTGATTGGGAAGGTGAGCAACAGGTTTAGTGTTTAGATACCGCCTTCTAGACCTAATTGCAATCACGATTTGCTTCTAGATCACTTCTGATTAGAGGTAGTCTTTGAACTAGATTCCAAATGGTGATTAGTAGCAACAAAATTAGCGTCGGATTAGAAATTCCCAACTCTGGAAAGAAACAAAGGAAGCATGTGAAGCGGGGATAGTAGCCTATGGTAGTGATGTTCAAAGGAGCACAGACCTTTGAAACAGTATACTTTTAACATCTCCAGTGGGGCTGAGTCGAATTTGTTCATTTTTCTTCTTTCGTGGTATCTGGTCGACCCGGCTTAGGAAAATTGAAAACACAAATCATATTTGCAAATTGTTCCTAGAACCTGTACCAAATCAGTTATGTTTCCAATGCGAAAACACAATTCAGCTGCGCGAATATGCATGCGGTTCAGCATGGTTAAACACTTCCGGTCTTGCAGTACCACATTTTGCAGATCTGTTTCACTCACTACACCAAGGCGCTATATAATCTAAGAAGTTCTGTTAATGTGTGGAATCTGCTGCTTGAATAATTTAGTGCAATCAGAACTCAAGGGTTAGATATATGAAGTATGAACCGAAGGAGAATTGTGAGTTTCGACTTGTAATTAATAGCATACACGTTAGAATTTAGAAAGCAGAGGCCAAGGAATTGAAACATCAGTATTTAGATGTGTCTCTAGGGCAAGCTTACCACCAAGGCCTGGCTCAAAGGTAGAATGAGCTCTCAAAAGGCTTATGTTATACTCAATTCTTAACGGTGCTACACCGAAGAACCGGGACTCAAAAACTCAGACCGACGCCCCAGGTTTCACATAGGAAGGCGTCAAAGGTGATTGTGGAGGCTGCATTAATTACACTTAACAACGGTTGAACAAGCTTGTGATCAAAACTTTAATTACATACTCTCGCTAATTAGGTGCGTGAATTCCTTCTTTCCTCCGTCGCAGGAGGTGCTGTACAGCAAGGCCTTTACCGGGAATCACCAACTATACACCCGCGCTCTGGAGCAGCAGCAGCTGCTGCTAGTACTAGTTATTGTTTCTCCTCTTCTTCAAATCCCATATACACACTACCTGTAAGATTACAACAAAGCCGAAGGACTGGCCAAAGAGGGGAACTGGTGAGCTGTACAGAGCGCGTTGTGCACCTTTAATTGTTGGCGGTAGAAGCTTTTACTGATCTTCCCGTCCGGCCAATTTACCTTGCCCGGATCAAGCAACAGTTCATATCCTGTTTGCATCCGTGTCGTAGGAAGCAAGCAGCCTTCTCTGCCATGCAAAAGTACAGCATGTCACGAGACCGTAAATTATTACCAATTACAGAAAATGGACAGAAATGAAGGTGCCAAATAGTAATGAGTTCAATCAATTAAACATTGCTTGATGCACTTATAAATCTTTATAATTCATGCTTAACTGAGACTCAGAATTTGCGTGTAATGCGAAGATGAATGGAAGTATGGAACTGCTATGAAGTGTGAAATAGGGAATTTCACTAGATGAAGTCAGCTACGCATATGTTTACACCCCCAAACTGTAGCATTTCTATGGAATAAGCAACAATGTAACACTGCACTTCATCTGCTAAAATACACAATTTAGGGACCTAATGAATTCTCTGTCTAACTGAAACTACATGAAGAACTATAGTAAAGCTTCATTAGATGAGTAGACTATAGGCAACTGAAAGGGAGAGGAGACTAGATATTTAATAACGGCAGCTTGCGTAGTGCACTAGCTGAAAAGACACACAGATGATTATGCACACAACCAGAACGAGATGAACTACATATAAGTAACTGGTGCATGGAGGAGAGTGAGGTAAAGTAGAAAAGGCACTTACATGATCCTCAAAATCAGGACTGGTTAAATTAATGGACAGGTTTCTCATCAGCAACAGCGTCTGAAAAGGAAAAGATAGGGAAAAAGTCACGCTATGAAAACCAATCTGCTAACCAATAACTTCACACTGAAAACATACACAAAAAGAACTTCAATAAATATTGACAATGAAGCGCATTCTAGAAAGATTATAAAAATGCGCTGTAAAAAGCGGATTCTCATATTCATACCGTGTCAACATCTATAGGGTCCATTTTCTTAAGCTTCTGCAAATGGTCACCAGCATTTGGATCGAAGACACTGCCAATGAATGTGTAGACTTGTGAAAAGTCTGGCAGAACTGCAATCAAACAAAACCGCAGAGCACCCAGAAATAATTTAGTCACAACAGAACAAACATTTTAATGGCAAGGAATTGAGGAAAGCAACTGCGTGATCACATTGGCATAGTTAGTAGCATGAACTTCGAGGTTCGAGAAACTGTCAACTATGATCAGGCGAATACAAATTACAGTAAACAATCATGTTTCAACCAAGACAATCAAACAACCATTAAGTATATGCCATGTTAATTGTCGTGTTATCGGAGCTTGGAATAGAAGTACAAAGAAGAAAATGTAGTAACACATGCCCAAAGGGCTAGTAGCGGTAAGGGATGAAAAATATTAAACATGCCCAGGTTAAAACTTGGACCATGTCCAATATATAATGGGGGAAAGGTAACAAACACCACCCCGCTATACAGCTATAATGGGATGCTCTCCAGGAAAGACAAGCAAACGCCCTGCCATTCTATCTCTAAATGTTGAAGCAAACTAAGAAAAATCAAGTCACCATGTTAGCTAGAGGACATCTCACTCGTCATGGAGAGACAGAAAGGCACGAATGCCACTTATAAATATATGGAAAGACGGTCAAGCACTCATTCGCCATAAAATGGCATAGAGAATTCAGTAAGATCAACTAACCATGCTGCAACAGCTACTACATAAAGACTCTTCCATAACTACTAAGCTAAGAGATGAATACAATCTCAACTTGATAACATTAGGTAGTCCACAGTACAAATAATTGTCATTGAATGTGTACCTCTTAATGGATTTGCTTGCTCGGCCACATCAACAACTTGTTTTGTTCTTGGAGTACTCTCAGTGCTGCTACAACAATTATTTGACAAAGATGGAGCTACAGGACAGAAAAAGACAAGGAACATGGTGACCAAAGTTTCCCATTCTTTGAAGTGCTAACTGAAGCCAAAGCTAAAGCCTACTACTAAAAAACCAGCAAAAATACATGAATAAGCTTTGGTTTTACAAACCTTTTCCTTGGTTCGACAAAGAGACTGCAGGGACATTGTTTTTCCAGGATACTGCAGCTGCACTTGTAATAGGGTTCAATGGCATTGACGGGGAGTCGGGTGGAACACTGGGCTCAAGAAGAGCAGATGATGACTGGATAGATCCAGAAGACTGCGGAAGCGCTGCAACCGCTGTTATTTAAAGACACAACCCAAGAGAATACAATTCATATCAGCAACACATTTCCAAGCTGCTTAATAATCATACAGAATGTCAACACATCATACCATTTTTTGAGGCCTTTTGAGGGTATGGATGAGCAGCTTTCCTTTTAGGCCGGGGAGGAGGCAGATGTTCACCCGTTCCACTTTTCTGAACCTTTAAGAAGTATTTCTGAGCATGACTACGTATCTGCAAAAGGTACATTCTAAATTTCATTATGCTGATACAAACAGCACTAAACATAATCTTGCATGAATGTGACATAATGTATGTACAACATTAAGTTCCAAAACTGAAGGGCCAATATCCAAAAATTGGTACACAGTTCAAGTAATCTCATCACTCCTTCGGTTGCCAATGAAACAATGACACTTCATAATGAAAGCTGACTTGCTTAAAATTAACAACATCAGCAGTTCTGAAAACTTTGAAGTAAAAAGGATACATCTCCATCCGTTGAATACATATTATGAGATTACTTCCCACAAAACCAAGAAACAGCAGTAGCATACCTGAATAACAGTCTTGGATCCAATAAATGCTTCAATCTTTTTCCAATCTCGGTCAAAACTACAAGGAGCAAAAGAACAAAGGAGTGTGTCCTATAAGTTACCAACCGATAGTAAAAACCATAGCATACTAAAAACCACACTGCCATAAAATAAAGTCAAAATCAAGGAGTTCATTCTGCTGACATAAATGCCATAGGAGTTCATTCTGCTGACACTTAAGCGCCAGTAACAGTAATCCAGATCTAACTGCTAAATCACATCGCCGCCTACCCTAGGAGACTAAGACAACCTATTGGATTCTCACTGAAGCACTTCTAAGGTTCTGAAAATTCACAATTACATCTAGCATTCAGATGTTTCTTACCATTGTTTATAGTCCATGGACATCAACATCACGAGCTGGACAAACCTTAAAAGAGATCTGTATTGAGCTTTGAGCAACAGCCACCATCTACCTATACCAGTAGCTTGATAAACCTTAAAGAATTCTTAAAGTAGCTTCCATAAAACAGTCATCGTCTACCTACATCATCAGTTCGATAAACCTTACACAATTCCTTACGTAGCTTCCATAAACAGCCATCGTCTACCTATGGACACATTTCTCCCCCCGCTAGTGAAAGTCTGAGATTACACACTTCAAAGGGGGGACAAATGCACCAGAATACCAAAATCCGAAAATGAAATGCGAAATAGCGTCTCCATCTCAGATTCACTAGGCTAAAAAAAAGCTCAGAATCCGCCGTATCCATACGATAATCGTCAAAAGTAAAACCTCCAGCTCTCCGATACAACCAAATACAACCAAATTCACTGAACCAGAACTCTCCAGGCCACCAACCATAGCCTAATTCGCTACTCGTCGGCCTGAACTCAGCTTTCGAGCTCCATTTCACATGACAACCCTAAATTGAAGCGAGAACGAACTCGAACTACCTCCAGCGAATCGAAATTACAGCAGAGAAGGAAACTTACAGCTGGAGAGCTTCGAGGAACTTATCGTGCTCCGGCTCGGTCCAGTTCTCCCTCGACTTGGTGATGGTGTACGGCTTCCGGACCTTCTTGCTCGGATCGTCGACGGCGGAACTCGCCGGCGGGTTGGAGGCCGCCGCGGTAGAGTTGGCGAAAGGGCCGAGTCCCGGGAGCGCCATTCCGTTAGGATCCAGGTAGAATCCTTCGGCCGGGTTCGGGTTCTTCGACACCATTTTCTGGCCGCTGTGAGAGAGAGGAGGGTCGGAGAAGAAAAAAGGAATTTCGGGTTTCTAGCTTTTAGTAGTGACGGAGAAATGCGGCTTTCCTTGAGACAGCGAGGCTGGTCTTTATATTAGGCGCCGGGGTATAATCGCCTGCTCTCGAGCTCTCTCGAGTCCAGTGTTCCGCACAACGAATTAGCAACCGCCACGTTGCCTTGGTGGGCCGGGTCCTCAAGCGTAACTGTTAAGTGTGGACCCCGCACCGGTGATTAACTGAGGTGTTTTCATTAATTAAGTGATGGACTATAGACTATCCTTCCTGATAAAGTCGCTTGACGATGAAGTACATAAGTAGAAGAATTGAATATTTTAGCTCAGTTCTCCATATTAGAGCAAGTTTAATTTCTGTATTTATATATAAGGTGGGAAAATTGTAGAGGTCGTAGTTTCATAGTTATGAGTCAACATAATTAACGAAAATTCTGTTAGTTAGAGATTTTACTTAGTATGATAATTTTTAGCTTAATTGTGACTTTTTATGTCTTGTGATATTTTCTTAGCGCGATATTTTTAGAATTTTCATCTTGGCAGTTGATTTTAATGGGTGGCCGTCAAATCCCCAATCTCTATTGTAAGTAAGTGGCTAAATATCGTATATGGTCATTTTTCAACAAATCAGTTTATTGGACCCAGTTAGTTTATGATATCGTATCATAACTGGTTTGTCATTGAGGTTACGTGTTAAAGTCAAAATTAAATAAGAAGTGTGGTAGGTTGGAAATAAACGAATTTAAATAAAACACATGTGAACTACACTTTATATATCTTGACCCCAACGGGCTAAAAATTGTTTGGCCCTAACTCTTAACATCGGTGCTTGTGAAACAGTACCATATTAGCGGTTCGACCGAATTTTTTTTTTTCTTACAGAAGTTTAAATCGTTAGACGGTTTTCAACCGTTTATATTTTGTGATAATGTGACTCATTTGGTCAACCCCTAACTTCAACCAACCCATGATCAATTAATGCAGTGTTTGCATGATTGTGGTTTTTCACCAAACCAAATTGTTCATTTAATGCACCCCGAATTGCTTAGGATGGACCATTGCCCACCTGATCGGACCCTTTTCTTTCTATCTCGTCACCGCCCAACGCTCTCCGGCGCCGGGGAAAAGGAATAAAGGCCGCGGCCCAAAGGTCCTAAAACAGATATTCCATGAAACCTTTGGCCCGCCGGGACGATGGACACGTGGCGCGGCATTGATACTCGCACAGTGGTTTTCTGAGCAGCCTCTTGATTGATTGTGTGGCCAATAACCAAGGCCACATGATCCAACACGATGCGCACAGCAGCACTCACTGAGATATGAAGGGGAAGATATTTATTTTCTGATGCGAGACCCATTTGCTGCACACCATTTGCATCCATATGAAAGCGCAACGATTGATTCAAGACATAATAGGAGTATAAAGTCGAATTCGAAAAGAGGCACAGAGGATTGGATCGCCACCTGACATGTACGGGATCGAATATATAAAATTGAAAAATTTTATAAATGTTATATTAATTATGGACCCAGATGAGTACTGGACCGTGACCCGAGGAGGCCTCTCCTAAATCTGCCAATATGAAAGCGTCACTCACCGACTCGCGCTGCTCTCGGGTCGACATGGCTATGGCCGAGGTTGTGGCCTTGTGGGCTATGACGCTAGACGGTGTAATTTGTGCCATATTGGAAGTAAACAAGAGTTATTGCTTGGATCCAGCTAAAGCCTGCTGATCCAAGGTTTCTTTCTTCTCTCTTTAAGTCTTTTTTACATTTGCTCGGTTTGGGAAAAGTAACGTGTTTACCGTCGGATGGCCTAACTCGGTTTGGCTTAATGTTCGATAAGGGAAATGAGTGGTGTGCCATGAGACCTAACTTTTGGCTTTTTCGTTTATCACTTTCCTTCACACCCTTGGGCTCTATAGCTTTATGTTTTTGCGGGGGAATGTCATGTGGAATTGCTTCTGTTGATGCTCTTTCTTGAGCCTCACATTATTTTGGTATATGCATACACAATATATTTTTGCTATGACTTTGATATTTCCATATTTCTAAATATTATCCTCATAAATTCGATTTACAGGTTAGGTTATTCAAGTCGTATATATCATTAAGAGAAATGATGATACTAATCAGGCAATTAAAAAACAAAAGAGGGTTGGCACTTGGTGATAACTGTATGAGGGTTCAGAGAGACAATACTAGAATTTTACGGAAACATATGAGATCGACATGAAGGGAAACAATTGTAAAACTCAAACTATCACACTCTTCAATGACTATCTTAGACTTTTAGTATAGCAACCCCAAAAGAGTTTAGGCTACTATAAAAGGGTCCATCTACTATACTTCAAAATATTAAAATATTAGTGCTAGTTTAATTTGTATCATAAACAAATTTGTATGAAAATGTATAGGTACAAATTGGATTTTTATCATAATGTTAAAGATACAAGCTAAATAAATTTGTGTGAAAAAGTATAGGTACAAACTAAATTCATAGACTTCAAATGTACCTTTTCAATTTGTATGATAAAATAATATTTTGAAAAATAATATTAGAAAAATATATAGATACAAATTGAATTTTAAAGATACAAGCTCGGTTTGTACCATAATAGATCCGTATGGAAAAGTATAGGTACAAACTAAATACGTACAATATCATGTAGGACTTTGCTACGGTGACATGCATGTCACGGTGACTTGCACTTTCCGGTCGACCTCAGTTAGGATTAGGTCGACCGAATTCTAGGATCCGGTCGACCTCATATAGGATCCGGTCGACCTCATTTAGGATTCGGTCGACCTCATATAGGATCAGGTCGACCTAATATGTTGTTTCAGTGTAAAAACAGTTTCATGGTGCCTACTTTGGAGATTCATATCTTACAATTGGCTAGATGGAAATTGGAGATTAAAGGCTTGTTTTGAAGCTGAAGTGTCCCTCTACACATTAAAGTACTTGGGAGCTCAATAGAAAGTCCAGAAGACCATTTTTTAACCTGACCAAAAGGCTATGCCAAAACTGGAAACTGCCTGAAAATGGCTAAGTCTGGCAACGTGTTTGTCAAGCCTAATTTGGAGCTCAATTTGAGAAGCATGGATGCGAGTCAAGTCCAGGGGCCTCTACCACGTTAAATTACGTATTTTTTTTATACAAAGGCAAGGAATTGGTTGAAATATTGAATATCTTTAAGGCTTCAAACAAAAGGCTCGAAGTTGCTACGAAGGCTGTTTTTCTGGCAGCTTTCTTGTGCTCGAAGTCTGCCAGAAAAACAGCCTTCGTAGCAACTTCGACCCTTTTATTTGAAGCCTTACAGATATCCAATCTTTCATCCAATGCCTTGAATTTGTATAAAAATATACCTAATTTAACGTGGTAGAGGCTCCTGGACTCGACTCGCATTCATGCTTATCGAATTGAGCTCCAAAATAGGCTTCACAAACACGTTTCCAGACTTAGCCCTTTCCATGCAGTTTCTCAGTTTTGGCATAGCCTTTTGATGAGATTCAAAAATGGTCTTCTGGACTTCCTATCGAGCTCTCAATCACTTCAATATGTAGAGGGACACTCCAGCTTCAAAACAAGTCATTAGTCTTCAATTTCCATCTAGCCAATTGTATGATATGAATATCCAAAGTAGACACCATGAACTGTTTTTACACTGAAACAACATATTAGGTCGACCTGATCCTATATGAGGTCGACCGGATCCTATATGAGGTCGACCGGATCCTAGAATTCGGTCGACCTAATCCTAACTGAGGTCGACCGGAAAGTGCAAGTCACCGTGACATGCATGTCACCGTAGGCACACCCTATCATTTAATGTACATGTTAAATTTGTTTCATAAAAACCCTTCGAAAATTTATATGAAAAAAAATATTATGAAAACATATAGGTACATTTGTATCATAATACTAAAGGTGTTTGTATGAAATCATTATAAAATCATTATATTCGTGGAAGATCAGCTTCTCAATTGGCGCAGAAGCCCAAATGTCAACCCAGTTTCTTTGACTCTTTTCCGTTGGGCTTTGGTCACGAAACCTTGGTGGGTTTAAATACCCAGCGAGTGTCAGGCCCAAGATGAGTTGGTCACTTGGGGCAACACTTTCATTTCAGACGGGCACTTGTGTAAGAATTGAAGCTGGAGAAAACTTTAGCCAGTTTCCATTCAAGGTGATGCCAATTGCCAAGACAATTAATTGACAAATGTCTCATCTCATGGACATCATCAGGACTGAATTAGTTTCCATTCTATTGCTTGAAGGTGGTGTGAGGGGTGGTTTAAGGTTCATTGGTCGGAAACACTACAAAATGGCTCATTTGGTTGCCCGTGAAATTCTATTCTTGTCGTCTCATTTGTTATCGAGTTCGGCTATGTTATTTGGTTATTTAGTACATATGGTCTTCCTTGTACAAACGATTAATCTGTATTTTTTCTCATTAATCACGAGATCACTGATAGCAACTCGTTGCTATCAGGTTAGGGTTTTGCTTGTAACTCACAAGCGAGATAACGACATAGAGTGTCGAAAGACTTTTTAGGTTTATTATTGATTGATTAAATCGGACTAATGCCGTAGTTACATTATATAGGCGACTAAACCTAATACGTAACCCTAGCTATAAACGAGAACAACTACTGACCCTACACAACTCGGCAGTCGGCAACCTACCAAGGAGGCATACTGGACGATTAACCTTAATTGCCCACTAACCTTGCTCTACCATTCGGCCCATGCAAACTAACACACGACTACGTAACTCTATACTAACCCATCAATAAACATACTAACCCAACAACAATGAATAATAGGTAAACATACTAAGCCCAAACTATATCCCATCAATCACATGACAAAAAAAAAAAAAAAAAACTTTAGCCAGTAAAATAAACGACACATAGTCTAAAACCGAAAGACTAAATAAATGAAAACAGAATCACAAGTCACAAGATAAAAGCAGCCAAGCCTTCTTGCTAATTAATATTGCCCGAAAACTAATAGTAAACTAACCACTTGGTAGAAGAAGAAGGCATGGATCTTGCCAGTTGCCACCCCTTAAAACGAGACAAGAGTTTTAAGTTAAAGTAACCGGAAGTCCAAACTGTGTCAATTCTTGTTCCCGCTACGAGGCCCAATACAGGAGAAGAATAGTTTCCGAATCACGGGCCCAAATAGTTAACAGCCCCCTCCAAGAAAAGTAAAAGCTCACTATTTTGAGTTTTGACCAAGCTAATTAGTGAACTGTCTGATAGTAGAGAGGAGGTCCAAGAAAGAAGCTCAGAGAGAACGAATTCTAGAACTCGCGAAATAGCTAGTTGGAGCGTAGAAAACGCGTCGTCTCTTTCAACAGGCCAAAGGACGCATCACCCCTACGAGCTTCCTACGCACGGAAACCCACCCTTTTCCCCCTTTTAATTAATCACTGTATTCTTTCCTGACCACAAGCTGATGCAGCCGCCAGGAAGCCATGGCAATGACTTCCATTGACTTATCGCAACCATTTCCCCCCTTTATAAAAACCAGCACACCAGAAGCTTCACCCACCAAACCTGTCATTCAAGCTCTTAACAGTTGACACCAATCTCTCAAACTTCTCCACATCTCGCCTAGCTCGATTCCATCCCCTCCTCTGAAGCTCACTCCTCTGTTTTCCGGCAAACGGAAAAAAAAATGAAGTTACTGTTAATTACCCTGTTTCTGTCTTAGATTAATTATGCCGTAGATAATTAATGAGTGCTTAATTGCTGTTTTCTGATCTTCGATCTACTTGTTTGAACAGGTTGTGGTTCTGAAGCTGGATCTGCACGACGACAGAGACAAGCAGAGAGCGATGAAGAGAGTCACCGGGATTTCCGGGGTCGACTCGGTGTCGATGGACATGAAAGACATGAAGATGACGGTGGTCGGAAACGTGGATCCGGTCCAAATCGTGAGCAAGCTGAGGAAGCTGTTCCCGACGGAGGTGGTGTCGGTGGGACCGCCGAAGCAGCCGGAGAAGAAGAAGGAAGAAGCGCCGCCGCCGGCGGCGGCGAAGAAAGCAGAGGAAGGAAAAGACAAGAAGAACCCCGAGGCGCCTCCTCCTCCTGTTATCTCCTACTACCCTCCCCAAGTCAACGGCGGTTACTATAATTACAATCATTACCCTTATCAGCAGCAGAAGGGGTACGGCAATTACCCTTACCACCAGTACGGCGGCGCCGCCCAAGTCGTCGGCGACGATCCGAATTCTTGCGTCATTTGTTAGATTGGAGATCAATTGCGTACAACGAAGAGTAAGGGCCGCCCCAATTGGAGATCAATTATGTATATATCGATGGTTATTCGGGGATGTGGAGGCTGTAACTAAGCTGATAGTTACGGGGACTACAGTAATTTTTTTTTCCCTTTTTTGGTTATCGGTGACGAGCCGAAATTTAATTTCTTTGAATTGAAGTGAAATGAAGCTTAAATCGGTAGCCTTCATACTCAATTTTTCTCGAGCTTCCCTTCTGTTGGGCCACAGCTGAGCAGTTTGGGCTTAGAAGCCCACAGGAGGCCTAGGGAAGAAGGCCCACTGAGGAGCCCGAGAAGCACGCATAGGGAACGGAGAAAGGAGGGCGTCCGCCCTAGGATGGGACGGGGAGTAGGACGCCTGACACGGAGAGCCGTTGCTGATGGGAAGACAAGATCTCTCCAAGATACTCGCCTCGAACACAGGACTGAGCATTAAATGCCCGCCGTAGGCGGTCTAGGTAAAGCATGGCCGGCATAGGACGCCTGACAGGGGCATTTAATGCCCGAAGCCCAGGCCAAACCACTATAAATACATTCATAGCGGCATTGATGGTAGGCCAACTACTCTCTCTCTCTCTCTAAACATAAAAACGTAAATCCTCTATTCCATCTCTAACTTAAGCATCGGAGGGTGTCCAGGGCAACCGCCCACGGACCCTTGTTTTGCAGGAGCATTGGAGCGCCCCATCATCTAGAACAGTCGCATCACTCGTTCCTCTCAAGACCGCCTAGAACATTCTAGGCTCAAACAATTTGGCGCCCACCGTGGGGCGAGAGATAGCGCTGAAGAAAGGATGGATGGGAACTCCAACACCCCTGTCAAAGACATGATCGGAAGAAGCAACCCTCGCGGTCCAGATGTGCAGGCGAGTGGCATTCGAGGATTGGAAATGCCAACTGTGGAGGAAGAAATGGAAATGGAGGACCGCGTGAAAGCCAGGGACAACAAATATCAAGCATGCAAGAGAGCTTGGGCCAGATATTGGCCATGCTCAAAGAGAAGGAAAGCGAGACGCCCGGAAGCTCAGGAAAGCAGCTGAACAAAGGGAAGGGAAAAGAAGGCGGTCCCGACAGCCCTGCTCGGACAGAAGGCGGGGAGTCCGATAAAGAAGAAGACGCCGAAGATCCTAGCTTGGGATTCTTGGAAGAGCATCTCAGACCCACCTATGGCCGGACCAGAGGGCCCACCATCCTCCAAAACCCGCTGGCTAGGAGCTTATTCAAAACTCAAGTTCCCCCGAACTTCTCATCACTTGGGCTACCCGCGTATGATGGAAGCTCGGACCCAGCTGATCACTTGAGCGCTTTCATGTTAAAGATGCAGCTCATCAACGCCACAGACGCGGATTTATGTAAGGCGTTCCCAGTAACATTTAGCGGTCAATGTAGAGCCTGGTACACCTCCTTGCCAGAGGGGATAATTGAAGACTTCGAGCAGTTCGCGACCCTTTTCTCCTCTAAGTTCGCGTCCCAGTGAAGGAGAAAGCTGACGGTATCATCACTGATAAACTGCAAACAAGGGGGGGACGAACCGCTGGCGGATTTCTACGATAGGTGGAACACAATAGCTGGTGAAGTGCAAGGTATCTCACCAAGTGTGGCGGCGGGAAACCTGCGTATGTCCACACACAGCCATGAGCTGCGAAGAGCGCTTATCAAGAAGGAGCATACGCTAAAGGAGTGGCCTGATCTCGACCGCTTAGTGAGAAAAGCAATCCTGCTAGAGGAAGCCATGATGGTGGAAGACGCTAACAAACGCGCTAATACAAGAGACAAGGAGAAAAAGAAGGTTGGTTCACCCAAGAGGAGGGGCGGTCTCCTGAAAGACGGAATTATAAACCCCGCTACACACACCGGGACAACAGGAGAGAGGTTTTCACCACCAGCCGAGAAGAAGGTAGGGACCGCAAAGGCGAAGGAAATGCGCACCAGACGCACAGGAGGGAGGAGGACCGGAAATGGTGTGACTGGCACCAGATTCCCACACACGACACCGCGGAGTGTCGGGAGTTTAAGGCGAGCCTGAAGTATTTAGCGCCCGGCGACCTCAAGAACCGTCTGGACACAAGACCGCATCGGCACGAGCAGAGGCATCAAAAGGAAAGGTCGCCAAGTCCGAGGAAAAGATCACGAACACCCAAAAGAGGAAGGTCGAGATCACAAAGGAGGGACCGTTCCCCAAGGCGTGACCGCCTTCCTCCACCACCAAGAAGGTCGCCTCCCCGTCGGCAGCCGCGAGTGAACGAAGATGACATCGAGGTCATAACCATTGCAGGAGGACGCAAGAGGCCCATGAATGAGGGGGAGCGCCTTGTTCAGTGTTTAAATGTCAATAGAAGCGAGCAAGTGGACATCAACTTTTCACCCTCTGAACTGGCCCAGGGTGAAAGCGCCGAAGATCCGCTAGTTATCTCTCTGAGGACGAGGAAGTTTAAAGTAACCAGGGCATTGGTGGACAATGGTAGCTCAGCAGACATACTGTTCTACTCTACCCTCAAGAGCATGAAGATGAGCGTCCAAGATCTCAAGCCCTCCGCTACGAGCTTAGTGGGATTCTCGGGTTCAAAGATCAGAGTATTGGGTGTGGTCACGCTGCAGGTGACGATCGGAGAGGCAGATATAACAAAGACGCGCACGATGGACTTTCATGTGGCTGATTGTCCATCAGCGTACAATGCGATCCTAGGACGCGGTTTCCTCTCATTATTTTCAGCGGTCCCCTCCACTTGTCACCAATTACTAAAGTTTCCCGTGGGCGGAAGAGTGGGGCAAGTCAAGGGAAATACCGAGCAGGCCAAGGAATGCTACCAGGCAACAATAGAAAGCCTGGAAGTGGACCTAGTGGATACTAGAGGAGGACACCCGCGCCCAGAAGCAGTAGAAGGAGACGCGGAGGTCGTCCTTGACAGTGGAGAGCCGGAGAAGAAGGTGAGAATCTCCTCCCACCTCACAGAGGAGAAGGCAAGGGAGCTCTTGGCGCTCCTCAAAGAATACAAGGATCTATTCGCGTGGACCTCCGAAGACATGCCAGGCGTATCAAGAGAACTCGCTGAACATCATTTGGCGGTCAAGAATAAAGCAAAGCCTATTCAGCAACGAAGAAGGAACGCCTCCTTGGAAAAGCAGATGGCATTAGAGGAAGAAGTAAGGCGGCTGCTCAAGGCCGGCTTCATAAGGGAGGTCAAATACCCAACTTGGCTGTCAAACCCTGTCTTCGTCCGGAAGGCTTCAGGACTTTGGCGGATGTGCATAGACTTCACAAACTTGAACGCGGCCTGTCCCAAGGACGCATACCCTCTGCCCAGAATCGATCAACTCATAGATGCAACCGCCAATCATGAAAGCCTGAGCTTCCTCGACATGTTTTCAGGTTATCATCAAATTCGTCTATCAGAAGAAGACCAGGAGAAGACCGCATTCATGACTCACATGGGAAACTTCTGCTACACGGTCATGCCTTTCGGCCTCAAGAACGCGGGCGCAACATACCAGAGAATGATAGACGCGGTCTTCAAGAGCCAATTAGGAAGAAACGTGGAAGCGTATGTAGATGATGTGTTGGTCAAAAGTAGGAAGGAGGAGGATCACCTGAAGGATCTGAAAGAAACGTTCGAAAGCTTGAGGAAAGAGCGCCTGCGTCTAAACCCGCTTAAGTGCGTGTTTGGCGCCAAGGCAGGGAAATTTCTAGGGTTCATGATTACCCGAAGGGGAATAGAGGCAAACCCAAAGCAGATAGAAGCCATCATAGCCTTGAGACCGCCCCAGACTGTCAAAGAGATTCAAGCGTTCAATGGAAAAATGGCCGCTTTGAGCCGTTTCATTCCTCGAGCCGCAGATAAGTGCTCACCATTCTTTCAAATGCTCAAAAAGACAGCCTCTCGTTCTCAGTGGAGCGCAGAGTGCGGCAAGGCGTTCTTCCAGCTGACGGAGCAGCTCACCTCGCCGCCAGTGTTAAGCGCCCCACAGCCGGGTGAGCCATTATATCTTTATCTGGCGGTCTCAGATCAAGCAGTTAGCTCAGTGTTGGTAAGAAGAGATGGGGATGACTCAGACCGTCCCATCTATTATGTGAGCAAAGCGCTCCTCCCGGCGGAGAGGCGATACATGCCAATTGAACGAGCGGTCTTAGCGGTTGTCACGGCCGCTAGGAAACTCCGCCCATATTTCCAAGAGCATCAGATTATCATTCTCTCAAATCTCCCATTAAGAAGAATCCTGAAAGGAATGGACGTATCAGGGCGAATGACCAAATGGGCGGTCGAACTCAGTGAGTACGATATTACATACGCCCCGCGACCCGCCATAAAGGGGCAAGTTTTAGCAGATTTCATCGCCGAAGGATTTAGCCTAGGAAGTGTGGAAGAGAATGCGGAAGTTTGGCGCCTGTTCGTCGACGGGGCAGCCGGAAAGGGAGGAGCAGGAGCAGGGATAGTCATTGAAACGCCCGCAGGGGTGGTTCACGAAATATCTCACCGTTTCCTTGAATTGAAGACCAACAATGTTGCAGAGTATGAAGCTCTTCTCAGCGGACTGAAGATCGCGGTCAACATGGGAGCCTCCCGCGTCCATATATACTCTGACTCATTGTTGGTAGTCAACCAGGTGCTGGAAAGTTATGAAGTCAAGGAGGAGGCGCTTGCCGAATTAGCAGGGGCAGTGAAGGGCATCTTGTCCCACCTGGACTCTTAGAAACTGGAGCATGTGAAGAGGGAAGATAATCATCACGCGGACGCCTTATCCAAGTTGGCAACCGCCATGGATTTTGAAGGGGAGCGACGGATAACGGTAACTAAGGAGGGGCCCCCGGCGTGCGAAGTAATGGCCTTGGGAGAGGAAGACTTCGACTGGCGGTCCCCGCTAGTGAACTACTTGCAAGATGACGTTGTGCCAAATGATGCCGTCTCGGCCAAGGCGCTCAGGAGAAAGGCCGCCCAGTATACCATGGTGGGAGGACAGCTGTGCAAGAGGTCTTTCTCAGGTGCATATTTGAAGTGTCTCGGTCCAGAGGAGGCTAAGTGGGTGGTCAAGGAGATCCACCAAGGAACGTGTGCGACGCACTCTGGGCCGCGGAGCCTAGAGCGCACGGTGCTGTTACAAGGATACTACTGGCCAACAGTGAAGAAAGATGCGCTGGAAGCGGTTCAGAAGTGCCACGAATGCCAAGTCCATGCGAGCAAACAA